TGATTCAGTTGGTTCATAATATTCATGTAACTTTGAGTCATGTATGCATGCTCTATCTTTGGTAACCTGTAGGCCATATTTGGCCAAATGCACTTTTGTCTTGTGGGAATATTAACAGGAACTGCTGTGAACAGACTGAGGGTAGGCAGCATGTGAGGCTGTAAATAGAATGAAACTAATGCTGCTTTGCTCTGATGGTCCAGCATCCTGAGTACTGTTGGATTACTAAGCTGTGCACTGTTGCTGTGACTGCTGAGACTCTGGACAGGAAAGCCTATGAATAAAGCATAAACCGTACTCCTAACCTACTGGTATTTTCTTTGGTCTGTTTGAGTCAGATAATCTCTTATCCCCAGCATTATGCAAATCACTTCCCTTAGTCTGTCATCAGCCACTTTGCTTCTTAATGATAAAAGGAGGCATCTTGAGCCAGCACTGGCCCTAAGAATCATTATGTCATCGATGTTTTCAGTGGGGTCCACACTCTATCATTTTCATACCCCTCCAATGGGATCATCTGTCCTTAGGCAAAATCATCCATGTCCTTCAGCAGTGAGACATCCTACAACAGACATTCATCTTCAGCCCTTTCTTGCTGTTCTTTAGCAGATGCTTAATAGGAACTGTTCAACTCAATTGTCAGTTCACAATGGAAACAAATGAAACCTACTTTAGAAATGTTGCTTAAATTTGGTGCATTTGATTTTTATTTTTATATTACATCATGCTTGATTCCCCCATGAGTTCGAACTTATACATTAGAAAGACATCACCATTTCTTGTTTGTCTGATTGAGAGGATATTTATTGAACTCTTGGTATATCCCAGAAATAGTTTATACCTCCTAGAGTATGGAAACAATAAATAAAGTTAACACATTCAGAGAGGAAAACTAAGGGATAAGTCTTTGAGAGAGACTAAAAGAAGACGACTACTGAGAGAAAGAGGTGCATTTGAGCAAAGCCCCAACCGAAGCCTGAGAACATCTGTCATCTACTGAAAGGGGAGAAAGGAGCAGCAATGGCCACGTGTTTGCATGTTGCAGGACTAGGAAGGAAGAGGATGTGGATACAGCAGGGTGGTTAACGACAGTGGTAGGAAGAGAGTGGTAGCAGAGACAATGCTGCTGGTGGCATATAGGATTTGTCAACGCTGGTAAGAACTTGACATTTTATCTTGAGTGAGATGGATAAGCACTGGAGGGATTTAAGTCATGAGGGGACATGCGAATTGTTATAAAGTTTTAAAAATCAAATACTGAGTTTTGTTGGATTTAAATGACTTAATACTAATATATAATGACTTAAAACAATACCTTCCATTGTCTCACAGTTTCTGAGGGTCCGAAGTAGGGTTTTCTGCACCCATCTCTAAAATCAAGTTGTCCTAACTCAAGCCTGGATTGTCATCCACATTCATTTAGTTACATGAAGGAATTCATTCCCTAGAGAGAAAGAGTCCTGGTTTGTCTGCTTTTCCTGGTTGTGAGTGGGAGCACTCTCAGCTCCTAGAATTGGCTCTTCATTCCTAGCCATAAGGCTGCTCACAACCTGGAAACTCATTTCTTCAAAGTCAGCAGGAGAATCATACTTTGAGTCTAGTGCTTTGATGGCATAATCACAACATTGACTTCCTCACTACCTTTCCCGTGGAGAGTGCCCTAAAGAAGGGCATGCCCTTCCCATGAATCCACGGGGCCTGTGCAGCCTTCATCAAAAGGTATTTCAGGGCAGTTACATTCGAGAGTAGGAAGTTTGGTTTTAATTGTTTGCAGTGATAAGGGGTAGAGTCTCTTAACTCCACTCCATACATAGAGGACAGGATTTTGGAAGGAAGAAAGGACAAAAATGTAAGTTAGGAATCACCGGACATATCTAAGCCACCACTTCTTGAAATTAATGTATATGAATCTCCAGAGGATAGTGTTACATGCAGGTTCTGACTTTATGGTCTATGCTTGATCTAACTTTCCTAACAATCTCTTAGATGATTTTGCTCATGAAGTAGCGATATGTTGGCAAATGATGACAGTGGCTTGGGCCATAGTGGTAGTTAATGGTAGAGATGATAGCTAACCTGACTCAAGATATATTTTGAGGAGAGACCCAACACGGCTTGCTGAGAAGGGGAAGCAGAAGTCTCTGAATAACTTTAAATTTGAAAGATGGTAAATGAGCTTTCTTCAGAGCAGAAATTCAGATTTTCATTTTTGACATGCTAAGAATGAGCCACCATTCAGAATCTACGTATGTAGGTCTATCTAAGAAGATGATGAAATGTGACAAAAGTGACTTGTACATCACATTTAGTGTTACTTACACCTTCATGCTTCTGTACATTGCAACTGTGTGACTGTTCCTAATAAGCTTGGGATTTATTGTACTATAGCTTAAGATGTAAGGAATGAAAAGGATACTTACTGATCCTCGCTGCAGTTCCACTCTGCTTCTCTCACACTGATGCTACTAAGACAAGTAGTGATTTTTTTTTTTGTCCTCATGCCAAGTTCCTTGCAAGGGAAAAACCAACATATCTTCGATATGTTGATAAAATTATGCATCACTGAGCATATTCAAAACACATTGTACTCAAACACTCTCTAGGAATGTACCCAGATTTCAAAATAAATTTTCAGCACCTACTGGTATCTGCTAGATACCCCACTGACTCTGAGATGTATTAACTAACTTCTGTCTGACCATATCTACAGTTTTATAGTATGACTAATTACTATTATGTTTCTGGAGGATAAATTTTGCAAACTAGCTTTGTCATACTGTGGGAGGTAGCGCGCATTGTGAGACTGAGCTTGCACTGAGCTAGTCCTCATGGCCTCTCTTTGCACAGAAGTGGAAGTGACAGCTCTGAGGGTGCCCTGCAGATGCGTATACGCGTGAGTTCCTTAAAATCAGTCATGTAAAGTCTTGGCCTTACTCATTTTCAGAAAGAAATACATTTAAAACTGTATAAACTGAAAACTGTGCTACTGGGTTTTTTTCTTGTAATGACTGTAAAAATGCTAGCATTCAACCAGAGAAAAGTTTACGACTTTGACTCACAATATTTCAAATATTTTAATTGAATTTTATTTATTTATTTAATTTTATTGTTATTATAAAGGTGTTTTTATTGTTATAAAGGTACAGAGGGGTTACAGTTACAAAATTCGGGTAAAGAGTACATTTCTTTTTATTATTATTTGCGTTATTGTTATGGTAGAGGAAATGTACAGAGAGATTACTGTTCTGTGCGTCAAGGAATGCAGACATTTTCTTTAGCATACTGTCTTCTGTTCCCCCACTCACTCCTAGTCCCTCCCTCCCGTCTCCACAAACGAGTTGTATAGTTCATTTTCATCAGTGTCCAGTGAGCTCCACTATTGCACTTTTTCACCCTTTTTCCCTGGAGGTATGTTGCCTCAGCTGAGGATATAGTAAACTAGAAAGACAGCCAACAGACTGGGACAAGATCTTTACCAACAATATATCAGACAAAGGCCTAATATCCAATATTTACAAGGAGCAGAAGAAACTAACTCCTCCCAAACCTAATAAACCCATCACTAATGGACAAGGGAGCTAAGGAGAGGCTTCTTAAAAGAAGAGGTAAGAATGGCAAAGAAACACCTGAGGAAGTGTTGCTCATGATCCATCTCACCCAAGTTAGATTGGCCAACATTGTGAATTCAAACAACGAAAGTTGGCAGAGATGGGCTGGGAAGGTGGCTGGCTCAGTGGTAGAGTGCTTGCCTTATATGCATGAGGGCCTGCGTTCAATTCCTCAACACCACATAAACAGAAAAAGCTGGAAGTGGTGCTGTGGCTCAAGTGGTAGAGCGCTAGCCTTGAGCTGAAGAGCTGAGGAACAGTGCCCAGGCTCAGAGTTCAAGCCACTGCTGGTGGGAATGTAAACTAGTACAAACACTCTGGACAGCAGTCTAGAGGTTCCTCAAGAAACTGAACATTTTGAACCAGGCATACCACTTCAGGGCATCTACGCTGAACATCATGAGCCAAGACACTGTCATTTTCATGTTCATTGCCATATTGTTCACAACAGCCCAACTGTGGAAACAGCCCAGATACTCCACAATAGATGAGTGGATCCAAAAAACATGGTACCTATAGACAATGGAATTTTGCATAGCCATTAGAATAAATAGAATAAAATAATGTCATTTGCAGGGAAATGGATGGAACTAGAACAAACCATGTTAAGTGAGGTAAGCCAAGCTCAAAGAGACAAATGGTGCATGTTAATTAAATTTTAAATAGAACATACTTTTTCATGACATCAGTGAGGGCAAAATTAAACCAATATAATCTTATTTGTGGTACAAATTGAAATTCACTTCACTCAATAAATTTCTATGTAGAAGTTTGATTTGGTTTGCATTCAGTGGCGTGGGTAATACTAGGTCTGAAGGGGTTATACAATTTAGATTGCTACTGAAGTAACTCCACCATGTAGAACCCTAGGTAAAGACTCTCCTTATTTAACAACTTGACTTTCTTTTTTTGTTTGTTTGTTTTTGTTTTTGTCTGTTGTGGGTCTTGAACTCCGGGCCTGAGCACTGTCCCTGAGCTCTTCAGTTCAAGGCATGCTCTCTACCACTTGAGCCACAGCACCACTTCTGGCTTTTTCTGCTTATGTGGTGCTGAGGAATTGAACCCAGGGCCTCATGCATGCAAGGCACGCACTCTACCACTGAGCCACTTTCCCAGCCCAACAACTTGACTTTCTATTGGTGTAGAGAAAAGTGATGTTTGAAGCAACACACTGTTGACTTAAACTTGGCACATTTGCTCTATCTTCAGTATTTCATACTAAAAATCAGGATGTAAATCTAAATATAGTTTCTTGTGAAGTTATTTCATTATATCTTAATTTTCCCAAACATTATATCTTTTTATATTGTGTATTGAGTATGTTATAACATAAAAGCCCACTTTTGCATGGTAATTTAAGAAACAGACACTCTTGCTCTTTCTTTTCCCTAGGAGCACTTAATCAGAAAAATTGGGGAAAGAAATATCCAACGTGTAATAGCCCCAAACAATCACCTATCAACATTGATGAAGATCTTACACAAGTAAATGTAAACCTGAAGAAACTTAAATTTCAGAACTGGGATAAAAGCTCTTTGGAAAACACGTTCATTCACAACACTGGGAAAACAGGTAAAATGGGTGCCTTCTATTTGCCATTTGATAAGTTTTTCAGCCCAAGAATGTGTTCAGCAAGATTCACTTTAATTATTTTTGACTAATGTTCTAAAGACTGAATAGAAGCTATTAGTGGAAGAACATTAGAAATTTGGACGACATCTTGAAAATTTTTTGTACTAAGTATACAATGACCAATGTATTCAGGTCATATTTTTAGTAATATAATAAATCACCTTGCTACTTGAAGATTTGGTAAAGATAATGTAATTATGGACAACATATTTTATTATCTCCATCACTGGTCAGTCACTTACTTATTAGGATTTACGTGTCTTAGCATTGAAGTTTGGGCTTTGTTAATTAGCCTCATGCTATTTCAATATGTAGATATGGAAAATAATTCTAATTGGATTCAAGAAATTATACTAGGAGCTCTCCATAAGGAAGCTTATTTTATTTATTTATTTTTTTTTGTCGGTCATGGGGCTTGAACTCTGGGCTTGGGTGCTGAGTTCCTGTGCTCTTCAGCTTAAGGCAAGCGCTCTACCACTTGAGCCACAGCACCACTTCCAGTTATCTAGTGGTTTATTGGAGATAAGATTCTCACGGACTTTCCTGCCTGGGCTGGCTTTGAACTGTGATCCTCGAATCTCAGCCTCCCGAATAGCTAGGAATACAGGCATGAGCCACCGGCATCCAGCAAGGAAGCTTAAATTTTTAAACCATTCCTAGAAAGCCTTTGTTAAGTGCTTTCTTTTGAAACTCTTCTAAACAAACATCATGCGAAATGGAATGCCTTCAAATTGAAAATACTAAGTAAATTAAGACTCAGATTCTGTAGCCCAGTGATGTCTGGGATGATGCCAGAAGGGATAAGAAACTGGACAAAAGAATCAACTGGAATGGTTTATGGAAGCAAGCAACAGGGAGAAAATAGGAGCGCTTCAAGGAGAAGACTTCTTTTAGCCCTCTGTCCCTTCTCTCCTTACCTTGTCTTAAATTACCAACAAAAAGCTTTGGGAAGCAGAATTTTGGAGGATTGGCAATCTCAGTACACCAAACAGGGCAGGTGGCTTGGCTGTCCTGGGCTGTAAGACTCACATGGGAGTTATGATCTCCAGCTCTTTTGACTTTGTTGCTATCAAGTATAGTAAATACATTGTTCAGAGTACAGAGTTCAGATTCCAAAACATTTATCCTTTTTTATAATTTGTCAACTAAGTGAGTTTCTGAATGTAGCAGAAATAGAGGGAGATTTTGTTCAAAGTTTTGATAATGTTGATTTTTAGAGACACAGATACAATTTTACTGTTTTTGTTTCGCTTTAGTGGAAATTAATCTCACCAATGACTACCGTCTCAGTGGAGGACTCTCAGAAGTGCTATTCAAAGCAAGCAAAATAACTTTTCATTGGGGAAAATGCAATATGTCTTCTGATGGATCAGAGCATAGTTTAGAAGGGCAAAAATTTCCACTGGAGGTAAGTCAGTAGATTCATTGGTAATAGTTTCATTTCCAAAATCATTGAGATTTGATTAATATTTAAATTCAAACTTATACAGTTATATTTATAATGTATACAGTTATATTTTGATTACTTGATTAATAGCTGCCTTCTCCCTAAACTGTGTTCAATGACCTAGCTTTAATTTTCCATCCATGAAAATCCAGACTACCACTTATTAACTGAGCAATTAATTTTGCTGAGTATAGGAATGAATGATGGAGTATAGTGAAGAAATTCCATAAACACACTGAAGAATATTTTGACTTAAATTTTCTTAGTAAAATGAGAATAATCTTAAGCTTTAAGATTAGAAAAGTATATACGAGATGCAGGGCACCGACATCAAATACAGTGAGAACAGGGGTTATACCATAGGGGAGGAACATAGAAAGAAACAAAAGAATCACATGGTACATTATAAATACGTTAGAAACAATAGCAAGAAAGAAAAAAACCACTTGTGTCCCTATCTTGGGGTTCATTTTGCTTAACATCATCTTATCTTGTCATATGTGCATTTCTGCTTGTTCCAGACATATACTAGTTATTGCAAATAGGGGAACGGAAAAAACAAAATGCTTAAATAGGGATACAGATTGACCCATAGTAACAATGAGATGTACAAGACACTATGTTGAAAACTAACTTTACAATTTAGGCAGGGAAGTGGGGGGGGGGGGGGTGTCGGGTAATGTGGAGGTGGGAAGGGAGGGATCCTAGGGGAAAAATGAAGGAGGAAGCAACAATGCTTGATAGGAAATGTACTCATTACCTTGCTCATGTAACTGGTAACCCCTCTATGCAGTATTTTTACAATAAAAAACATATTAAAAAAGATTAGAGAAGTAAATATAATCACAATATTTTGTGTGTGCATTTTAATGCACACAGACATGACTAGATAGAGCTGCTTAGCATTCTGGGAAGTACATTGTTTTTATTAATAATTTTATGTTAGGCATTGATGGCTCATGTTTGTAATCTTAGCTACTCAGGAGGCTGAGGTCTAAGGATTGCAGTTCAAAGCTAGCCCAGGCAGGAAAGTCCATGAGACACTTTTTTTTTCCATGAGACTCTTATCTCTACTTAATCACCAAAAAGCTAGAAATGGAGATGTGACTCAAGTGGTAGAGCTCTAACTTTGAGCAACAAAAAGCTCAAGGGGGGCTGGGAAGGTGGCTCAGTGGTACAGCACTTGCCTTGCATGCATGAGGCCCTGGGTTTGATTCCTCAGCACCACATAAGCAAAAAGAAAAATGCCGGAAGTGGCGCTGTGGCTCAAGTGGTAGAACGCTAGCCTTGAGCTGAAGAGCTGAGGGACAGTGCCCAGGCCCAGAGTTCAGGCCCCATGACCGTACCCCCCCCCCCAAAAAAAGCTCAAGGACAGCACTCAGTTGCACACACACACAAATTTTAAGTGGTGCTGTAGCTCAAGTGATAGAGCGCTAGCCTTGAGCTGAAGAGCTCAGGGACAATGACCAGGCCCAGAGTTCAAGCCCCACTACCGACCAAAAAAAAAAAAAAAAAAATTCCTGTTAGTAGAAAAGTTGTCAAAATTTGGGGAGGGGGAAGGGGGGAGGATTAGGTGGTGGGGGAGTAGGGGGGAGGTAGGGAAGGGATGTGAAGGGTAAACAAAGGAGGAGGCTGCAATGCTTGATAAGAAATGTACGCATTATCCTGCCCATGTAATTGTAACCCCTCTGTACAGTATGTTCACAAAAAAATTAAATTAAATTAAAAAAAAAATCAAGTGCTAAAGACAGAAAAAACAAAACAAAACAAACAACAGAAACCTAAGTTTTGCCCTGGGAGTATAGTTTCAACTCCCTACTATTCTGGTCTATCTAAAAGCTGTCAATCTAAGCAAAACAACATAAGTTGAGTATAATTCAAAGGGGAAAATGTCTTTAAAGACATACTTTGATATATGTCAGATAATTTAGTAAGATCATGGATCCTTGTCTTATTTTGTAAGACTTCCTGAGTTAATTTTCCCCCATTTTTTCATAATTTGTTAACATTTTCTTCTAATAATCTTTTTTGTGGTTTTTCTCACTGAGTATACTCCATTTGTAGAATGACTCTTGTCAATAAATACATCTTTAAATTAAAAAAAAGATTTATTTGCAGTAATATAAATTGAAACAAATATACAATGATGGAATATTATAAATATTTTTAAGTTATGTTTTAATAGTATATTTGCAATAAAAGATAATCTTATTAGTGCTTTTCTAAAGAAGAATATAAAATAACAAGTATAAGTTTTCCCATAGTGTAAAACATGAAAGGTAATTAATACAGAGTTAAAGTTGCATCAGAGTCAGATAAACTGAATTCCAACACTGACTCCACAACTGGTCACATGAAGTCATAGAAATTGTTCAGCTTGCCTGAACTTCTGTTATCCGTCTAGGAAACGAATGTCGTAGCAGTAGAACTGGCCTCCTAACATAACTATGAAAAATGAATGAGGGAGTGAATTTATCAATCTTTAAAAAAATATTAAAAATACAGAAAATCTTAGCATTTAGTAAATTAAATATTAAATGTAATTTTTCTTAGAGTGATGACATTGTAAATGCCAGTTTTATTTTCTCCTTTTAAATCCTTTTTTCCCTAAATAACTTCAAACAAAATTGCATTACTTTTAAAATTTTAAATATTACTAATAAAAATAAGATGGGTGAGTTGTATCTTTCACTAGCAAATATCTATTGGACAGAGAAAGGGGTTTTATTAGGGCATTTCCATGTGTGTTACAATGTACTTGGATCATATTCTCCCCCCATTTCCCTGTCTCATCTTTCACCTCCTTTTCCTTTTCTATGTCTTCATCTTTTTTTGATTTTGTATTATCTCTTAAAAAAAAAAGTCTCTTCAAACCGTAAATAAGATCACTAAACACTTATGGATTGCTATTGGGGGACTGTATATGAAAATATCCTGATATAAAATTCTTATTTTTTAATTTGGTTTGTCAAAAAATATAAAAATCAACTCCTAAAAACATGGTATCTCTCTTCTGAGAGGGTAATTGTTTTTTTCTCTCTCACAATATTACCTGCTTCGGCAAACATGATTGTTTTAAAGATCTTAACATCTAAAGCTCTGAACAATCAAAACAAATACTATTTAGAATTTGTGCACTAAACCTCATTTTTGTTTTTGTTTGCCCAAAAGCCTCTCCACTTTGTCTCTCAGAAGCATTGTTTACTGTTTTCTTGTTAAAAATACTTTCCAAGGAGGCAACCATGCTGGATAGGAAATGGACTCATTACCTTGCTCCTGTAACTGTAACCCCTCTGTACAGTATTTTCACAATAAAAAACTTAATTAAGAAACACACTCTCCATGTGATCATTCAAGCACTGACCCCAGGAACATCCTTGGCTTTTTTTTTGTTGTTGTTGTTTTTAGGTCTCCTACATCTCCCAATCACGTTTTCCACAAGTGATTGAGATGTTAGAAAACAGTTCAAGCCACCATTGTTTCTCAGGTAGATTACTAAATGCCACTGGCCCTTGTTGACTGAAATGCATGAATGATTTTCCATTGCCCTTAACCCCAAACCTCTAAGACAGTGTCTCAGTTGTAGCCAGCATGAGACGCTGTCTCCAAAAGGAGGCTTAAGCTCTTTGAGTACTTTTTTTTTTTTCTTTCAGTCCTCGAGCTTGAACTCTGGGCCTAGACTTTGTCCCTGAGCTCCTTTTGCTCAAGGCTAGTGAACTAGCACTTGAGCCATAGGTCCACTTGCAGATTTTTCTATGATTAATTGGTGTTAAGTCTCATGGACTTTCCTTCCCTAGGCCAGCTTCAAACTGTGATCCTCAGATTTCTGCCTCCTGAGTAGCTAGGATTACAGGCATGAGCCACGGGCATCCAGACCTCTTTTGAGTATGTTTTAGATTAAACAGAGTCTGAGCAGAGTAGTATAGTGGTAGGACACAATGGGATCCTATCTAATATTAAGAACTGTGGACCATGGTGAAAGCCATGTGCAGCCAAGAAAGAAGAAGCCCCATATTTGAAAGAACTCCAGCCAAACAATTAAAATAACTTTTAGTAACATTTATATATGACACATTCTCTAGTGAATTATTTCTATAATATTCATTGGTAATCTCAAAGTGATTATTGTTGTCCTAGGTATGGCTAAGTCTATTTCCTTCTGCAGAGATGACTGATGACAGAAAATATAGCTTTGGATCCTTCTGATTGCCAAAATATTTTGAAAATATGTAGAATATTATTATATAGTGCCCTGTTTGTTAGAAATGGAAAGACTTGGAAAAAATTATATTAAGTGAAGTAAGTCAGGCCCAAAGAAACATAGGTCCCATGGTTTCCCTTATTTGCAATAATAGTATATGTCTAGGACAAGCAGAAAAGGTCAAAAGCTGTGGATATATGATCATATAAGATGATGCTAAGCAAAGTGAACCCCAAGATAGAGACACAAGTGCTTTGATCTTTCTTGCTGTTGTTTTTAATATACTTCTAATGTACCATGTGATTTTTTTTTGTTTCTTTTTATGTTCTTCGCCCATGGTATAACCCGTTTTCACTGTTGATTCCAGTGCCCTGAATCTTGCATATACATTTTTCTAATTTGGGGGGAAGGGAAGGGAAATAACAAAATGCTGAAATAAGGATACAGGTTGACCCATTATAACAATAAGATGTACTTGACACTATGTTGAAAACAAACTTTACAACTTGTGAGGGGGGGGAGTTGGAAAGGTGGGGAGGAAAGGGTTGGTAGGGGAAAACAAAGGAGGAGGTAACAATACTCAATAGGAAATGTACTCATTACCTTACTCATGTAACTGTAACCCCTCTGTACAGTATTTTTGCAATAAAAATACATACAAAAAAGAATTTTTGAAAAGATTTTATTGAATTATTAGGTAGTTTTAATAAGTTTCTTTGCTGACTTTTGTGAAACATTTTTTATGTAATACGTATCATTGTTACCTTTATAGATGCAAATCTACTGCTTTGACACAGATCGATTTTCAAGTTTTGAGGAAGCAATTAAAGGAAAAGGGAGATTAAGAGCGTTATCCATTTTATTCGAGGTAATTATATATAAATTTACAACTGACATTTTTTAATCGCATGAAATATCGATGTCAAGTATCAAGGCATACTTTTCTACAAACAGAAGAGCTAGCAGGCACAATGAAAACTGTTGATCATTTTTATAAAGGATTAGTCCTTGGTTATTCATATATAAGGTGGATTTTTTTCAACTATAGCAAACTGTTTATGAGTGGAAGCATTTGCTTACTTTTCCATAAAAAGGATCATATTTGTATAGCAGTAATTGTGAATCATTTCGCACTTAGTGGAAAATGAAAAGGCACTTGGTTTTATTTGTTTTATGGAAAATGCAAGTGTTTGGAGCATGTTAATCTTTATACTTTCAATGGAATTAATCCTTATATTTTTACTGAACAGACGATCAATTTATTTGGTCTTGTTTTTAGAATGCCATTCTTCTTTGACAGGTTGGAATAGAAGAAAACTTGGATTACAAGGCCATTATTGATGGGGTTGAGAATGTTAGTCGCTTTGGTAAGCTACTTAAATACTGTTCTTCAAGATTGGAAAAGACATAAGTTCTTACAGTGGGAATAAAATTACTTGTTCCAAAAGGTACACTTTTGAAGAGGAGCAGTCTTTTATGTCTCACCCTTGATAACCTATATTTCTCTCTAAATAATGGACAATTGATCAGGAAATTTTTATATAATATTTTAAAACAGGAATGTAGGTTTCAGACAAGTATGTGAGCTGAAGTAGAAACTAATAAGGAATAACTTCAAAGAGAAGAGTTGAAGTGTCAAAGTCGGAGGCATGCTGGGCATAACAGTACATGCCTGTAGTCCCAGGATGGTAAATGTGAAGCCAGGTTGGGCCTCATGCAATATTAATGTACATAAGAGGTTGAACTCTTCTTAACTTGTCCTTGAAAATAGACTAATTACATTATACATTTAGACATATTCATTCTGCCTCTGCTTTGTACATCCCTTAAAGATTCTAACTTCTAATATGAAAGTAATTCATATAGTGAAAAAGGAATTGCTACTCAAGGCAATATTTAATCTCTGGTGCTTTTCTTTTACTATATTGGGACTTAAACTCAGTATTCTAAGTCAGGGCCCCGTGCTCATGATTCTGTCTTGCTCTTGGCTGGTGCTCTACCACTTGCTTCAGGGCTCCAGTGTAGCACTTTTTGATAGTTAATTGGAAATGGATTCTCAGGCTGGCTTTGAACCATAATTCTCCAGGTTTTCGCTTCTTGAATAATTCAGATTGGATTATAGGCATGAGCCAACAAAGCCTGTTTCTCCCTGGTGCATTTCTTCAAGAATCCTCTGCCTCAACAGTACAAGGAGGCAGGATTTTTGCAAGAATGGCCCATGCTTGCATAGAACAAGATGTAACATGCTTTGAAGTTGTTCTGCCTACTAGCACGTGAATGTTGTAATTTGTCACAGCCGGTGCTTTTGACAAAATTGGCAACAGAAGGCACACCATTATTATTGTTATTTTTATTGAGCACTACACAGATGGTATTAATGCTGCCTGAATTATCAATAAAATGAGGATCCTTTCTTTCCAGGAATCTCTAAAATTCCAAATGAGGCATAAGGCTCACAACAGATCCTTTTCTCAAGAGCAAAATACTGGACTTGGATTGATTCCTCTTTGTTAATTACATGTGAAGATGTGAATTAATAGAACTTTCCAGAAGTCCTGAATTCCTGCAGTGCAACTTTCCTTTTTTAAAAAAATGCATTCAAGCAAGATGGTGCTGCCATCTCTTCCCTCCACTAGGCAACAAGTGGCACATTGAATACCATAAGCCACATTCTCCTGCCTCATTGAGTCAGGAAGTGGATTGTATTCAGACTCAAAAAAGAAAACTGGTTTGAATTCCAACACTTGAAAAGTGTGACGTGTGAATTCTGAATGTCCCCATGCTTTGTGAGCAGCCTAGGGGGACAACAGTTATGTTCACACGGGTTGTTAATGCTGACTGTGTAGCTGCAGGAACTTCTTTACTTTCTAGGGGCTTCTGGAAGGCTACTCCTAAGAACAAACCTGTCCAGGCTCTCTCACTACGGTTTCACGTTAATAGCTACCATTTTCAAGCCATTGAGGGGTAGTTCACCAGAGCCACTGCTACATAATTCCCTCACTGAGATCATGGATTCCATCACAGTGTTATTCTGCCTATATCCTGGGTCTTAATTCATGAGCAGAACTAATAGTCTCTGATCTATTGTTTGACTCTCTTTTATTTCTCTGCCCAGCTACCTATGCACCAACTTCCCCACTCTTTTTGTTTTTTAGGGTAGATCCTAAAGTCTTCCAGATCAATCAGCCTTCCCTATCAGATATTGAATATTTCATTAGAGACCTCGAGAACATTGAAGCTAGGCCACCGTTGGCAGGGAGTCACACCAGAGTTCAGATACTAGTCTGTTCACATTATTTGTTCCTTCAGGTGGAGATGCATACTAGTTACATGTTCCAGAACACGAAAGAAATACTGGACAATTTGATTTGAATGCTTGTTAGACATGATCTGTCCAAATTAAATAAGTTAAATCCTTCTAAAGTTACATATTTCTTTTTTGATAACTCTGGAATTAAATAAAGCCCTATTTTAAAAATCTACAAATCCCCACATGTCTGTAAACTGAAGGTTTCCTGATGCCAACTGCCAGCTACTGCAGGAGGGACATTTGAGGACTAAAGACAGTTCTTGATTCTGTACTCATCTAGATTTCTAAGTCTTGCTCTTATTCTTTACATATTGTGAGTTCTGAAAATGACATCACTTTGCAAGCGTGATTCAGGATAAAATCTACCTTACAAACATGGGCTGGTTGTTCATCTGCTCCATTTTCTCTATGAAACAAATCTTTTCTCTCTTACATCACCTCTTCCTACCTTTCTTTTCCTTCCTTCCCTCATACCTATTCTATGTTAGGCATTTTCTCTCCATAAAATGGAGAGAGAGCGCGCAATGGTGTTTTTCAGTGACAAAGTATTTTAATATGAACAGAATATCAATATGGTAATATATACATTATATAACAAGTGTTAATATATTACTATATTAATATTATTAAGATTATATTCCTCAGTCACAGCCATATGATATCTTTCTAGTTGCAAAGAAGACATACAGTCAGGTAACATCATCAGTGACTTTCAAATGAGAATTCTCTGTCAGAATGACTTATGGTACTTTTTTATCACAAATGCAAGTCAAGGATCTGTCTATGGAAAACTCCTACAGGCAGTTTTCATGTGGACCCATAAATATCATTGCACTGAGTAGTAGGAGATGATTTCAACTGTACTTTCCTGCTGCTTCAGTATTTCTTTATGTCCTGGCATTTAAACGTATAATCTGTTTAAGATTGGATAATAATGAAAGGTGAAGTAGGAGTCAGAATTCACCTTTTGCTCAGCAATGGCCAATTGACATAGCAGGGTTGATGCACTACTTAATGAATTTTCCATCATAAATCAATGGATCATAAACGTGTGGGTCAACATTCTCTTCTACCCTCTATTATTCTCTTTGCCTATCTTGGCACAAATACCTCACAAGCATGATTTCTACAGCTTTGTATAATAGGGCTTCCTATCTGACAATAGAAGTTCTCTAGCTTTTACTTATTCAAGATTGTCTTAATAATGTTCCGATTCTATTTCCATGTAAAGTTTAAAAATATTATCAATTAAGTCAGCATGCTATATATATGCCACACCCTTCTGGGATTTTTCTATTACAACTTTTGGAGCCTGTAAGTCCTTTGGGGGACAATTAATTCCCACTATACTGAATCTTCCAACTTATGATGTGGTTTTTCCTAAACATAAAACAAATACATGTCTTTTATCTATTGTTAGTTATTTATTGGTATTTGATATTTTGTGGGTTCTTAATGGTAGGAATTTGGAGTTTGTTTCCGTTTGATGTTATAGTGTATCAAATATTTTTTATTTTTCAATACTGCTACTTAAAAATATAATTGCTATTGTGTATTGGTCTTGTGTCCAGTTACTCTGCTAAATTTACTTATTAATTTGGTGTGCTAATTCTGCTCAATGGTTTACATGCACAAGTATGTTATTAACTGCATTCTCTATTATCCTCCAGTCTTCCTTTTTTTCTCTGTTTTCTATCTTTGTACCCTACCTCACTAGCTTGACTTTCACCTAGTATTTTACATGCACATGTAATTTTACACATTATTTGCAAATGGTCCTGGTATTGTTTATTCCTGTAAAATGAGTTTTGTGTCTTTTGCTTACATCAGTGCTCCAGTCCTCCAGTTCCAGGTCAAACATCTTTGTCTCATTATTGATATCAACTAGTTATCCTTAAATATAATTTTACCATTATAGATACTTGAAGATAATCATATCAAAAAAAGGATTTTAGTTTTGTCTGCCATGAACTGCCATTGGATCTCATTAAAATAATGTGTCTGTTGAGATGCTATAACATCTGAATGTCTTTTATATAGTAAAATATTCTTTTCAGCAACATGTTGCAATTGTGAGACATCTAACACTATGCAGTGATATATTGAAGCCAATTGGAAGTGTGTCAGATTTACTGCCATTTTGATACTCATGTTAAACGTTCCTAAAATCTCATTTCTGATTAAAGACGTAACAAAACACCAGGTGTTTCCTGGTAGCCTCTAATGAATGTTGAGTCTTCTGCTGAGGTATATGTTCTTGCTCCGCAGGAAAGCAGGCTACCTTAGATCCATTCACGTTGCTGGACCTTTTGCCAAACTCTACTGACAAGTACTACATTTACAATGGCTCCTTGACGTCCCCGCCCTGTACAGACACGGTGGAGTGGATTGTTTTTAAGGACACCGTGAGCATCTCTGAAAGCCAGGTAATTTGGAAGCTCACATAAATGAAGCAATTGGAAGCAACGTGAAACAAGCAACATGAGTTTTTCTAGCTCTGCTAGGAGGTACGTGTCTGAAAGCATTTGCCGATGCTTTGCAGGGGCCTTAAATGATCTTGTCTTCCCTCCAGTTGGCTGTGTTTTGTGAGGTTCTGACGATGCAGCAGTCGGGGTACGTCATGCTGATGGACTACTTACAAAACAATTTTCGAGAACAACAGTACAAGTTCTCTAGGCAGGTGTTTTCTTCATACACTGGAAAGGAAGAGATTCACGAAGCAGGTATGTCCTGAAATGTGATTTTTTTTTAATGTACTCTTCACAGATTCAGGGTAAATGGTGATTTTGGAATCATGGAAAATAGGAGTTTAGAAGTTTAAAAATATTTTAATTACTTTTGCTGCTTTAGGCTAGCTAGTTAACGTCCCTGAATCTCAGTTACAACATTTTAATAAAATGACAGATATGTGAGGAATAACCTCACATATTTATAAATTTCTTAAGTTTTTTAAAAATTATTTAAAATAGATCATATTATCTTGAGTTGTACAAGCCTATTTCAATTCAGCATGTCCATTTACAAGTACAATGCAGTTGATTATTGTCACCCCTTTTGGCCTTCTCCATTCGTTGAAGTTATAATAAAAAGTAAGCCACTTGCTTTTAATTTGTGGGAGTTGTGACTCTGTCTAAAATGTTTGGTTTTTTTCTTGCTTGTTCTATCATAGCTCTTTACATCAATAAGCACTTATTATATCTCATGCGTATTCCTGTGATAGCCTTTTCATAAGAGATACACCATCTCCCATCTATTCCTTGTAACTACATTTGACAATAAGTGAGGAATCTGTTTTTGCTTAGAATTTGGCTTTTATTAAACTTCATAGGATAATAAGTTATTTATTACCTGGGAGCTGTCTGGGTCCACTTCCAGTCTGTGTGTGTGTGTGTGTGTGTGTGTGTGTGTGTGTGTGTGTGTGTGTGTGTGTGTGTGTGTGTGTTTAATTGGAAATAAGAGTGTCACAGACTTTCCTGTCCAGGGTTGCTTTGAACAGCAATCTTCAAATCTCCTGAGTAGCTAGGATTACAGGCCTGAGTCACCAGTGCCTGGCTCCAGAAAGTGATTTTTAAGGTGAAAGTAGAGATAAGCCTACAAGAGGAAATTAAAATTCTCTGCAATGTCACTCCTCAGAGATAACCACTATGAGGATTTTGGTGACAATCATTCAGATATTTCTCTTAAAGACGTTGCTATTTCTCATAAAATCAAGAGTATGCTGCATGCATTTTATTTACTATATAAAAACAGGAAGTCACAGCCATATGCAGAGCTCTTCAAGTTTTCCATGTTTAAGGCATTTAAAAACAACTTGTTGAGTAGAATTACACGTGCAGTTCTAATCTCATTGGCCAGAATGTTAACAATTTTAAAGTAAAATTTTCTTTAAAGGTACAAGAAAATCAGAGGACATTTTTCGGTGCATGCTGGGAATGCCTTTGTATCATAATTTGTTTGAACTATGAGAAATTTTGTTAATAGTTTCTAAAAAGTGTCTTAATGAAGTAAGCTTACTTTTCGAAGACTAGTAGTTTTAAATACCATTTGTTAAGGTTACATGTAAATACTATAATTCTATTCAGAAAAGTAAAGTGAGCATAGTTTACCCCTTAGACATACATTATAAATTGAATGATTGCTGAAGTTACACTGTGCCCCGAGGAAGACTACGAAGTAAGTAGAACATGAAAGACTTTTTGGTGGTTTATAGAAGTGAATGATGAAATCCTTCAGAAGGGCAAAACAGGGAGAGGACTTTTCCAATTCTTATATTTAATGTTTGTAACAAGGCTAATATTGATTTTATTAAGATCCAGCATTCCACCAGACACCAGTGTGTCACAATTTTAATCCTATCTGCTTAGGAAGCTGAGATCTGAAGGTCACAGTTCAAAGCCTGTTAACCATGGAAAAGCTAGAAGAAGAGCTGTGGCTCAAGTGGTAGAGCACTAGCCTTGAGCAAAACAGCTCAGGGACATCACCTAGCCACTAATTTCAAGCCCCAGGACTAGCACACACACACACACACACACACACACACACACACACACACACAAGATCCAACAATGCCAAGGAGGAAAAATCACTAATTTGTTGGTTTATCTTCTAGTCTTTAAGTTTCTTGTGGTTGTCATCAAAGTACCCGTCTCAATATTTTTTAATGCATCTCAGAAGCTTCAGGTAAAGATCTGGTGGATATGAGTGTGTGTTCACCAAACTTCAAATTAGTGGAAAGTAGCTGAGTCAGACCTTGTGTACTCTCAGTAATTATGACATGTCCCCTGCCACTCCCCAGGAATCACCTCTTTTCCTGTCCATCCGTGTTTCTAGCTAGAATACATAGAGCTCAGCCTGCACTTCTCTCCAGGCTGACTGCACTTCTTCCAAGGCAGGCCCCAGAGCAAGAAAAGACAGAGGTCTCCGTCTATCTTTGATCCTCGGTGTCAACTTTGATGCAGAGAATCCATTGACGTTTCTCTTTTTCAATCTTTTTTTTTTCTTTAATTTTCTGTTGTAAGTTATTGTACATTACTCTTTTTTTTCTTTTTTTCTCTATTTTCTGTTGTAAGTTATTGTACATTACGCTGTCCAGAATTCAGAAACTAAAGATATTCACTCGGTCTTAGAGCTGACTAAACGTCAGTTAGAAAGCTGACCCTGGAGTGCATTTCTTAAAGATAGGGACAACACCTTCTGCGTTTTGTGTCAGGAGTTCCTGGCACCAAGTAGGTCATAACTGACTAAACTGAGGTAGGAGCCAGGTTAACCTGAGGGAGGTTAAAGCCAGAACACTTATTATAGGAAGGGTCTTTTGCATTCATGTGATACTGACATACTTTTTTGTACTCATGTATATCATCTGGCATGAGTTCCTGGTAGAGTGAAAGCCTGGCTCATAGCAGGAATCCTACAGGGATCAGAGTTTCTTGTCTACCCTTCCTTGAAAGATGTGATATTCTGACCCAAATCACACATAACTTGTAGAAAGCAACCAAGGTATAGACATGGTTCTGAGGAAGGGACCCATCTCAAGACTTGAGTTCTAAGCTGCCTGTGATCAATGAAATTATATCTGTGTTACTACTTCGTTCTGTTGCAGCGTGTTTGGTGTTTAGACTGATCCGCAGACACCTTCTTGATTTTCAGACCAGGTATTCTGCTGGGTTATTTACATTCTTCTACTGTAATAAATTAATTTCCATAGGAAATATAGGGAAATCTGGGATGTTCAGTGCATATTAATCACTTCTCCCATAGTTATTACCTGCTTTTATGTTTGAAACTGAATAGTAAATATAGGATTAACCAGATGGATATTTGAAAGATTCAGTTGTACAGAAGGACCATCTCTTTTTTTATTAAGTTTTTAATTGTGAAAATACTGTACAAAGGTGTTACAGTTACATGAGCAAGGTAATGAGTACATTACTTATTCAGTATTGTTGCTTTGTTTTTCCCCTACTATCCCTTCCCTTCCACCTCCTCAGCTACACCCCCAGTCCCCACCCCAGCCTAAATTGTAAAGTTCATTTTTCAACATAGCATCTTGTACATCTCATTGTTGCAATGGGTCCACCTGTATCCCTATTTAAACATTTTGTTTTTTCCATACCCCTCTCCAAATTATACTAACATCAATTACAGTGAAAACAGGGGTTATACCGTGAGGGAGGAACATACAAAACACCAAAAAAATCACTTGGTACCTTATAAATACATTAAAAACAATAGTAAGAAAGAAAAAAACACTTGTGTCCCCTTATTTGTAATAACCAGTATATGTCTGGGACAAGCAGAAGAGGTCACATAAGATGATGTTAAGTGAAGAGGACCATCTTTTAACAAGATAATGGACTATAAATGGAAATATGAGGTTTTGACTTAAAGACATACTCCAGATTCTGTGAGCTCTTTCATTCATTCTGGTTCCTGAGAGATTTGTTTTCCTCCCTGTGCTTTAGAAATTTACCTGGGCTGCGAGGAGATTGCATTTATTATTTCACTTTATTTTCACAGTGTGATAAAATATTTTAACTTCAAATTATTTGTTCATTTACAAGCATCAGGACTCTGTTAGATTAATTTTTGGCATAATTCCCAGCATGAGCTTGAATTCAATTCAATAAGTCATTTTGCTCAATATCTTAGTTTTCAAATGAAACAAATCTTCTATCCATGAAAATACATACTTTCTTTTTCCAAAATCATGTATTTTATCAATGAGGCAGTACAGCTTAGCTACAGATTATTTAGTACTGAACTGTTGACTGTAATTACATAAAACAAGTTTTTAAAAGATATATTTCTAATTGAAATACAAGCTCTCACAATTAAACTTATAAATTATTGAAGACTTACAAGCAGGAAATATAGGGAATTTAAGAAGTAAATTTCTGCTAGTAAAGGGATATAAATTCCAAAGTCCTACTTTATATTAACTTTAATTCTTTTTTTTCGGTCGTGGGGCCTAAACTCTGGGCCTGGGTGCTGTTCCTCAGCTTTTCAGCTCGAGGCTAGCGCTCTACCACTTGAGCCACAGCACCACTTCCAGCTTTTTCTGTTTATGTGGTGCTGAGCAATTGAATCCAGGGCCTCATGCATATAAGGCAAGCACTCTACCACTGAGCCACCTTCCCAGTCCCAACTCTAATTCTTAAAATGTGAAGTACTTTTGTTTGTTGTATTAGGCAAGACAAACATGGATATCTAACCAACGTAATTGTTTAGACAGTAGTCATTTGGTTACTTAGTAGCTAATACCTTACATTTTGTCCTCAAGAAATTTGTTTTGTATCCACATATAAGGCAAATATATTTTAAAGTAGGGTTACTTTAAGTCATTCCCACTTTCTAACACATGGGATTGAATTTAAGAGGATATTGTCCACAATCTCCTCCTACATTTTCAAAAATGGACCTGTGGTTCATTGGAAGAAAGAATGAGGTAATCCTGTGTATCAGATGACTTGATGGTCATTTGCCATCTAGTGGACATTTGTAGAAGTGTCACATGATATGTCTAAATTAGAAGATGTACTCTAAATGTAAGGGGGGGTGTTGTTTGTTTGTTTGTTTGTTGTGCGTGGTTTTTTTCCTGGATGAGGGAATATTTATTCCCAGAAAAACATCTACCTCTAAGCCCTTCCTAAACAAAAAGCATCACCTCAGGTTTGAAATGTAAAGCCCTATTTCTAAATTATCTAAATATTTCCATGTATTTATCTAAATTATATATTTGTATCTGCTTACCACTACCATCACAGAGTACATTTGCTAAAATGGCTAATAGTAAACACTGCATATAAAAATTTTCAATTTATGCAGGCAATTGTTAGGCGTGGGTGCCCTCTTGTGTTCAGGCAATGAACTACAGACAAAAAGGCTTGGTGGTCACATTATCGAATACGCTGGTACTTTATGAGTATCCAGGATGATTGATGAATCTAAGTCAGCTGCATACTTTCATGTAGTAGCTTTGTAAGTTCAAGTGTGTCACATAATTAATCTTTGTCCTGAGAGTTTTTTCTCTCACCTCTGCAAATCTATAAGGACTGTACAGAAATTGTATTCATTACTTTGCCTCATTTGCACACCATAAAATGTTATATTTTCCTGAAAATGAAGCCAATCTATCATACTAGAAAGTATCAGGAATTTTCTTACATGATGAAATCTTTGGCATGATTTCCAGCAAGAGCTTGGATTCCCTTTAAGAAGTCATTGAAAATATATTTTCCAATATTATTTTTTCAGCTGAGACAGATATTCTAATTTTCTAAATTTATTTGCTTGATCTTTCAATTAGCAAAACAAAAATCTTTCAATTGGGATATTTTCTAGCAATTAGTAAAATAGTGAATGATTATATAACTTGCTGTATGGCTTTTGGGGGGTGATTTTTTATTATTATTATTATCTTTAAGTAGTTATACACAGTGGTTTCAATTTAACATGCCACTTTCTGAGTAGAATGCATCGCAATCCATGTCACACCTTCCATTATAAGGAATTTTTAATTATTTTAATGATTCTCCAATAACAAAATGCCTAATAATAGACCCTCTTTTGTCAGTGACATTTTTCTAGACGTGAGCTAAAAACATTTTTCCAGTATCAAACAAGACAAAGCCACAGTGAGCTGATGTTGTCTCTTGTTCCTTTATTTCTAAAAGTGAGTATGTGTGTCAAATGTATTTTTTTTAAAAAACCATGTTCTAAGATGATATTGAAATAAAGACCTGGGGCTCATATATTTGGAAGGTGCTAAAAAATTGAATCAAATAATGCAATAATTGTGATTTTTTTTAAGACTATTGAAAATAACACATCACTTCACTAGGGACCAGAGTATGTAGAGAAAGGCACCATTCGGCTAAGTTCCTCCTTGAGCAGAAAGAGAAAAATAACAGTGAAGGAAAGAGTATATTTGCTATGGTTTAAATATAATTTGTCTCTCTGAACTAATTTAGGTGTTTGACTCCCAGTGTCTTTATCAATAATGGTATTTAAAGGGTGGAAACTTACTCAGACTATTGAGAGGAGGAAAGTAATTCCATCAGATTTGAATAGATTAAATTAGATTAGTTCAAGTGGTAAACCCAAAGATTGAATGGTGGCTTTATAAGGATGGAGGAGATGCCACGCCATCTTTTTGTCACACACTTGCTCCCTACATGATGCTATGTAGCCAACAAGGTCCTCACGGAGCCCACACCACACAGTGGTGAGGAACAACCAGCTTCGAGAACTGTGAGCCAAAGCAATCCTCCTTTTGTTACACCTCAGAGATCTGTTGTGATGGTGAGCACCGACTAATACAACTCTAGGTACAGAAAAAAAACATCACCTGCAGAAGCTCAAGGATGGGCAAAAGTAGAAATAAAATACAAAATAACCTCACAAAATATGGTTGGCTTAGTCAACTCCTAGAAACCAACAGTTGTTATCAATACCAATTACTTGTTTTCTTTTCTCCTTGTAAGTTTGCAGTTCAGAACCTGAAAATGTGCAGGCTGACCCAGAAAATTATACCAGCCTTCTTGTCACCTGGGAAAGACCCCGAGTCGTTTACGATACCATGATCGAGAAGTTCGCAGTTCTCTACCAGCAGTTAGAGGGAGACCAAACCAAGCATGAATTTTTAACAGATGGCTATCAAGACCTGGTAACTATAAGATGACTTGTTTAGTGCATAATAACGTGATAGTTTAATTGCCAAGGTAAGAACTTACACATGATCCTATATGGTTACCCTTACTTTCATTTTCGGATGAAAGTCTCCAGAACAGAATTCTACTACATGATGACCAGAGTTACAATGAATCATAGGGAGACCGTGAACAAGGCCAACAACATGATAGAGCAGATTACATATTTTAAAATTTTAGGGACTAGGAGTTATTTAATGTGCACATTTTTTCAGAAACCAAGTTTTAAAAATTAATATTAAAATTAATATCTCTCTGTGAAGAATTAGCCTTAGAATCTCAGTGCCCTGACTTAAGGTATGTTATTTGATCTTTCCACATGCTACCCCTAGCACTAGCAAAATGGAGCAGGGGACTTAAAAGTCTGTTTCTTTGAATTAGATTTGTAATAACACATGTGATGTGACAATGATGTCAGAAGCTTGGGGATGTAATTGAACAGGTAACTCTTGCCCACTGACTCACCCCTGTCCCCTTCCACCCATTCTTATGAACCAAAGAAGGCAAAGAGCACATTCCTTGTGTGAACTATACATTGCAAAATTAAACTTTGCTTTGGTAAAGAGGTGCTGGCTGTGGATGAAGGTGGATTTGCAAACCCTTATTTGGCTGCAGCTTTTGGAACACACTGTGGCAGGTGAAAGATTACTGGACTCTGCTTTCAGACAGCTAGAGGCCTACAAGTCCCAGGACTGGCATTATATAACTGTCATTGTCATTATGTATAATAGCAGGTAGATAAATGAAAAGTTTAACTACTTTTTAATTTGCCTAGAATACTGATAAAACTATGATATGGGAAAATTGTGGGATTTTTAGCTTGTGTTTCTCAGTTATGAGAACTAGTTATGGAACTAACACATAATTGAGGGAAAAATCAAAGCTTTTAACTTTTCAATATCTTCATAGTTGACAAAGTTAACAAAGTTCAACAGCGCTGCCTGAGCTTCTTTGTGTGTTGACAAAATATGGCTATTTTCTATTGAACAAATATGGCTATTTTCTATGGGAACAAATTTTCTAGGTCTACTATCTAGTATGCTTCTCTTTTGAGAATAGTATATTTGTATAATTATGAATGTCTTTGTTTCAGGGTGCTATTCTCAACAATTTAATACCCAATGTGAGTTATGTTCTTCAAATAGTAGCCATATGTAGTAATGGCTTATATGGGAAGTCTAGTGACCAACTGGTAGTGGACATGCCTACAGACGAAGCAGGTAAGCCCTCAGATACCTTTTGCATTTTAAGTGAGGCTGAGGTACTGGGTGTATGAGTGTTTTCTTCTGATTTTGTGTCCTATTGGGCAAAGGGAAAATAATTTTCTGTGAAGTCTGGATCTACAGTATTTGGTGACACATTGCCCTACTTTTTGTTCAGCAAATCTCTTTCAAGATAACCAACTAATTCTTTTTGTTCCCTCTCTGAACAGTGCAATTTTTAAAAAGAATTCATAGTGTGCTGCAAATTCAAAATGATGTATGAGTGAATGGATGATATTGTGTGAGTGACTTATTTAATATTTTAACATATTTTACTATCTTGGAGTAAGTGTACGAAGAGGTTTCAGTTCAACGTGTCTGTGAGGACAATGCATCGTGATCAGTGCCGCCTTTTCATCGTTCCCTCTGTCCCAGCCCCACAAACGACCTGGCTCCACTTTCACATGTGTATATTGAATATTATGACACTATTTGTCCACCTGTCCTCCCTCCATTTGTCCACCCATCCTCTCCCCATGTGTCCAATTTTTTTTGTTACATTGGTGTTCTTCATATGTAAAACAAGAGCAAGGAAACCCATTTAAAAGGTTTATAAAGTCAATGAAGTCTTAATTGCTACATGACTATTGAGATGGTTATTGTAGATAATGAAGAATTGATTTCTGATTCTTTTTTAAAAAAACCTTTGACACAATTGATACACACTTAAAAATGTGGGGAAAGCCAGTTGGTTTTATTTGTGCTTATTTCTTTTTTCAGCTCCCAAAGCACTTTGTAGTAAGTATATATATATGATCCTAGGATCGCATGTGCTGCTTAGACATATCTATGCAAAGCATGTCAACAGATCACCTTTACCCACTTTTTATAATTTGGTAAGGGTGCTTTTGTGTTGATTTGACAGTATTCAACAAAAACATAAGGTTTTTCTAATTGTGTGTATTTGCATGACCTTTTTCTAATTTTGGGGGGAACACCTTTTGATCTCAAAGCATATGCAATAATCAAATGGTAAACACCACAATATGATACTTTGAACATTTGAAGTTTTCCTTTCATTATTATAAACTTTCTGGTTGCCTTTTTGTTCATTGTTGTTGGTTCATGTTTTAGAGGATTTTTTTGCTTATTTCATATCGTTTGTCTGGGTTTGAGCCAGGTCATGCTACCTAACTCACACTTGTCTTGAACTTGTGATCCTTTGGTCTCTATCTCTGAAGTGCTAGAATTACAGGGATGCATGATGATGCCTGGCTAGCATAAGCAGTTTTCAATGGACAGAATCAAAGAGTGTACCTGAATGCATATACACTACTAAATGCACATAATACATAAACATGTTGTGCTCATCCTCATGGTGAGTCTTTCACTAAAACATTAACACAACTTTGCTATGAATAATATCAAAGTGATTCATCATAATTATATCTATGATAAACCATGCTACCCCATTGAATGACAGTACCCTACATTCTCCCATATTGATTTACTTAGGAAGTCACATTAGTATAACATTTACCATGTCAACCACTACTATATGTGAACAGAATAAAATATGGCATGTAAAAATACATTCTCTACTCTTGTCTGTATAGTATAATATAGTATTCATTAGTATAATGAATATAGTCATTTAAATTTACAATCTCAGGTCAATTATGTGACTCTAATTTATGTAGATTGAACAATGTTCAAGAAATTTATTTAAAATGTTTACTTCATTTTACTTTCTTTTCTTAGTCACTGTCAGAATTTTCATCTTTCTGAGTATTTTTATTATTTTTTGTAAACTTATTGCATATGAAGAAAATGAGATCAAATCTCTATTTTCTACAGAAGTTGAATCTGAGTGATTTGTTTGATGTGAGTCTTCATCAGCACCAAGTATGGCCTTCTTAAATCATTTGTAGTGTTTTTGCTTTTTTACAAAAATACTAAGTGTTATAACTTAATTTAATTTCTATTTATTCAAAGGTCCGGGACACTGTTGAACATTGTTATAACGAGAAGTTAGCTTGGACTACTAGTTAATCTTCATGGATGTCTTAGTCTTGTAAAAAGTTCTTTACCCTAATGCTGCTTTAGTGAAAATGGCATTTAACTTGAAATTTTGAAATGATATTTCTATTAAAAGCCCAGCATACTCTGAATATTCTTATGAAAAATTCCTCCATCCAAAGCATGTTACCTAAAATATGCAGTTTTCTTTTTCTTTTTAAATAAAATATTAGCTTATTTGGAATTCCTTCTTCCTGATTTTAAAGTATTGAACAGCATTTCATTAAGTATCTATATACAAAATATAGATTTTTAAAAATTCAGTGTGGAAAATACATTATCTTAAATATTAGTTCTACAATAGACACATCACTGTGAAAGTCTTGGCCATTACTAGTTTATACTTTAGTAAGTATAAGATTAGTCAATCTTATTATTTATGTACCTAATGTAGAAATTTAGTTTTCTGCTTAATCTATGCTGTGTAAGTAGTGACTCTGTGTGTGTGTGTGTGTGTGTGTGTGTGGTGTGGTGTTGTTGGTATTACTGGGGTTTGAACTCAGGGCCTCATACTCTTGCCCAGCTATATCACTCACAACTGGTGCTTACCACTTGAGCCACACATCCGCTTCTGGTTTTTACTAGTCAATTGGAGGTAAGAGTCTCATGGACTTTTCTGCCTGGGTTGGCATAGAAAAGTGATCCTTGGGTCTCAGCCTCTTGAGGATCTAGAATTACAAGCATGAACCACTGACACCCAGCAATGTTATATATATATATATTTTTTTTTTAGAATCATTTTATTCTGTAAAATATGTGGTTCCATTATATTGGTAATAATATATCACATTGAACTATTATTATTTAGGCTAAGCTGTTGTCTTTTAAATACTGTATTGTTTGTTTATTTGTTAAACTGAAATGCTGGCGATAGCTTATAATCATCCTTATTCTCTCAGAGATTTAAAGCATTCTATTCAGTATATGAGAAAAGTTCAGTCTTCCAAATTAATTTGATTAAATTGTGCATTAAGGTTGATCATTTGATATCCTATTTATTTATACATCTTAATATATTTATTAATGTGTATTAAATAAATTTATATTGAGAAACTAATTTACATTTCTCAAGGCAGTCTTAATTGTTTTTCTTTTCATCCTTTTCTTTAAAAATTTGTCGGCCATGGGGCTTGAACTCTGGGCCTGGGGGCTGTCCCTCAGCTCTTCAGCTCAAGGCATGCACTTTACCACTTGAGCTACAGCACCACTTCCAGTTTTCTGGTGGCTTATTGGAGATAAGAGTCTCACAGCCTTTCCTGTCCAGGCTGGCTTTGAACCACAACCCTTCCTCAGATCTCAGCCTCCTGAGTAACTAGGGGTATAGGCCTGAGCCACCAGCAGCTATCCTTTTATTCATCTATTTATTTTTGAGACAAGGTGTTGTATGCAGGTCAGGATAGCTCAAACTCACTATGTGGCCTATAGGATAACCTCAAACTTTAATCCTCTTTCCTCAGCCTCTCTAGTGGTGGCATTATAGTCATGTACCACCATGTGTGGCTGAAGCCATTTAATACAAAGTAGAAATGTATTTCTTCTAAAAGCCACTAAAAATATGCCTGCAAAGTGAAGAACTCATGAGTGTAATTTTTTTCATTGCACCTAATGTAATGCTGATCATTTGTCCCTTCTAATGTGTTATATTACAGTAATAGAAGACGCTATTGAATAATATGTCATAGGGCTTTGATAACAATGTGTACTCAATTTAAATTCATGATGAATTAAACCATCACCATTTCCCCATTACTGTGTATTTTTCTATTGTGTATGTCCACATTACCATTGCTCTACCTCTTATTCATTCCATTCCACCTCATGCTGCTGATACCATCTTTTAACAATCCTTACATTACAGTCTACAGCAATTACTACAATAGTAGTCTACATTGCTTTGGTTTTTCACCTGTGAAACTGATTTCCTTCAAAGTATTAAATAATATTTGCTTGTCACTCTGTGTCAGTGTTGCTCTTTGTGTTTTTGTTTTACTAATGTACTAATTTTTTTAAAAAATTATCTTACATGTGTTCAAAAAACAAACTCTACCTTAAACTGATTTTGTTTAGTTGTAATGCAAATGTGAATTTTAAGTATTCACTCAAAACAATTAAAACACATAGTGTTGGTCTTCACTATCCGATAGACCAGATAGAGATTTTCATGAGTTTTTATTTTCTCTTTTCAAAGTCTATTTTGCTTAAGTGAGACTATTCAATCAATTAGGATCATCTTTTAGCTATTTAATATTTCTGTAGTACTAGAGGCAACCAGTAATTATTGAAGTATCCATTACTGTGCATGAGCAGACTCCCAGCCAAGTCAGCGGGCAACCCAATGCCTTTCAGCAGAGCTAGATCTTAGGTGCTAGAGTCTTGAATACTCAGACTCAGGTATGGCTTCGGAGTCTTAAGAAAGACAGAGACTGTCTTTAACTATTATTTTATTTGTGGAATTGTTCATGGTAAAGCTCCAAATTTTACATGAAGTTAGATCATGTTTTAAATTTTAAGACAGCTTTCTGATGGGTACTGGGAAGAATGAAAATTTGTTGACATTCTTTGAGTTATAGCCTGTTAACAGGAAACCTATCATTTTGATATAGATGACAGTAGTAAGTATTTACTTACAATTTTCCCTTATTAGCGTTGTAATATATTGAAAGAGTGACCCTAGGTTAAGGATTTTCCAAGACAACTAGGTAGTGTCTCCTGAACTGAATTTAAAGGTTATTATGTACATGAACTTTCCAATTTTTTTACCTATGTTTTAAGCCTAATGACATCTCATTGTTGGATTCTCACATACTGATTTCCTTGAAGGATACAAAGGCTTTGGTATTTGAGCTAATTGAAATCATTTTAGTTTGAAAACGAAGAATAAAAAAATGAAAAATTGAGGCAGGTAAATGATAGTGTTGGACAAAAACAGAAAACACTAATGACCCAAATAAAAATATCCAAGCACTTTCACAGTCTATTGTAATAAGAAAAAAAGGGAATTAATATTTAAGACTGATTTTTTTCTATTGACTTTTTTCATTTTTATAGCACAGAAATTTGTCAGGATAAGTAACTTCAAAATAATTAAGTTGGTGGCTCAGGGGTAGAGTGCTTGCCTTGCATGCATGAGGCCCTGGGTTTGATTCCTCAGCACCACATAAGCAGAAAAGGCCAGAAATGGTGCTGTGGTTCAAGTGGTAGAGTGCTAGCCTTGAGCTGAAGAGCTGAGGGACAGCGCCAGACCGAAAGTTCAGGCCTCACGAACAGCAACAATAATTAAGTTGTCAAAAGCACTAACTGTGGAGGCGGCCAATGGCTCATGTCTAATCCTAGCTGCTCAGAAGGCTGAGATTTGATGATCACAATTCAAAGCCAGCTTGGGTAGGAAAATAAATGAGACTCTCTTATGCAATTGACTACAGAAAACAATGTCTAAGTGGTAGAGAGCTAGCCTTGAGCAAAAATGCTCTGGGACAGCACCCAAACCCTGAGTTCAAGCCCCATTATCAGCACTCAAAAATATATTAACCTTAAATCATGGCAAATGGGTGCATTTTCAGATTTTGCTGAAATTCCTTGGTGAATAAAATTCATGTGTAGAATTATATTTTTAGTTTAATATTTATTAATACCTAGTAATTTTCTAATACAACTAAACTCAGGACAGTTTTCAAAGTCAAGTCTTGATATGGTAAATATATAACATCAGCTCAGTTGATGTTAAGTATTTATTCTACATGAATGCATTTCTTTTAAAGACATGTAAATACTTAAAGCATAGAACATAAACATCATCAGGGGGCTGGAAATGCGGCTTAGTTGTAGAGTGCTTGCTTTGCATGCATGAGGCCCTGGGTTCACCATATAAGCAGAAAAAGCCAGAAGTGGCACTGTGGCTCAAGTGGTAGAGCACAAGCCTTAAGCTGAAGAGCTGAGGGACAGCGCCCAGGCCCAGAGTTCAGGCCCCACAACTGACCAAAGAAAAAAAGCATCATCGGGGGTTGGATACATGGCTCAATTGGTAGAAGGCCAGCCAGTGAGCAAAAGCATAAGGTACTGAGTTCAAGTCCTGGACCTATTTTTAGGTCCTTAGACCTAAAAATAAAGCATCATCAAGATGGTGCAGAGCACAAACTTTGGAGATGGAATGAGACTTAATAAAAGCAAAAACAATAAAAACATTATCACAAAATTTCTCAAGCCCTCACATTCACTACTAGCTTCCTAATAACCCAGGCAGAGAAAGACAGAGAGATTGTCAGTATGGCTACATTCCTTATTAGAGAATGAAAACCACCTCTTAGCCTTCCTTAACAATTGTTGACAGGTCTTTTTTAGTGCCCTGAGATATCCATGTACTGAAAATAAATTGATTCTGTTAGGGAAGAAGAGACTTCAAAGAAACTAGTTATTGAATTGTTTTTGTTGTTGGCATTAGCTAAGGTTCCTTTGGGAGAATGCATAGGAATATTTCCATCCACTGCTTCCTGCTGTCAAACTGATCTGGTACCTGCTGGAAACTCCATTGTACCTGATGGGGCGCCCTGTGTATAAATATAAACACAATTCTTTGGCCCTGGGGGTGGGGGTGGGAGATGGGAAGGGCTGGGAAGGGAAACAAAGGAGGAGGCAACAATGCTTGATAAGAAATGTACTCATTATCTTGCCCATGTAATTGTAACCCCTCTGTATGGTATTTTCACAATTTAAAAAAAAAAAAGAGTGAAAAGAGAGTTACCTAATCCTCACTGAGAAGAAACTAAGAAAAAGATAGCCAAAGAAGAAAATGGATCCTACAAATTCTCCAGAAAATAGCATTTCCCCAAATACACTTGCATCCATTCTAGTAAGGATGGTGAAAATTACCTGAGTGCCTTTCTACTTAGTTATATCATTTTCATTGGCTTCCTTTACTCCCTGGTTTCAGTGACAAAGGGAGGGTGTGGGGAAAGCAATTGGAGTGGAGACAAATAATCAGTGTTTTGAATGGAATTGTACGTACGTTTATGTGGTGTTCAGTAGTGTTAAAATTAAATTTTGGAATTTTCATTGTTTTATTTAAAGCTCATAGTTTTTGTTGCTGTTATTGTTTTACTTTTCCGATTTTTTAGGCAAAGGCAAACCAACCAGGCTGAAATAGCTAAATAGCAAGTAATAATCGTTTTGTTTTTTATTTTATAGAACTTGACCTTTTTCCAGAATTAATTGGAACTGAAGAAATAATCAAGGTATCACCTCATTTTATATGCAGATGTTTTACATGTTAAAGTCTATTTGAAATAATTTCTTATACTTTAGGTATTGTTATGTTAACTAATAAAAGTTAGTGTTGGCTTATTCATTGTTGGATTACTTGCTAGGCTTTAGAGTTGTATGATTCCTGTGTAACAAATTGGAAGATACTTTGATTGGTTTAATACAAAAAAAATAGAGATAAGGAAAAACAACTAGTGATAAATTTGTAATAAATATGTAGCAAAATCAAACCTATATATTTTCATCATTTGATTTACTTACATTTGGGCTATTTATATAATAAATGTGAGTTGCTAATGCAGTGTTCCCCAACTAAATTAATATTTAAGAATCTGTATAAATTTTAACATTTTCTTAATTTTTTAATGAGAAAAATGATTATTAAATTAATCGTATATTTTATCCTAAGCTCAAATAATGCTGTTCTACATAGCTGAAATTATGCAGCAAGCTTAGCTCTCTGTTTGATATGAATATATGCATGTGTTCATACTTGCTTGAGATTCAGAGTTCTTTTACTGATGTTGGTCAAGTTCTCCTTGACTGACTTGCTCTGTTCATTTCTTCTTCTTCAAGAGACACAGCCAGAAAAGACCTGTTGTCTTGGATGATCCAGTAGATAACAGCACTAAGAAATGGTTGAGTGCAAAAAATACTGAAAAAAGCATGTCCTACAAGGACTCAAAAATACTTTATTTGGCCATTTAGTTTTCTAAACAGTATGACTAGATGTAATGTAATATTCACTATTTTACACAGAGAAAGAAGATAGAGGGGGATGACGCGAGATAGGGGGAAATGGAGGAGGGGGAGAAGGTAATGGGTTGCTGTTGACTTCTACTCAGAACACTACCAATCCATTGCAGTGACTTAAGAGTAGACTGAAAGCTCAGCCGCCTGGATAGTACTAATAAAGAACAGTTAAATGGAAGCTATAAAATACTTAGTGTTAATGTGAATGAGAATTAGGCAAATGGAAACAGAAAATCAGTTTCACTAGAATCATATTTTGACAAGTTGACTTTAAAATATCTGCTTATATCTAAAGAAAAGCATATTAAAAACCAAGGGAAAAATCAGATAGTCCCTTAGTTATGTAGTACATACTACATTCAATCTGTAATGACAACTACAAAGTATCTTACTTTTTTGGGGGGGGGCAGGTCAGTCGTGGGAGCTGAACTCTGGGCCTGGGCACTGTCCCTCAGCTCTTCAGCTCAAGGCTAGCTCTCTACCACTTGAGCCACAGCGCCACTTCCAGCTTTTTTCTGCTTATGTGGTGCTGAGGAATCAAACTCAGGGCCTCATGCATGCGAGGCAAGTACTCTACCACTGAGCTATCTTCCCAGCTCCAGTATCTTACTTTTGAAACTGTTAATTTAGTAGTCTCAATCTAAAATATAATAGGCAACTATAAATAAGGTATTTGCATTAAATTTAAGTAGTTTTCCTAGAGGATAATGGTTATACAATAGAAGCATGGCGAGTCCACAGTACAGAACAGAAAATAGTATACAAAACAGTATTTAAAAAGAGAACAGAATAAAGAGACAAGAAGAGAAAGAATAGAATCTTAGCCTGGTGGTGCATTTCTGTAATCCCAGCTGCTCAGGAGATGAAGACAGGAGGACTACCAGTTCAAGACCAGCCTAGTAAAAAAAAAAAAAAGTAAGGAAGACCTTATCTCAAAAACAAACAAAAGGACCGGGGCTATGGTTTGAGTAGTAGATTACTTACTTAGCATGTATGAAGCCCTGGGTTTGATCCCTAATACTGAAAATTAAAAGTTTCCAAGACTCTACAACCGAAGAATATCAGTGTGTGTGTGTGTGTGTGTGTGTGTGTGTGTGTGTGTGTGTGTGTGTGTGTGTGTGTGTGTGCAAGTGCATGTGCATGCACACATGTGCATGCATGTGTGTGTTTATTAAGTTTTTTTCTCTTACAACTTTATGTTCTGTTTACTCGTGTTTCCTAAAGGAGGGAGAAAGGAGGAAAAACACTGGAGAAGACACTGTTGCAAATCCTGGTAGAGATAGTACCACAAACCAGATAAGAAAAAAGGAACCCCAGGTTTCTACCACAACTCACTATAATCACATAGGGACTAAATACAATGAGGCCAAGACTAACCGATCTCCAACGAGAGGAAGAAAATTCTCTGGAAAGGTCTATGTGCCTAACTCATCTTTAAACTCCACTGCCCACCCAATCATTGAGCTCGACACAGAAAAGGAACTGTCTTTGCCTTCTGAGACTGTGACTGAACTCCCACCACAGACTGTGAATGACGGCTCTAAAAGTGTCCTCATATTCCCCCAGATGAACTTGTCTGGGACTGAAGAGTCTTCAAACACAATTCCTATCACGGAATATCAAGAGCTGTCTACTGACCTGGGAGAGGAAGAGAGCTTATTGACTGATTTCAAGTTTGATGCTGGATCTGATGATTATTCAGGCTCCAGCCCAACGCCCTCCACCAGGCCGTTCTTCTCTGAGAACATATCTCGTGGATACATATTCCCTTCAGAAACCCCAGAGGCCATCCCCTATGATGTCCTTAAGCCAGAATCAACAAGGAATGCTTCAGACGATTCAGCTTCTTCAGGCTCAGAAGATGCACTGAAGGACCCTTCTATGGAGGGCAGTATGTGGTTTCCTAGCTCCCCAGATGTGACCACACAGCCTGATGTGGGTTCTGGTAGTGAGAGCATTCTCCAAGCCAATTACACTGAGATGCGTATGAATGAATCCCAGACCACAGCTGAGTCCTTTGCTTCAGGCCCCGTGGTGTCACAGAGTCCTTCAGCCACAGATGTGGAGATGCCACGTTATTCTACCTTCACCTACCTCCCAACTGAGAGAACGCCTTATGCTTTCACTCCATCTCCCGGGCAACATGATTTGGTCCCCACGATCAACATGGTACACTCGCAGACAACTCAACCCGTGTACAATGGTGAGACACCTCTTCAACCTTCCTACAGTAGTGAAGTCTTTCCTCTAGTCACCCCTTTGTTGCTTGACAATCAGACCCTCAACACTACCCTTGCTGCTTCAAGTAGTGATTCGGCCTTGCATGTTGCGCCTGTATTTCCCAGTGTTGATGTGTCATTTGAATCCGTCCTGTCTTCCTATGAGGGTGCACCTTTGCTTCCATTTTCCTCTGCTTCCTTCAGTAGTGAATTGTATCGCCATCTACATACAGCTTCTCAAATCCTCCCACAAGTTACTTCAGCTGCTGAAAGTGATAAGATGTCCTTGCATGCTTCTCTGCCAGTGGCTGGGGGTGATTTGCTATTAGAGCCCAGCCTTGCTCAATACCCTGATGTGACGTCACATCAGACTGCTGCTCCTGCTGCTTCGGAGACATTGGAATTTGGTAGCGAATCCGGTGTCCTTTATAAAACGCTTATGTTTTCTCAAGTTGAACCATCCAGCAGTCATGCCATGATGCATGCACATTCTCCAGGGCCTGAATCTCCTTATGCCTTCTCTCATCATGAGGGCTCCCAACACGTCCTCTCTGTTCCTTACAGTTCTGCAATACCTGTGCATGATTTTGTTGATGTTTCTGATCAGGGTTCTTTCCTTAGCAGCCCTAGCTACGTATCTATGAGTAGATCTTCATTTATAACCCCAACTGCGTCCTTACAGCAGCCTACCCAAGCCCTCTCTGGTGATGGGGAGTGGTCGGGAGCGTCCTCTGGTAATGAATTTATTTCACCTGACACCGATGGGTTAACAGCCCTTAACGTTTCTTCACCTGTTTCTGTAGCTGAATTTACATATACAACATCTGTCTTTGGTGGTGATCCTAAGCAGCTTACTAGAAGTGAAATGCTAAACGAGAATGAGACTGAACTGCAGATGTCTTCTTTCACTGGGATGGCTTACCATTCTGAAAGCACAGTCATGCCACACATGTACAATAATGTAAATAAGTTGAATGTGTCTTTACAAGAGACCTCTGTCACTAGTTCTAACATAAAAGGCACACTTCCAGCGTCTCTTGCCTATCCAGTCACCAAGGGTCTTGAGCATGAGATTAGTCAAGCTCCAGAAAATAACTTCCCAGCTCAACCTTCACACAGTGTAGCTCGAGCCTTGGGTGAGATTTCTCTGAAAGCTGTGCTCAGCACAAATGCAGAGCCCACCTCCTCTGACCCTGCTTCTAGTGAAGTACTATCTCCTTCAACCCAGCTCTTGTTCTATGAAGCCTCATCTCCTTTTAACACAGAAGCATTGCTACAGCCTTCCTTCCTGGCTTCTGAGGTTGACACCTTGCTTAAAACTGCTCTCCCAGATGTGGCTAGTGCTCCGGTATTGGTTGACACCCCCAAAGTTGATCAAATTAGTTCTACAGTGTTGAATCTCATGGCATCAGATTCTGCTTCAAGTGAAAACATGTGGCACTCTATAGCTGTACCGATATCTGACGTATCGCCTTCTTTTCATACGCCCTCTGCCTCACTGCAAGGCTTAACAGTTTCTTACCCACGTGAGAAGTATTTGGGGCCAGTTTTGCTTAAAAGCAAAAGTTCCCAGCAAGTGGTGCCTTCTTTGTTCCAAACTGTCCATTTGGAGACTAACCAGGCCATTCCCCCGGAAGGAAGGCATACATTTATCACTCCTGTTTTATCAATTGATGAACCAAGTGCACTTAAAACTAAGATGACATATTCTGATGAAGTATTCGCCTCCACCAAAAGTTCTGTGGCAGAGGAGGGATTTGCTGTCACTCCAACAGTTGTTTCTGATATGCTTGTATCTGCTGATGGTTCTGTTCCTGTAGGAAATGGGTACATTTCTGTTCCAGCTGTTTCTCCCAACAGAGATGGGGCTGTGGCCACAACCAAGTCCCTGCTTCCTTCTACAGCTACCTTTAAGCTGATTCATAGTGCCAGATCTGATGCTGATTTAGTGGGTGGTGGTGAAGATGGTGATGACGATGGCGATGATGATGATAATGCTGATTATGATGATGACAGAGATAGTGATGGCTTATCTACCAATAAGTGTATGTCATGCTCGTCCTATAGAGAATCACAGGAAAAGGTAATGACTGACTCAGATACCCAGGATAATGATCTTGTGGATCAGAATGACCCAGTATCATATTCCCTTTCTGAAAATTCTGAAGAAGAAAATAAAGTCGCAGGTGTAACTTCAGACAGTCAAATTAGTGTATACGGAAGTCCTGGTCTATCACCACCCACAAATACGCTAATCCAGCAGCCCAGCGATGGCAAGGAAGACAGTGACATTCAGACTGGTAGTGCCCTACTTCCTCTTAGCCCAGAATCTAAAGCCTGGGCAGTTCTGACGAGCGATGAAGAGAGTGAATCAGGGCAAGGTGCCTCAGATAGCCTTAATGATAATGAGACTTCCACAGATTTCAGTTTCCCAGATGCTGATGGGGTCTTGGAAGCAGGTGACTCAGAAATCCCTCCCGGATCTCCACATCAGTCCTCCACATCATCTGTCACTAGTGGGCACTCAGAAGTGTTCAACAGTTCAGAGGCAGGTTAGTTATGACCGAAAGGATAGAATGAAACATGGCGATCCGCTTGCTATCAAGGTTAAAATAGAAGGATTGTGGAAAGATAGAGATGTGTTAAAACAGCAGACCATCTTGGTTTGAATCAAAACTTTCAACAAGTCAATTTACCGCTTTTAAATTAGGATTTTATTCCACAATTTGGAAGTGAATATTCAACATATTTGCAATCCTTACTTCAATTCTTTTCAAAATCCGCAAGTGTATTGTATAGATTGTTGATGGTTATTCTAAAGTCTGCCATTTGTTTGTAGGAGCAATGACGTGGGCATAATATGTTTTTCATATACTGGGCGGTTTTTTTGGTATGCTAAACTGTTTTGAGATTTTTAGTTATAAGCTAATTCTATGGAATTAAGAGGTCTGATCAAAGCACCTCTGTTGCCACATTGGAAAGGGACTTAGATACAGCATATTCACCTCAGCTTAGGAAGCTTCTTTTTTTTTTTTTTTTCAAGAAAAATAATTGCTAAGTTTTGAGAGGCGATGGAGAGGTTTAAAACAAAGGTTCTGATTCAAAAATTGCCATTCTTTGAATCTCATAGTGTTGCCTAAAGAGGGCAGTGTAAACCAACAAAACACATTTTCCTTTGTGTTTTCATGCGTCCTGTGCCTTTCTCAGTTGAATAATAGTCATTTATATGCATAATTTGTATAGGCTTTGTATAACAAGATGTAAAACACTAGCATATTTTATGTAGAAATGCATTTCACTTGTTACTGTGTCTTATGCAAATTGGTTTATTAGCCAGATGTTTTCTTAGGACAGATTACTTGCAGCATATATGATACAGATGTATGCTTTACGTACTGATGGGAAAGAAATGGAAAGTTTAATTTTCTTAAGCATATGAAATACTAGATAAGTATGCAACTGTTGATAAGAATTTATAACTTGCTTTTATTAAATAAGATGTTTTTAAAATAACAATTAAAATATTTTCACCTTAACAGTGCAAAAGATGAGCTAATGTAATACCTTATACACCTATTGCATAAAAGTGAGTCGCTATGGTTTTGAATATAGATCAATATCATTAGGATATTTTTCTTCTTTGTTATTTTTATCTTTGAATTAGTTGTGTATTTTTCCCTCAGTGTAGCAATTAAAAGTTATATATTTCGATAGACAAATTTTCATTTCTGTATTCTGATTTGATACTCATTTAACATTACATTTCAGATTAAACATTTAAACTCTGATATGTGAAAATGAATGCTGAGTTTGTAGGTCCATATAGTCTTTAGTGTTGCCACATATGGATTGTTAATCTATCCTCAATTACAATACTTTTCAGAAATCTTTTAGATTTATTTTAAAAGGAATTAGAAATCTATTCATCTTTTGTGCTAGTCACATATTAGTATATTTACTAGATTGTGCTATAATAGGAAGATTGTAAATACATCTGCATAGATATGTAAACCTATACTTTTTTTTTTTTTTTGGTCAGTTGTGGAACTTGAACTCTAGGCCTGGGCGCTGTCCCTCAGCTCTTCCACACAAGGCCAGTGCTCTACCACTTGAGCCACAGCACCACTTCTAGTTTCCTGGGGGTTAATTGGAGAAAAAGTCTCATGGAATTTCCTTCCCAGGCTGGCTTTGAACCTTGATCCTCAGATGCCAGCTTCCTGAGTAGCTAGGATTACAGTCATGAACCACTAGCGCCTGGCCCAAACCTATACTTGTTTACTGAAGCAAAACATTTCTCTTTAATATCCTAATTAGATTTATTTAACTGTTAAGATTATGTCCTCCCACTGATGAGAAATCAAATGAATACAACATCCAGCATCATGAAGTAACACAATTAATGAAGTAATTAAGACTAAGCAAGCTTAGGGGAAAATACTTGGTTATTTATGTATCTGTATCTATCAAAACCACACTACCCACTTACTGAATACTCTCCTTAGTCAGAAATTTATAGCTTAGGGTATATTTCTAACAAGTACAAAATTGACAAGATATGTAAAACTAGGGATTATATTAAAACTTGCAATATATAAATGAGTACAGACTGAAACATACTAGATTCCCTGATCCAGGATTCATAAAAAGTAAATACAAAACTAAGCCTGGAAACATGTCATTTGTGTCTGTATCTTAGAAAATACTTTCATGAATGAGAACAATAACTCTGTGTGTGTGATAACTCTGTGTGTGTGTGTGTGTGTGTGTGTGTGTGTGTGTGTGTGTGTCACTTAATGCCTTTTTTTTAAGTACTGAGGTTTTTGTACTTAGTAGGGTTCTACTGCTGAGCCATACCTTGGGCCCTGTTTCTCAATGGTTATTTTAAGTGACTTACTTTGAGTTCACTGAAATCTGCATAATTTAGGCCTTTGATAATTTTTGTGATCACATCCACCCACAAGACAGTGTCTCAAGGACTTCTTTCTTTTCTTTTTTTTTAATCTCGTGTTTGTATACAAAGACATTTAAAACCAGTTTTTTTGTGTTTTTTTTATTGTGAAAATACCATACAGAGGGGTTACAATTACATGGGCAAGGTAATGAGTACATTTCTTTCTTTCTTAGACTGGCTTTGAAACACGATCCTCTGATTCTCATCCTCCCAGAGAATGACAGGCACATGCTACCACACATAGATAGGAGTTGAGAAAGTGTCTCATGAACCTTTTTGCCTGAGCTGGCCCCAAATCATGATTCTTCTGTCGGCAGCTTTCCAAGTAATTGTGATTGTTTGACTAGTGTGTGTTACAGTTAAGTTGTAATAATTAAATGCTACACATAATATTTTAAAATAATGATCTTGCTTATAAATTTTATATCAGTGGTCATTTTCATTTAGGTGCCTAGTATTCAAGTACAATACAAAATACCTATTTTAGTTTTGACTAAATGAAAATAAAATCAAGACAACTAGTTGTTCCTCATTGATGCATACAACGCAACTAGCCAGTTATCTGTGCCTTCATGAGGTATGCCATCTTATTTAAAATACCTAGGATCTGGGCCCTGGTTGCTCATTCCTGTAATCCTAGCTATTCAGGAGGCTGAGATCTTAGGATCAGGGTTCAATGCCAACCTGGAAAAGAAAGTCCATGAGACTTTTATGTTCAGTTACCACTTTGGCTCTGTGGCTCAAAGAGGTAGAGTGCTCGCCTTGAGCGAAAAAGCTCAGGGACAGCAACCAGGCCCTGAGTTCAAGCCCCATGACTGACAAGAAAACAAAACAAAATAAAATACCTAGAACTTAGAATATATTACCATAAAATTATCACTTTAACTCCTCAATTGAAAAGCTTTCTTAACAAAGTAAATAGAAGACCGTGTGTGTGCTTGTATGTGAGCACATGTAATGCATGCACCTGAATGTGATGTGTATTTAGAGCACATTGCCTGTTTTGTGTTATATATCTCGTATATATTACACATATAATCACACATATTATGAATATATATGCACTGCATCTATATAACAATATATGTATACCTACATCTTATGTAAATGAAGTGTATATGTACATATATATATACACACACACCTGTATGTGTGTATATATGGACATATATTGCATTGCTATTAATTTTCTGACCATTGAAAACCTGTGTGGTTACATACTCTCACTTTGTACATTGATCTACATCATGGACTTTCATGTATCTGATTCTGAAGATTTAGTGTGGTGGGAGCCCAAAATTTGCACTGTTTTTAGGATCTGTTAACAATATGAACCACTGTTTGTAAATTGCTAGATGCCAAAGACACTACTAAGCATAAATATCATTTATTACCACAAGCTTCTCTTCTGTTGGGATTGTTAACAATAGGAAAACCATGAAGACAATCACGAGTAAAATGACTTTCCTTTTTCAGTTTCATAAGAAAATGTGCATTGCTTTCGCCATCAGTGCACTTCAGTGTCTGCATGAGTCTCCACACCACACACAATATCCATAGCCTACTGATGACCTAACAAAAATAGAATCTTCATTTTTTCAGAAGACTGTTAACTATGTACAAGTGTCATGTGACATAAAATCTTCCACTTCCTATATAATTTTGTGATTTTTTTTAAAGTCACATCCTCAAATTCCACTTTTTTCCTCAAAAATACATGAATTATAAGAACAAGCAGTTGTGGGAAATTGTTTGTCACTTAAATTCCTTTTATATGTTTTTAAATGTCATTTAAATTCCTTTCATATGAGCAGGTGAAGTTCTGTGCCCTATCTGTCATTCTCCCTAGTTACAGACAGAAGCTGTTACAATAGATCTTAAGTTTTCTGCACCTAGTTGTATTTCAGCACTATCCACATGAATTTATTATCAGCCCCAATTTTCAAATTGGTAAAGGTTTGAAATTGATTCTGAACACCTTGGGCCACTAATAGACTCGATGCAAAACAGATGTGCCAAGCATAGAAAGCAGGTAGACTTTGATGGGGAACTTGAACATAGTTATCTTAGATCTTGTACAGGTTGTGGACAAGACTCTTACTTTGAGGCAATTTCAGCAGAGCAAATTAGAACAGTTCTCATGTATTCTGTAAGCTGCCCACTAAATACACCTCCAAGCAGGGGGGATTGAGTGCAGCTCGCCACTAGCACTGTGTTATGCACCTGATTTTAACAACTTGAAGTGTTACAATGACTTTCAAAATTACAGTATAATTTACCTGAGAGATCATACAATAGACATTTGCTATTTAAAAAATTAACCCAAGGGATATATTGAGATTTCTTTTAAATTATTGCACCTAGATTTGAAAATAAATAAGTATATACATATTCCTTTAATAAATTATATTTTATGATAGAAAAAATAGTAAGAAAAATATTCAAAACAACACTAAAGACTAACTTGTATTTTAAAGTATAATAACTTGCTGGATCAAAAGGATATTTTAATTTATAAAGTGTTATGCTAGAATTATTTTTCTTCATAAGACTTTGCTGCTGCTAATAATTACCTAATTGAAGAGTTTAAAATAATTATATTAAGGTTAATTTTAGAAAAATCAAGACTGTATATGATGACTCAGTAAGTAGCGTTGCTTTTCCTGCTCAGCTTTTTTGCTAACTGGCTTGTTTCCTGATTTTAATACTTCCATTTACCTTTCAACCAACTTTTCCAGGCAATTTTATCCTCACCTCTTGACATGACACCTCCACTTTTCCCAGTTTCTTTTTGGTCTGGCCCTGGGTAATTTTCTTAGCTCTAACAATCTGCTTTACTTTTCAAACTTAAATTAGCTTATAATCATAGACATTCTTTGCATCACAGAGTCAAAATTTAAAGGTAAGTAACCATGAAGGTTGTAATAATAAATCAATTGAACAGTGTTGTGACTTTGCCTTCCTGTTAAATGTCAACTCTCTCAATTTTCTCTGACTACAGAAGCCAGTAATAGTAGCCATGAGTCTCGTATTGGTCTAGCTGAGGGGTTGGAATCTGAGAAGAAGGCGGTCATACCTCTCGTGATCGTGTCAGCCCTGACTTTTATCTGTCTAGTGGTTCTTGTTGGTATTCTCATCTACTGGAGGTAAGTTGAGTGTTTGTTTTGGAAATTTTAACTTATGAAACTGAGATTTTAGCCATATTTCACCTGACAGATTTACAAAGCATATTCAAAATTCATTTTACATGAGTCCTGCCATTAATTTATTCGGATAACTAACAACAAAAGCACAAGAGTAAGTGAGTTGATTGTTCTTGTGCTTTAATCAAAGAATTGTGAGGAAAATGAAAGAACTTTGACATTAGTTAATATTTTAATAAGGTATTTTGGCAGCTTTACTTTCATATTCATCTAATTACACATTGTCATGTCCCTTAAATCTCAGCTTTTCACCAGCTGCTGTAATCCTCAAAGTTATTATGTAAGAAAACATAATTTTGGTACAATAAAAATATTTTTTAATAACAGTGAATTTGTATAAGACAAAGGTCAACTATGAGTAGTGATAAAAACTTACAGCCTGTTTACAAAAGTAAAACTGTGACAATTAAAATATATAGATACGTAGAGAACAAAGTTAATGACTATAACTTTGAAGGTGTCATTAATAATTCATTGAAAAACATCTCAAGGGCATCCCATCATAACTTTCTTGCAGCCCACACAACTAATTAGTAGATATACTAGGTATACAGTCGATGTAAGGCATAAAGTTTTCTGTTGGAAAATGGATTTTTGGATGATACCAGAATTCATTTCTGTAAATGAAAAAGGAGCACAGCTTAGTGCATTGTACATTTGCTTTAAATAAGAATTTGTTCAGAAGAGCTATAGGGAATTCCTTTTTGCTTAGCAGTATCATGATATAAATCCCTATCACTGCTCTCTGATACTCTAAAATATATTTTCCCAGTTTTCCCTCCAAAAGTATCTCTTTTAATCATTGACAATGTGCATGGCATCTGGTATTACATTACCTAAACTTGGGAAATGTCATGCTTTCAAGACATTCATAATTAGTAAATGTAAGCAATTCTCTATGAAATACAACACAAACCTAAATATATTGCAGTTAAAATCTGATGAACAAAGGATCACAAGAGGCCAGAATGGTCAAATCTGATGTGGCAGAAGATTCAGGAAGTAAGGATCAAGAAAAAGGGCAATGAGATGGACAAAATGCTATGTTGAAAAACGAACTTTACAACTTTGGCAGTGCGGGGGAGTGTAGTCATGGAGATGGGAGGGCAGGGATGGTAGGGGAAAAACAAAGGAGGCAACAATGCTTGATAGAAAATGTACTCATTGCCTTGCTCATGTAATTGCAACCCCTCTGTACAGTATTTTCACAATAAAAAATGTATTTAAAAAGAAAAAGGAAAAGGACAACCCAGGCAGTGGTACCCTAGGGAAGGGGACTGGAAGTAGGAGGAGCTGAGTGTGTCAGTAAGGCATATAGGATGTAGCCCTCTAGAGCCGACTGTTGGTTGGCTAACACAGAATGCTCTCTCTTGGCCAATTTCATGTCTGCCTTCCTTTACAGAACGGAGTAGACTTCAGGGAATAGAAAATAAATCATGTTTTTGTTAGGTTACATGGGTTAGAAATCAATTTTGTTTAAAACAAATCCTAAACTCCTTCCTACTGTGCCCCAGAGTGCTTTACACATGGTATGCGATCCATACACATTTCTTCAGTCAGCATTCATTTGATTTTTTTTTCTCCTCACTTCCCATTGGACTTACTTTATAAAAAATACTCAGCACATTTAGATATCATACTTTTCATGATTACTGGTTATCTGATTTTCCTGCCAAAGCATTTTATTTAACAGGGACATCCATAATAAAAATATCTAAAGGTAGGAAATACAAACCAGTTATTTTTCACAGTACAAAGTGCTAAAAGTCTAATGAAAATCCCTTGTGGTGCTGGGTATCAGTGGCTTACTCCTGTAATCCTAGCTTTTACCTGTGTAGTGGCTTAGGTCTGAGGACTGTAGTTCGAAGCCAGCTAGTAGGAAGTCTGTGAGACCTTAACCACCTAAAATCCAGAAGTGGAGTTGTGGCTCAATTGGTAGAATGCTAGCTTTGAGCAAAATCACTCAGGGACAATGACCAGTCCCTGAGCTCAAGTTCGAGGACCAACACACACACACACACACACACACACACACACACACACACACGGCTGAGTAACTTATAGTTATTAAATTGAAAAACAGAATAAGTTTTATAATCTTTACGAATTTTTTCTGCAGACTTGAAAGTAACTGTTTTATGTCATTTGATTTGATGTTTCATGGAAAACTTAGATCTTGAGTAGTCTTCATCCTCTTTTAGTAATGAATCAAACCATATGTATTACATGAAGAAATTATAAAAAAAACTCCAAGTTGAAGACATAGTAAGATGATTCACTTTTCCCCATAGGTAATTACACTTGTGAGTAGTAGTTGACAAGATAAGTATCTTGATTGTTTTGTGCATATGTTTTTATCTATCAAATGTGATTAAATTTAACATAATTTTTCCAATTTTAAATTTCATCAAATATGGTTAGATATCTTCCCTGGTCATGTTCACTATAGGGTATTTATCTTTTTAGATTATTATATATTAGGTGTGTTATGTGTTGAATCACGGTACTGTATTCTTCAGTGCGTGTGAGTTACTCAAAACTCTAGTGTAGAATCTTGTTGGCAATATGATTTTTCTGAGATGGAAACATTTTAGACATTTGTGGAAATTACAGCCTATGCAAAGGTATAAAACTTCTAATGGCATACCAAAACCAGTTCTACTATTAACAGTCTTTGTGAGTTTATAATTTTTCTTTAAAAATCTTTAATAAAACAAAATTAATAAATCATAAAATTAACCTGTCTGAAGTGTACAATCCAATGGTTTTTAAATTTTATTTTATTATTTCCTTTATAATTAACATTGAGTTGTTTTTATGTTGTATAATAGACACTCAGGTCATCTTATCATTGGGCTGAAAGTATTTTACATACATTGGATGCAAATCCTTCACCAGTTATCTGATTTGCATTTTTTCCATATAGAGCAACTTGAGTCTTACATATTGGCAGCTTTTAAAATACTCTAGTTTTCAATATTGACCTACTCCAGTTCATCTATTTTTCTATCATTACTTATGCTTTTGGTATCATCTCTAAGAAGATGCTTCAAAATGGAAAGCCACAAACTTTTACTTTTAAATTTTCTTCTAGAATTTTTTTCTGAATGGCTCCTGCTTTCTCCTTTCAAAGCTAGCTACAATAATCAAGCCACAGTAATCAAGAGAATCTGAAACTAGCATAAAAATAAACCAGTTGATCAGTGGCATAGAATTGAGAGGCGAGAATTCAGCTCTTACATTTATGATCAACAAAATTGAGAAGAGTATCGGGGCTTTAAGGAACAATAATAACAAAGTGGTAGAACAAATCATCTTTTTGTGTCTAATTTGTCTAACTCAAAATGTCACCCATTGTTTCATAGAAATCCTGATAAATCATCTTTGGTTAAAAAAAAAAAACATAGGTGACAATATCTGAGTCTGTTCTCGGTCCTTTCCCTAGTTCTGCCTTGAATTTGTCTCATGATCTTGGGCCTGTCCTTTCCTTGCCTATAGATTAGTCCTTTCTGTTTGCCATTTGAGTTGACTCTGTGGGTCATCTTGAAGTTTTCAGTAAGAACTTGTTTATGGAGCCTATGAATGAATGCTGCATGCTGCATATTGTTTCATTCCTATGTAAGGATCTTGAGAACTGGAATAATAATGACATAGTTCCAGCTTCTGATTCTAAATACTTACTGTGAAGAAAAGGTGTAAATTAAATAATCAGATTACCAGTGATTGATAGGACCTGTGTCTACAACTTTGAAACAGTCATCACTTTTTTCATCATGGCTGAGTGATAATTAGCAAGAGACATGGTTATCAACACTTAGCACATACACGTGAAGACATTCACTGCTTATTCACAACAGATGGACTATGGAGGCTGAATCTTGTCATACAATAAATAATGTGCCTTGAAATTGTTTTCCAGATGTTTTAAGGTTTAATTTACATGAGCTGAGCCATAAGTTCCTAAGAGACAAAATAACTTCATCAGGGAAGATTTTCAAGTAGTTATTTTTAAGGGAACAAAACGAATGTTTTGATCACTTTTAAAACTTAAGACATTAAAACATTCCAAAGTGATATTCAGCAAAATATACCACATCATTAAAAGAATTATAAAAAAAATTTCCATGGATGCAGTTGGTTTTGCTGGGTGAAGTGTTAAAAATATGAATTCTCTCTTTTTTTAATTTTTAATTTAATTTTATTCTCCCAGTCCTGAGGCTTGAACTCAGAGCCTGGGCACTGTCCCTGAGCCTCTTTATGCTCAAGGCTAGCACTCTACCACTTGAGCCACAGCACCATTTCCAGCTTCTTCTGAGTAGTTTATTGGAGGTAAGAGTCTCATAGACTTTCCGGCCTGGGCTGGCTTCAAACCACAATCCTCAGATCTCAGTCTCCTGAGCTAGGATTACCGGTGTGCTCCACTAGCATCCAGCTATGAATTTAAATTCATAGCTTAAATTCAAGTTCATGGGTCTTTGGAAGTAGCTACTAACCAGAATGGAGCCTTTCTGGGACTATACTGCCTTTTAAGTAGAAAGGAATTTGCCATGTAAGATGGCCCTGTACAATATACCTAAGCATTAATGATGGTTTTCACCCACAAATTAAGCCATTTAATTTTAATTGTTCCCACTTACAAGATTTTGAGTATGATTGATAAGAATATTTTGGGAAATTAATGCCATATAACAATGCCATGTGGAATCATTTGTAAAGCTAACAAAGATTTCATGACGTTGAAGCAGGTTGAGTTGATATTTACCTATTTACAATGAATGAACTTCACAATATAGAAACTTTTATATCCTTCCAGATGCTGCCTTCTTCCCATTCTCTGAGTTATTGGTATATCCTTAATCCATCAATCTCTCTATCCATCCATCTGTCCCATCTCTTCCTTCAAAATGTGTTTATATTTTAAGTTCATTTAAAGCAAGCATAGGTAGGGAAAATAATCTAGGATTCCACTGAAGATCATATTGTTGGTGGGATTTATTTGTTGCTAGAAATCCACCAAATTCAAGAAGCATTGGGTATTTGTTATATTGTTGATACTGTATTAAGACTCTGGAAAGATAAAGCCTTTTAAAGTCTTTTTTAAAAGATGTGATGAAGATATAGGCATAAAATAACTATATTACAAGGTAATTATCCTAATAATTAACACTTTCCCATAATAGACAAGAAGTTTACCACTGAGTTGCATTTTAATGAAATAAATAAGAATAATATCTGAAAATCAAAATCACTTTTGGATTGATTAGGTGTATTTTTCGGAATTGTCTTTATACAGGTATAAATGAAAGTTTAGGTTTTGTGCAATGGAAACAGAGAAACTGGAATGCTTAGTGTCTGCTTAGGGAATGAGAAACATTTTTCACAGCGAAGGTGCCTCTCAGATATTTTGAAGGAGAGAAGTATGTATTTTCATGACATATTGATGAGTCAGGTCAAAAGGAGTGACATGTTTAAAGCAGAGAGGAGAGATACTAAGGAGAGAACAAGGCAGACTCAACTATCTACCATGTGTTCATAAAACTGGAGCACAAATTTAAAGGAAAAGATTAAAACACATTAAGCACAGTTTACCCTATTTAGATACTGGAGAGTTTTAAGAAGAGTTTAGAAGGGCACTAACGGCTCATGGCTATAATCTAGCTACTCAGAAGGCTGAGATCTGAGATTCTTGTTCAAAGCCAGTCCAGGCAAGAAAGTCCATGAGACTTGCATCTCCTTTTAACCATGAGAAAACCAGAAATGGAGCCAGAGCAGAGGCTCAAAGGTGGTAGAGCATTAGCCTTGAGCAAAAAAAGCTCAGAGACAGCACCCAGGCCCTGAGGTCACAACAACAACAAAACATTTAGTTACTAGCAAATCATACATCCTATAATCTTAAAAAAATCTATAAACTTTGAAACTAGAACCAGTAAGTGAATAAAGAAGGGAGATAAATACCAACAGGACCAAGAATCTCACTCTTTATATCCCATATTTAAGTGCTTCAGAAAGGAATGCGTTTTGAGTTAGTGGAAGAAGCTAATAAAGAGCAACTATAAATGACATTGAAAAGTGTCACCAAAGCTATGAAACTGAACCTTAACTATATGTCAACCATGTTAATAAGGACATTCTTGCCATAGCTATGAAGTGCACTAAGTCCCATATGCCATTTCATAGTACAACTTTTAAGATTCACTGAAAGAAATTTTCACTTCCTTGGTGATGACATTTTAGAGCTGTCAGCAGGACTTTTCTTCTGTGATGTTATGATCATGTGCCAAATCCTTATCATTATTTCCTTATCCATGTTAAGCATGGATGAACAGATAAGTTGAGCTGGCTTTATTGTTTCTGGATGATCTGTTTCAGTTCTGTTTATGTGGACATTCAGTTGGATGTTTTGTTGTAATCATGAGACATGTGGTTCTCAATTTGCCCTTTCCTATTCAGGCTGCCATCTTCTCACTTCTTAAGATATGAACTTAACTCCGGATGCCTTTGACTTTGCTTCAGCTCATTCCACTTGGCTTTCTCCTACACTGCATTTCCTGTCTGGAAGATATTATAGTGTTCTTTCTTCTCCCAGGTTTGATTATAAAGGCTAGACTTTCACATCAGAGAGTTAATTTTTGTCATGAGCTTTGTTGTTTAGGAATATTACCTTGTTTGTTACATTAAATATATTATGAGCAAGTTATACAAACAAACTACAGTTCCTTCCTTGAGCAAAGCTTTTGGGCATGACAGCCCTGACAACCAACATGACAATGATTAGGACAAAGTACTTTAGGTTGTTGGTCTCCCTTATTCCTATGAGGGAGACCAACTATAAACATGTCAAACAGATAAATACCTAACAATAATACAGAGGGGTCTCACTATTTTAGTTTCCTTTTCTTTTTTTTTTTATTTTGCCATATGGCAAAAGCAATACACATTTAGTTGAAACCATACTCTGATTTGGGAATGTTAATCTTATTCTAGGCTTATAGTCTGTAGTATAATACTTTCCTAACAGAATGGTGGGCAGTGGGGTTGAGCCATAGGGTACACTGTGTTGTTTGTTAATCTGGTTAGGGGTGTACTGAATGCATTTCAGCTTATGATAGTGTCAGCTTAGTATGAGTTTCAAGACATAACCCATCATAAATAGAGAAATACCTGTATTTCATATCTTTTTTCTCATTTCTTTCTTTTTTTGTATGTAATTTTTATTGTAAGAATACTGTACAGAGGGGTTACAGTTACATGCGTAACATAATGAGTACATTTCCTATCGAAAATGTTACCTCCTCCTTTGTTTCTCCCCTACCACCCCTCCCCTCTCCACCTCCCTAACTCCGTCCCTCCTCCCCCGAAGTTGTAAAGTTCATTTTCAACATGGTGTTCATATCTTGATATATGCCACAAAAACAAAGCAGCAAAGGATGGTGACTTTTAGAGATGGACCGACACTTTCAGCTAGCATGGTCTCAGGGACTCAGAGGAAGTAGGATTTGGGCTTGTGTAACAACCAGAGGTAGGAAGCAGGTGGGCACAGGAAGTAGCAAAAACCAAGGCCCTGGGATGGTCTACAAAGAAATTCTTCAAGGGAGTAAGAGAGAATTGGTTGGGCTGGAGCCTGCTAGATAAAGAGTCATAAGGAATAGAGTCACAGAAACTGGAGGGGGCTAAGTCATGAAAGATCTTAAATCTCTTGCTACAATAATGGAAAAGCACTGCAGTGGCAGTGGGAAGCCATTCAATAATTCTATCCAAGAAAAGATCTCAAATGGAAAAATATCGGGAAGAACAAATATTATGTTACTAGGAAGAATAACTTATTAGGATAAATAACTTATAAGTCAGTTGGATGAATAACTTGAAGCAAGTGAGCTTGGCATTTTCACTCGTATTTTTGCTTAAACTTAACCACTTTAAATAAATTAAACATCTCACATCAAAGAGGGTCATTAACAGTTTTAATTATCCAGATTTCTTAAATGAAGGAGGCATGTATTACTTTATAGCAGCAGTTGTTTCTTTACTTTTCTCAATAGTTTGTATTGTACACTTACCAGATGTTACTCTTATTATCAGAATGAAAAATAGATTCAGGTGCCACTGTAGGTCATAGTTGTCAATGATTCCAAATATATTCATTTTCAAAACGCCCATCAACAGTGCTGGCATCTGTTGGAAATAAAATCAACCCTGGCATTGTCTGTTCATTATCTTCACACATAAGTTCTGTCACTGCCGCATTATCATGTAATAGAGAGCTTTCCTCAACGCGATGCTGCCACTGTAGCTAGCATGGAGTCATTCAACTTCTACATAGTCATAGCTTCTTGCCTTTACTAGTAGCTGATTATGCCATTAAAAGCCACAGTCACTGTGTGAAGGGAGCTGTGGATATCCTTTTCAACTGTGGTACTGTAAAAGGAGGCAAGACACTTTGGCATATAGTACTAAAGGAAAGCATCTCACTGAGGAGGGCGGTGTGGTACCACTTGCTTTCAACGGCTGTCTCTGCTTTCAGCATGTCTGACGGCTGATTGCTGTTCTGCATCTGGTTCATAACAGTGAGCTAAACATACAGACCATAACATTCTTTAGTATCTCGTGTTTTGTCAAAATTGATGTAGACCACTCTTCTGGGGACACAGTCACTTTTAATCTGGCTATTTCCCTCATAATTTTTGAAAAGCTCATATATCATCTTAGTATCTATGCAATGAGTAATTCAAATTGCTTCCTTTTCATTCCAGAAAATGCTTCCAGACAGCACATTTTTATTTAGAGGATAGTACGTCCCCTCGAGTAATATCTACACCACCAACACCTGTCTTTCCAATTTCAGGTAATGGTTTAACATGTGACCAAGAGTATCTAGTAATGTACAATGCAGAAGGTTTGTTTTATCGTTAATGGTGAATACTGCTATACTATTAATTAGAAAAATCTTTGTGTTTTGTAATGTTTATTTCATAATGTTTTAGGTACCTGGATTTATATCCCATTCTTACTCATTTTAAACATTTCTAAGCATACAGAAGACAGGGAAAAATCTGTAATTGTTCACTTATAATACGTTAAAAGCAAACAGTTATAGAAAGAAATAACATTTTAAATTAGTGCTAGCTTCCACTTATTTCCATTACTAGAACAGAACCCTAAGTAACAGAAGTCAGAACAAATCAATGCAACACATGTGGATAGGGAGAAGTAACAAAACTAAAATTAAAACTTAGCTTCTTTTTTAATTATTTTATTTATGGTTAAGAAAATATTTCTTAACTAATGTAGGAATAAAGTATAAAATGGTGGTGAGAGTGATGCGCCAAAAAAAATTAACATACACACAAATCATGTATGTTTGCATAAATATTTACATGGAACAGTTGGGTCTCTGGGAAACTACTGGATATTTTATCGGCATTTTACTAGGCAACAATAATGAATAATTAGAGTCATTCTGATTGAGCATTGACCCTAGAATTCTCTGTATAAATTATTATTGACTACATCTATTTGCCATTTTATGACATCTCAGAATTTAAAAAAAGGAATAAGAAGTTGGGTCTGAGAAGTTGGCTCAGTGGTAGAGCGATGGCCTTGCATGCCAGAGGCCCTGGGTTCAATTCCTCAGCACCACATAAGCAAAAAGAAAAAAGCCGGAAGTGGCGCTGTGGCTCAAGTGGTAGAGCGCTAGCCTTGAGCTGAAGAGCTGAGGGACAGCACCCAGGCCCAGAGTTCAGGCCCCACGACTGGACCCAAAAAAAAAACAACAAAAAAAAAAAGAAGTTATCCAAAAATAGTAAACTGTGGAAGAAATACTGGAGGATAGAGAATGAGATGAGGCTTTGGGAGTTATCAAACAAGTAAACTGGGAGAAGTCTCTCTTTTTTAACTGTTTGATGTGATAAAAATTACCACAGGAGTCTCATATTCTACATTATCTTATCTTCTAAAATATTTCATGGCCAAAAATACAAAAAAACCCTTTCTTCATATTTTATGTATACTCATATATTATACATTTATGTTATACCAAGTTGATAACTTTTTAAACAATTGTATGCTTTATAAATCCATGAATTTGTTTTTTGCTATTTTTCTTCTTTCATCAACTCCAAGTCTTTGACAACCACTGTCATAATGTCTTCTGGTTTACATTAAAATGCCATATACTGGGCTAGAGGCATAGCTCAAGTGGTGGATCACCTGCCTGATATTGGAAGTTCAAACCCCAGGATTTCCAAAAGTAAATAAATAAATAACATAAATGCATTGTACATTTTATTTTAGTAAAGTCTGATTTTTATTAATGTTTTTGGAAGTTGAGATTGATAGCTTTCAATTATCTGTTAAATTTTAACCTAGCAATGCAAATCAACTCTTAATATTAGCCAAGTATTGACAGAGCTTATTATGAACAATTCATAGGGTCAATAACTTAAAATCAGGTCCTTGTTCTGAAAGTCCAGAATCCCTCTTTTCTTTATAAGAAGAGTTGTCCAGAGCCTCTCCTTCCACTCATTCCTCTCTCAAAGATGCACTTTTTATCACCTGAAAACGTACCTTGCTTGGAAAAATCAGAAAATAGTCTCACTTACTTGCAGACCAATTAACACAAAGGAATTACTAAAATACCAACAGTGGCTAAAAACTTACCTGCTTGTGAAATGCTAGCTGTGCAGGATGGTATCAATACTTTTGAAGGACATGTATTAGAACCAGTGATTTATTTGTGACATATAAGTGCTGTTTTCATAAGTAAATAAATATATAAGTATAGATAACTAAATATATAAATATATATTTCTTAAAAATATATAAATAGGCAATGTTTTTCTGTGAGTGTGAAGGTAGAATTATACTTTTTTTCTACTGTTTCTTAAGATTGACTAGCTAATTCAATTTTAGTATTCAGGTCCACTCACCTAAGAGAGAACAGATGGATTCTAATTTTTTTCAATCAACAAATTTCTTAGTAACTGAAGCTTAAAATTCTTAGATGGCCTAAATGCTGAACATCTGTTGATGTAAATAACTGTGTCTAGTGAAATGTGCTTGATGTTTCCTTGTCAGAGAAAACACTTGTGAAATTGCATACTGTAAACTAGTTTTATGTTTAATTTCAGAAAGTCTTTCCAGGAAAAGAAAAAGGGAAAAAAAATTACTGGACTAGTTAAAATAAATAGTTTACTCACAATTGGTCAACAGATCTCATGACTCTGTTTATATAGCATATTTTCATGTTAGAATTTTTGAAATTTTATAGATGAAGAGGTCCCAAAGGTTTGTTGACATCATTCTTAGAGAACATTCTGCATATAAATATTTTTTCACTATTTATAGAGAAAAGGAAAAACAGTATTTTCAAATGTAAACATCTGACTACTTCACTGTAAGACATAAAGTCTGTACAATTGTATAAAGTCAAAATTACATGGCAGCAAAATTAATAGACTATTTCGGCATGTCTTTTTCCCGAGAATTTACATGCCATCTCTGTTCATGTTAAACACAATTGCTCATGGTGAAGGAGGATGCATGAGTAAGAAATGAGATTTTGGTGGTATCTATAAATTAACATTGAAAATAAATTATTTTCTCACTGGAATGGAGAACCATTGTTTTGTTGGTAGTCATTTGGCTATTGATAACATTGTTTATGGTCATAAACATTAAATTCTGCTTTGAAAAAAAAAACTTCTAGATTTATCACATTTCAAATCATGCTTGTGGCTGTTTTGGCAAGGCCAGCCCAAATGATTTTTATAGCCTGCAGGCTGACATTACCATCCCTGCTTATACAGAAAAGAGATTCTTTTTTTTATTATTGTGAAAATACTGTACAGAGGGGTTACAATTACATGGGCAAGATAATGAGTACATTTCTTATCAAGCATTGTAGCCTCCTCCTTTGTTTCCCTTTCCCATCCCTTCCCATCCTCCCCCCGCCTCCCCGACAGGGAAATGAACCCTAAGATATGTATTCAAATGTTTTTTTTCTTTCATGCGATTGTTTCTAACACATTTATAAGATTATTTCTTTGTTGCTTTGTATGTCCCTCCCCCACGGTATAACCCCTGCTTTCACTGTATTTGATGTCGGTATAATTTGTGGAGGGGAAGGGGAAAAACAAATCGTTTAAATAGGGATACAGGTGGAGCCATTGCAACAATGAGATGTACAAGTCATTATGTCAGAAAAGAGATTCTTTATCAAATCAGATTTCTAAAATGTAGGATGGAACTGATAACAAATACACACACACAAAAAAAATGGCCATTGTTGCTTAACAATTGGATGCTGATATTTAGTTGGCATAAGAACAGTACTTGAATTTTGACCTCTGCCTGTAAAGGAAAGACATTTATTTCTGTTATCTTTTCTAACGCCACTTTTTATTCACTTAGATGATATTGGATCAATACCAATAAAACACTTTCCAAAGCATGTTGCAGACTTACATGCAAGTAATGGGTTTACTGAAGAATTTGAGGTATGATTTCAATATGTATGTTTTAAATAATGTAGCCAATTATAAGTTGAAGCGATTCAGTAATAAGCCATTTCTTGATTTAAAGACAAAAGTACTTTTTCTCTAGGGAAAATATTAGTTATGTAATATATATCCAGATGATGTGTTACAGTTACTGTATTAATTTAGAAAATTGTTTTTCTAATTTTGTAGCCCAAATCCAACTTGTACAAGTGGAAGAACCAAAAATAAAAATGTTAATTCTTTCCCCTTAAGTGCAAATCTCCTGTCCTTTAAAAAAAAATGAAATGTAACACTGACCTGATAACACTTGTCATTTTCTAAATTAAATAAGTTGTACTAAACCACTAAACTTCATGATTTTCAGCTAAACTCCTTAATTGTAAGTATGACACTGATGTAAACACAAAAGAATTTAGGTAACTTTTTAGGCAAAAAAATCACATCCTCTTGTCAAAAAAACTGCATTTCTAAGGAACATTTGAACTTTCTTAACCAGGGAGATAGCTTTTAGTGGTATTAAATACTCTATTGAATACTCTTAGAAGGGGAAGAGAAATTTACTGCAAATTTATCATAGCCAACAAAATGAATGACGAGAACGGGTGGGGGAGAGTGTAGGCAAAATTCAATGGATTTCCAACAAAATTAAGAAACCTGATGGAAGGAGTGAGTTGGGAAGGATGGGTGAGAATGTTGAAAGGTCATTGATCAATAGGCATTGTACTCATAAACCACTTTGCTGAATGGTAACTTGTAGGTACTACTTAAGAATAAATAAAATACTGAAAAATAATAGCTAGGGTCAAGAGCCCAAAATTAGCAATAACAATCATGGAGGGGGGAGAGGAGGGGGAAGCTACCATTTCTGAGCACAGCTAACATGGCATTAACTAAGTGCCTTCATAGCCAACCTTCACTTAATTCTAGGAGCTCTTTGTTATTATTTCTATTTATATGATCAATGAAATTAAACTTCAAACAAATTAATTAACAACTGATATACAGAAGAGTTGTGACTCAAAGTCATTGCTGAAATTTTAAATCTTCTACCCTTTCTCCATTATTCTTCTTATCAACCAATTGTCAGCCAACCCTTCGGCCACCTGTCTAGAAAGCATCACACTGTAGCAATGCTCTGTTGTTGTTGTTGTTGCTGCTGCTGCTGCTGCTGCTGCTGTTTCTCTCTCTCTCCATCTCTCTCTGATTCCAAATAATCTGCAGACTTTGTGATCAGGATCAGTCTCTGATCTTGATCTCAGGGCACAGGGACCACTTTCTGCTGATCTGTATTCCTCATGGCGCCCAGCAATCACTTTCCAGCTGACACATCAATCAAAACATGGGCAGGGAAAGGAACACCCATAGATTAGGAAGCTTTAAGAAATCAAAAGGGATAAATGTGAATTGTGATGTAATATGAAGATTCATATATTTAAAACATTAGAGTCTTTTATCATAATCTAGAGATGACAAGGGTATAGTGTTGTCTCAGACTGATGTCAGTGTGAGTTTAAATTTATATACGATGTTAACTGGTAGAAAAGTCTCAGGTTCACATCCAGCAAAACTGTGGTCACAAACATTAGTTCCTAAATGCAAAAGAAAGAAAGATCCAAGTAGTAATTTTTAAAAAAAGAAAATTATAATCAAATTGGTGTCAGCATGTACCTACAGGCTGATCACTGTTTTCACAACTGCAAAGTCATTTTGAATATTTTAAGTCTGCAGTGGGGCTGGGATTGGGGCCCAGTGGTAGAGTGCTTGCCTCACATGCATGAGTTCAGACCCACGACCAAAAAAAAAAAAAGTCTGCAATGATGAAATTAATGAAAAAAACCTCTCATTTTTAATCGAAGGTTTTTTTCTTACTTCCGTTTTCCTTCAACTTATAGTCTGATTTAAGAAAACTACTCATTAATTTAATAATTAGCTTAATCACTAATGAGTCTACATCTTTTAAGTGGTTCAATATATAAATTTTAATTGTTCAGAATAACTTATTGCAAAGGAGCCTTAAAAGTTTTAATGAATCTGATTCATATTTAGGTTATATATTTTTCTCAGGAGGCATAAAACTTTCATTATTTTAACACTAATTAATTATAAATTTCAAGCTAGTATATTTAGATAGGAAACATCTCTGAAAATCACCTGAATTCATTTTATTAGAAGTTCACAGAGATAATTTTTATGCATCCACTGAAATTTAAATAAGAGAGCTCTATTAATTAGCTGTATAGAAAATAAGGCTAAATTTTGTTTCAAAATGACATTGTACATATGATTTCAAAACCTTCAGGAAAATTTTAATGCATTGACCAAGCTAAATTTGTTTCAAGCCACCTAATAAAGAAGACTATTTACTCTTTAAAATAATTTCAAAAACAAAGAGCCAGAAACAGTATCACTGATCCATAGTTTATATTTTACAAATAAAATCTCACTGTGTATTAGCAAAAGCAATTATTGCAACAAAATTGAGTTTTGAATACTTGATTCTCATCTGTTTAAAAATTCATCATATTATATTCATGTCCCCTTTTTAAAGTGTTTTCTTCTTTTACATAATTTTAGGTCCTAGGTTGTTAGACATTTCAATGTGCATGCAGCTGTTTGAAACATTGTTTTGTTAGTATGTGACAATTGTATTTATTGCATGATCATAGTTTTCCATTGTAAACCTAATATGAACGCTTTTTTTTCTCATTTGTCGTGTGCTGTGGAATTTGATTTCTTTACTTTTTTGGCATTCATTCCCCTCATTAGACACTGAAAGAGTTTTACCAGGTAAGGCATTATTTCACTGCATTTTCTTTTAGCCAAGAACTAGTTATAACATGTAAAAAAATAATTTTGATAGACTTTTTTGTTTTATCCTCCTTATTATATTTTAAGACACTTGGTTTGAAATAATATGTGTTAAAAGGGGACCCATACAATTTTTTTTACAGGAAGTACAGAGCTGTACTGTTGACTTAGGTATCACAGCCGACAGCTCAAACCACCCAGATAACAAGCATAAGAACCGATACATCAATATTGTTGCCTGTAAGTTTATCCTTTACTCAACCTACTCCAGTTTCACTGATATTTTATTACCTTGAAGTAGTTACACAAAAGGCCTACAATTCATCATGTCATTTTATAAGTATAATGCATCTCAATCCATGTCACCTTTCCAAACTCCGATTTCAATCCCATCCTCTCTTTAGCTGTGATGAGCTATCTACCATTTCTTTTTTTCTTAATATATATTTTTTATTGTAAGATAATTTTTATTGTAAGATAATTGTAACAGAGAGGTTACAGTTACATGAGCAAGGTAATGAGTCCATTTCCTATCAAGCATTGTTACACCTTTTCTTGTAGTTTCTATCATTATTTCTGTTCCATGGTCCTATTTTCATAAAATGGTTACTTAGTTCTATGTCAGTTTACTGACCAAATAAAAATGTTATTAAACGTCTTTTTCCCTTCCTATGTCAACTTACTTCTCCCTTTCTTAGCGTTTCTCCTGGAGTCTTGTAAAGGATTTATTCAAGTCTCTCTTTCTATTCCTTCTCCCTTTTGTTTTCTCAGCTTTTCTCTTCTTCCTCAATGAAAACTATGTGGCTTCTCACTAGTGTGATTGTGTTTGTAAATTTTCTATGAAATCATCGTATTTTTCATCTTCTTACAGCACTTCATGTCTACACTTGTTTTCTTTTTATTGTTTGATATTTCCCTACATCTCTCAAAATCTATCTTCATACTCCTCTCCTTCATCCATAAAAAATATCCATGCCCTTCCCCTTGTATTCAATGTAACCTAGCTTCACATGACCACATGTTCCCAGAAAGGCTGTCTAAATTCTGGATCTATTCTATTAAAAAAGCCTGCAGAATGGCAGTCTTCTTCTTTATTTTTAATTATCCTATTCTCTTCAAGAGATGAAGTAAAGCAACACCAGAAGTTCTAAATATGTTAGAATCAAAATTTAAAAATAGGTCAGCCTAGCATTCAGGCCTACCTTACAATTGTTATGAGTCTGTTTCTTTGTAAGTACCTGGTACCAATGTGCCATGTAATTATCAGAAATCTTTTAATGTATCAGAGTTCATTAAGAGACTTATTCCTGTGGCTTGACATGAGTTGGTATGGATTCATTTCCTCATCCTTGGAAAGAAGGAAAGAAGGATGTTTCCTTCTAGTAATCCCTTTCTCATTATATATCTTCTGCAAGTAAATATTGTTTCTGTAAAATGGAAGCTAATCCTAAAATCCTTATTTCTATTTTGATTGACATTGCCAAATCCACCTATGGGCTTCTGTCCTTTGTGTCTCTTTATGAGGGTTTTTCTTCAGGACATTTCCCTTTTAAGAGCTGTTTGTCGTAACTCTTCACAGAAATTCATAAGGGTCCTCCTTCTGCCATCTCCTCTTCCTCCAGCAGCCTCCTGTGTAGACCATGTGTGTTTTCATTCTTCTGTACCCTTTGGGGGCTCCCATCACTCTTCTTTCTTCTTGAATGGCTCTTTACTCTTCACAGCCCTTAGTATCATTTAAAAAAACCCAGACAAGTTGTCAACTTCAGATTCCAAACTCTGAAAACTTTTGTGGATATCTCACACCAAGGCACTTTCTGTCATCATATTCCCCCATAGAACTACAACTCCCTTGATACCTGGATGTGATTTCCTAGGTATATGATGCCTTCATCTAATCTTAAATACTGTATTGGAAAGTTTCTGAAGAGCAGAAATTCTTGCTCTTTATTACTTTGATCATCATGATAGCCTTTTCAAGTGAGTGATTTTGTGTTGATTTTAAGTGCATGAAATATATGATTATACGGATACAGATGACCTTTATCAAGAAGAGAAATAGTCTATATCTTAGTAAAACATACTTTTTTTTATTCTAGATGATCATAGCAGGGTTAAGCTTGCCCAACTTGCTGAAAAGGATGGAAAACTGACTGATTACATCAATGCCAATTATGTTGATGTAAGCATGTTTCATTTGAATGTTTATGGACACTTTATCAGATCCTAAATTTATTCTATTATGAGGCTGTATATATACCTGTGTGATATGAAACACAAATCAGCAGCAAATAATGTTTAAGACAGCTATGATGTTAATGCTACATGCAAATGACTTTATCTTTATAAATCAGGTTTATTATGAATAGTTACCTCATGTTTTCACATAAAGTAATACATATGCCAAAGTGAATGTAAGCCTTGGTGGTGTGGTTGGTTTTGAATAAGACATCTGCCACGGGGAACAGTGGGATCTTGAAAAGTCACTAGACTGCTCAGAGCTTCAGTATCCTCATCTCCAAATAGGGAGTATGCACCTAGCTGGAGGATTAGGTTAGTGTTTGTAAAGCATCTCATCCAACAATGAGTGCTCAGTAAGTGAAAGCTATTAATGCTCAGCCCTGCCTAGTGCCATTAAGGAAAGAGGACATAGCTCTAGACGTTTCTTTCCTACTGTAGATAACAGAGTCCACTGCTGAAATTAAGGGCCCGACTTACAGCATTAGTAAATGGAGAAAACTCAGAGAACTATGTGCCAAAGGAATGTCTACTACATATTCTATTTTTTTTTTAATTACCATTAAGGAAGAATTGTTTTCTTTGTGAGTTTTATCAGTTTTCTTCAGCTTTGCAAGTTTATTTTTATAGTTTTCTGTCATAGAAGCAAGGGGGTGTTGACATTGAAATTTTAAATATTATACATTTTAAGTATTGGTATTTAATGAAGATAATAAGAAGTATTTGCTATTTGCTTTTGCAGGGCTACAACAGACCAAAGGCTTACATAGCTGCCCAGGGTCCTCTCAAATCCACAGCTGAAGACTTCTGGAGAATGATTTGGGAGCATAATGTGGAAGTTATCGTCATGATAACCAACCTTGTGGAGAAAGGAAGGGTATGTGGGACTTCTGTGATGTCAAATGTCCAACAGCCTTAGTTAGATTTTCTTTCAATTGGTTTCAATACAGCCATCATTAGAGAGCAGAGAAAGTTGTGAACTGTAATCAGGACTTCTTATACTAAGTATGAGAGCTAAAGGGAAAGTCCAAGTATTGTAGGTCAAATAGTTCTACCACGAACCAAAGTATCTGCTTCTTCTTTAGTACATTCGTCACACTTTGGAAAAGTAGAGGAACCCATTGAAAAACAATGAAGAATGAAAGGCATTTTAATTCATGAGACCTGGGTTTAGGTGCTGGCTCTGTAGCTACTTGGAGCATTTCGTCTCATCTTCCTTGTATGAAAGAGGAAAGCTAGGACTAGATAATCTCAAGGTTCTTTGGGTTATGCTTTTATTTGTGCTCTCTTTTTCAACTAACTTGCAGCCACCTAGAAAGGAGAGATAATATACAGAAGTGTGAGAGTCCATTCCTGTCACTGTTTTGGATTTCAGGGATAACTTTTGTATTGAGCATTTTAAATATGGAACTATCATGGATTTCAGGGATAACTTGTATTGAACATTTTAAATATGGAACTATCACCTTTGTTTTCTTTCTTGCAGAGAAAATGTGACCAGTACTGGCCTACCGATGGTAGTGAAGAGTATGGGAACTTTCTAGTCAGTCAGAAGAGTGTTCAAGTGCTTGCCTATTATACTGTGAGAAATTTTACCCTCAGAAATACAAAGTTCAAAAAGGTGAGCTGATCAATGATGGATATATCCAATCAACAGGTTAATGGATAAACAAAGTATAGTATATATACTATGTAGTATATATACTATATTACTATGTAGCTTTAGCTTTGAAAAAGAATGAGAAATCCTGTCAGCATTAGAAGAGAAAAAGGAAAAATACGATAGATAGAAAGATCAATGGAATGATGGATAGTTTGGGCTTTTTTTATTAATGATTGACTCACAAGATTTGAGAGATTAGCATGTCTGAATTCTGTAAGGCATATTGACATCCTGAAATTTAGGTGAGAATTGAGGGTACAGTCAAAAATCTAAATTCATCATGATAGCAGGCCAAAAAATTCACACAAGAGGGCTGGGAAGGTAGCTCAGTGGTAGAGCGCTTGCCTTGCATGCATGAAGCCCTGGATTCAATTCCTCAGCACCACATAAGCAGAAAAAAAAGCCGGAAGTGGCACTGTGGCTCACGTGGTAGAGCGCTAGCCTTGAGCTGAAGAGCTGAGGGACAGAGCCCAGGCCCAGAGTTCAGGCCCCACGACCGGACCCAAAAAAAAAAATTCACACAAGAATTGTTTTTGTGCTGCATTATTGAGGAGAATTCCTTCTTCTAGAAGACTCAGTCTTGCTCTTACAGCCTCACCTAATTGGATAAGCACCATACACCTGATGGAAAACAATTTGCTTTCTTCAAAGCCTACTGATTCAAATATTAGTCACAGCTTTTAAGAAAATATCCTCACTACATCTGATACGTTTAGAATCTGAACAAACAAATGGCCACCATGACTTAGCCAGGTGGGCACATAAAATTGACACTGTGTTTTTGTTTTTTTAGGCAGCATCAAGGTATGGATGCTGAACGGATGCTTAAGAGCTGTGTGAAAGTGTGTGTATGTGTATTACTGTGATGATAAGCTGTTTAAACTCTTCCAGGGCTCCCAGAAAGGAAGACCCAGCGGGCGTGTGGTCACACAGTATCACTACACCCAGTGGCCTGACATGGGAGTGCCAGAGTACTCACTGCCAGTGCTGACCTTCGTGAGAAAAGCGGCCCACGCCAAGCGCCATGCCGTGGGGCCTGTCGTCGTTCACTGCAGGTGCGTTTCAGGGATGTGCTGCTAAACTTACAGAACTGCTGATGTGAACAAAAATGGAAATCAATGGAACAACATTTGGCCAAATGGAAATGATTTATAAGAAGGGGGGGGTGGGGGGAGAGTGTCAAATTGCATGTCTGTTTTCATAAATATTGATCACTAGCAAATGAGAATGGTAGAGCAGGATTTTCTTTGATTGTGGAATATTTCAGAGCAGCAGGTGTTGTTATGATGCTTATTATTCTGGTTGATTCCTGAATTGGATTTCAACTTATTAATTGTGCAAAGCAGGTGGAACATGGGTGTTCCTAAGTATTTATTACAACATGCAATGCCATAGAGTAAAAATTATTGAGACACAGCCTTGTTCCTAGGAGTTGCTCAGATGTAGAGTTATTCTGTTATACCAGCTTTATGTTACATAAACCAAAGCGCATATATGGGGAGGAATTTGACAGCATAGCTTGAACTTGTTTTTAAACATTGTAGGGCTAAAATTTCTTTTTTTGTTTCCTACATTCTTTCTATTGTATTACATTGACTGTGTTATCAAGTCAACTTTACTCAAGAATTATAATTTTCAAGAATGGCTTGAAAAATAGTAATAATGGTATTAGAGAGCAAGAGAAAAATACAGCAAATGTTTTATCTAATATTTTTGTTTAAATGACAACAGTTCATATTCACTTTATGCCAAGTTTTATGACCCCCCCCCATATCAAGTTCATTTCTATTTGCATGCCTTTTGTCAGAGCAGAACTTGTATTTGGTTTTTTTTAATTAATAAGTTTTTTTATTGTGAAAATACCGTACAGGGGAATTGCAATTACATGATTAAGGTAATGAGCACATTTCTTATCAAGCATTGTTGCCTCCCTTTGTTTTCCCTTACCGTCCCTGCCCTCCCATCTCTCCCCCCTCCACCCCCCTCCACTCCCTCCAAAGTTGTAAAGTTCGTTTTTCTACATAACGTCTTGTACATCTCATTGTTTCAATGGGTCCACCTGCCCCTCAGTAGATGAATGGATCAAGAAAATGTGGTATATATACACAATGGAATTCTATGCCTCCATCGAAAGAATGACATTGCCCCATTTCTCAGAACTTGTATTTGTACAGAAGCAAGTGTTTCTTTTAATATCCAGCTCATCTGATACATTCTAATTACCTCAGGAAGTTTCTCTCAAAAATTTGAGAGACTCATCTTGAGATTTTGTTTTTCATCTGTTAGCCTAATAAGCTGAGGAAAACCAGAAGATGCCAAAGACATAAAAGATAGCTGTGAAGGTCAGGAATTATTTGTTAGCAAATGGAGAAAACTGGGCTATTGTGCAGAGCAGGTGCTAATTTCCCCCTGTAGTACTTCCTTCTTGTCAGACATTTGAAAAGAATCCCTGTGTATGAATTCTGTCCCTGGAACAGAGGCTTTGAAGATGTCAGCAGATAATGGCCCTTTAGAAATGACTGAAGTTCGGTTTTATTCCTCCCAGTCTCGTTGAAGTTGTATTTTCAGGTGAAAGCTCTACCAAATTCTTCTTCCCATTAATGTGCAAACCTTTACAAACATATCTGGTAATACAGATCTAGAGACCTCCCCTTTTCCTAACTTTGTGAGATTGATACATTCCTTTTCCTTGGATTAAATGTCTTTTTTGCTATGACCCAATATATTTTCAGCATACAATAAATATAATTGTTGAAATGTTTAAAAATCTTGAACAGATTTGTTTTGTAATTTGGCCTAAAGCAAAAAAAAAAAAGATGATCATTTTATTTTTCCTCTTTAGTATAAAGAATTGCAGTAATCAACTTAAAATTTTTAACTTTTATGTTTCTGAGAGAAAACCAACTCAGACAGTCAGGAAGTACTATGCTTTTCATATGTTATTGAGTTATAGTTTCCAAGATTTAGTGTCATATGTTTTTGTCTGTGCTACTTACTAATACTTTTCTGAGTTTTGTTTTCTTGGCTTTGTGTGTTTTTGTTTGTTTAATCATGTGAATAGTGTGGTTTGATACCATAAACACAGAAGAACGCCCTTCTATGCTATTTCCTGAAGACAACTATACAGAATTGACATCACTTCTCCCACAAATATTTGCCAAGATGCATCAATTAAGCCACTTCAAGATGGAGTTTTGTTTCTGTTTGTTTGTTTGTTTTATAGAACTACTTTCATTAATCAACATGAAATTAGAAAGGAAAAATTTGTTACTTAAAGCATTTTGCTTAAGGATTAAATTATTTGCAATTTTAGATAGCTAAATCTATAATTGTGTGGTTCATTGACTTATTTTATTATCATGGCAGCCAACAGGGACCTATTTCCAAATTTATTGTGCAATTGACATTCACTGAAGTCTCTCTTCCCTCTCTCTCTCTCTCTCTGCTCAGCGCTGGTGTTGGAAGAACAGGCACTTATATTGTGCTAGACAGTATGTTGCAACAAATTCAACACGAAGGAACTGTCAACATATTTGGCTTCTTAAAGCATATTCGATCACAAAGAAATTATTTGGTGCAAACTGAGGTATTATTTTTTAAGTGTGTCTTTATGGATCTGAGCTATGGAATTATGTTAGTCTCCTAGGATACCCATACTACAAACTGGGTTGCTTTAAATGACAAACTTATTTTCTGGGGTCTTAAGTCTCAAAACAAGGAACTGGTAGGGCTGTGCTTCTTTACACGCTTGTAGTGGTGGTTATCTTCTTGCCTCTTCTAGCACTTTGGAGCTCTATGCTTTCTTTGGCTCTGAAGCATCACCCTAGTCTCTGCTTCATTTGTCATGTCTTTCTTTCCTCCGTTTCCAAATTTCTCACTTCTTGTCAGTACACTAGTCACTACCTTATGCCAATTGGCCTCCTGTCAGCTAGGTCTTTCATGTTAGTAGGGTCTGACACAAAGAGCCTACTCACAACTAACACTATACAGAAGGTACTGGGGCATAAGAGTTACAACATATTTTTAGGGATACACAATTCAATCTGTAACAATGAGTAGCTGAACATACGGCGTACAAGGGTCACCAAAAGTGTGTCTGTTTGTGACCAGATGAAGGATTTTTTCCAAATGTCACTAATGACATTAGTCAGGGAACAGCCAGCACACATCCTTGCTAGCAAAAATCTCAAGTTGTGCCTACACAGAGCAGAACAATGGATTTGGATGTTTTTATTTACAAAGCATGAATTATACTCAATTTTTTTAGCCTCCTATAGTTTGATCATATATCACACACAGTCTGCATTTCTTTTTCTTTTTCTTGTTTTTTTTGTCCATCGTGAGGCCTGAACTCTGGGCCTGGGTGCTGGGCTTCAGCTCTTCAGCTCAAGGCTAGCACTCTACCACTTGAGGCACAGTGCCACTTCTGGCTGTTTCTGTTTATGTGGTGCTGAGGAATCGAACCCAGGGCCTCATGCATGCGAGGCAAGCACTCTACCACTGAGGTACCTTCCTAGCCCCAGAGTCTGCATTTCTGTATTTTATTTCACTATTTAAATAAAAATAAATGGAAATTGAAATCTACAGATGACTGCTTAAACCATCAGAAGCATATAGTCAAGACAACTGAGAAATCAAATGAAACCAAACTTCCATCAAGGAAATAATTTCCTAGTCAGATAAGACCATATGTGAAATATATAAGAATTATGAAAACTTAAAACTAGATTAAAATGAGCTCAATTATACATGACAAGCTAGCAGAAGAGTTTGCAAAGCCAGAAGGGTACATCCATCAGAATTCTAGGGTCAGGGAAGTCCTCACGAGAAAGACAGAAGAGTCACCTTTGACGAGAAAGCAAAGGATATTGCTTTGTCTCTGCAAATCTTCCTGCCTCCTATCCACAGAGCCATTATAGGATACATAAAGAAAAGAGAAATGAGGTTCTTTCTTCTTTTGGCTGTCTCCTTTCATCTGTCTAACTCCTTACCAGGCCTACTAATTATTGTTTTGTGGATTCTACCATCAACAATTTGGTTAAGCATCTTTGTGTCTGTCAACAGAAGGTTCTAATTTTGTAGCTAGGTATGCATAAGGAGTTTGGTTCCTATTGTGTTGCTTCAACAGGAACAGTATGTCTTCATCCATGATACACTGGTTGAAGCCATCCTCAGTAAAGAAACGGAGGTGCCAGACAATCATATTCATGCCTATGTTAATGCACTCCTCATCCCAGCACCAACAGGCAAAACAAAACTGGAGAAGCAATTCCAGGTGAGTTCCCATGAGTGCCTCTTGGATGTCACTGCAGAATTGAATGGCACTGTGCGTTCTTGTTTGATTCAACAAGGCCACGCAGGTGGGCTGAGAGCATTGTTGAAATAATGGCTTTGTATTTGAACCACCCTTGTTCTCCCTAGGAGGTTACAGTGCCACACAGTAACTTTTAAAGAGAAATTTCATTCTGAGTGGTAAGAGGAAAAGTTCTCAGAAACCCTACACTAACTTTTATAAATGCAGTCTTGGTCTGGATAAAGAGGGCACAGAGCATAACAGGATGAACAGACAGAACTTACAAACTGCATAAGTGCTCTTTTTGCTTTGGAAAAACCAGACCACTTAAATATGAGTGTTGTGGCTTAGGCTGTTCCTGCGTCTCTTTGAAAAAGTCTGTGTCTCACTTGAAACCCTTAGAATAGAGTAGGCCACCTTGGAACAATAGTTTCTTCAACTCTAGTGTCTCCCACTCACCTGTCTGGGTGCCATAAACCAAAGAGGGGGGTGTGCTTTGTTGGCAACTGTGTCTCCTGCAAAACTCATTCTCTGACTTTTAGAAATCAGCAATTAAATCACCAAGCAAGTCTGAGGAGATCAATGATTAAGAACAGAGAATTTAGAGACTCCTATATCGTAGAAACAATCTCAGTTAACTGCTTGAACTTGAAAAACCTTCAGAACTTTATAATTTTTCTGTAATAAGTCATTCATTAAGAATTATGCCTAAGCTGGGTGCCGGTGGTTCATGCCTATAATTCCTAACTTTTCGGGAGGCTGAGATCTGAGGATCACAGTTCAAACCCCAGCCTGAGCAGGAAATTCCATGAGATTCATCTCCAATTAACTACCAAAAACATTGAAAGGGCACTGTGGCTCAAAGTGGTAAAACACTGGCCTTGAACACAAAAGCTCAGGGACATTGCTCAGGCCCTGAGTTCAAATCCTAGAACTGGCACACACACACACACACACACACACACACACACACACACACACACACACACACACACACACACACACACACACACACACATACTCACACACACACACACACACCCATAAATGGAGAGTGGGGGAGGAAGAAGAAGAGGAAGAAACCTTGAGATTGCACTGGTCTACAAATCATAAACTGTTACCTTCCATGAATCCTCCTGGGCCCTGTACTGTCTCCTACCTACCTTTCCTGCCCGTGAGGAAGCATAAGAAAGACTGGAGGGAATGCTGAACTGAGAGAGCGTCCACAGGAGGACCCCTCTTGATCAGCTAGACCTATGTGAATCATGATCAAATGTGTTTTGGAAGACAAGGGTGAAGTTTGGATTCCAGGAATATTTTAGTAAAGAATTGAAAGTCATTAATGTTTGGATGGCTTTTATATAGATGAAAAGCCAACATACAAACCTAATATTAAAGTTATATTACTAATTCTGAACAAGATTTTAATTCAAATATGACTTCCCCACACCAAAATGCATAAAAGAACCTATATGAATTAACTTGAATAATCCGGGATTAACATGGAAATGTAAGGTGAGAATCCAATTAAAAAGAGAAACATTTGACTCTCTTCCCTGGTTGCAGCATAAGCAAGGTAATGTATGTAGCTATGTGGACAGTCCCAGGAAAAAAAATTTTATCCAAATTGATCCACAGGAAAAAAATCTTTGAAACAAATGGCATGTCTGTTTATTCCTCAAATACTTATCAGGTACTTATTTAGATCCAGAGTTCTGGACTTGGTGCTAAAATATAAATACGTAGTTAAATAAAAAAAAAAAAAACCCTTAGCAAGTATTAGGCCTTGAGTTCAAATCCCACTTTCAAAGAGAGAGACAAATAGACATACAGACAGGCAGAGACAGAAACACAGAGAGCACACCTAGATGCTACTATCATAATACTTGCAGTCTACTGGGAGATAAAGGTAGGAAAACAAACAAATGTGAAAAATGTCATTACAGAGGCAAATTAAGTTCCCCTTAAGCACAAGTAAGGATGTAATTTAGAGGAAAGCTGTCAAACAGACTAACAAATTGATCATAGAACTTGATGATTGATTTATAGGACACTGAAGTGCAGACAGCAAAAAAAGACAAGTATAATTGTTATGATTCTGGCATGAGTCACTGGAAAGTGAGAATATCATTTATTACGATTGAGAATCAAGGAAGACAACATGTATTCTTGAGGAATGTAGTTGTGGGGAAAGAAATGTTGAGATTATTTCTAAACCTATATAATTTCAAGGTATTTAGGAGATATATTAGCTAGGTTTTTATAACTATGACCAAATTCTTGTTGTAGCCTGCTTTATAAAGATGATAGATTTATTGTGACTGGTGATTCTGGACATGTCAGGTACAGAAAGCCACATTTGGTAATGGCCTTCTTACTTCCAAAGTCTCAGGATGCTGAAACCATCACATGCCAAGGAATAGGGAATGTGTGTGTATGTGTGTATGCCCATGAGCATGCACATATATGTTTGTGATGAGTATGCATGTGTAGTCTATTCTTTTCCCTTCTTTTTTAACGGTACCAATTATGAGGTTCCACATGAGTAGCTTTATTAAATCTAAATAATTCAATCAACTAAATTTACATCCTCTTGACATTGCATAATAAAGATTAAGTTTCATTATTACAAAATGTCTTGTGAGGAAGGGGGTACCTTTAAGCCACGTCAAACAATAGTAAGGGGTATCCCAATAAGCATGTATAGTGGGTGATTGAATACTGCTTCTGAACAGAGAGAGAGAAAAAAAAGAGAGATCAAGATCAAGGTAAAAAGTAAGTAATCAGCTTGGAGATGATTGGAGCGTTGGTTGTGATGTTCATTAAAACTGAGCTGTTTAAGAAGGCTTCGGAAAGATTATTTAAGAGAAAATGTAATTAGCCAATGAATGGAAAGCCCATGAAAAAAGGCAACAGAAGGAATAAGAGTACACTAGAAGATATTTGGGGCCATGAGAGATAAGAAAATCCAATGGAAATAATAGTTCAAAGATGAGAGAGACAAATAACAAGTCCTTATGGAGGAGACAATTTTATTAGGCCATACAAAAACCGACAAAGTGTGCGCAACCTACTTCAGAGAAATGTAGCTCTGAAGCCAGATTGCAGGAAGTTGAAAGGTGGATTTGAGAAATTGAGAACAATTACATAACTCTTTTACAAAAATTGACTCTGAAGAGAATGATAAAGGTAGCTATACTGAAACTTTTGAGTTAGAGGGCAAGGGATTATTTAGCTTTTCTTATTTTGAGTTTCACCACTTATATTTTAATGAAAAATATGAGTTTCTGTTGAAGCTAAAGGGTAGGAGAGAATTGAAGAGGGCAAAGATCCTGAGTAGGTGTGAAACAGCAGGATTCAGAACACAGGAAAAGATTCAGTGATAAAATGCAGAAAAACTCAAGTATAATGTGGCATAATGACGGCATAATCACAAATGTTTGGTCTCCAAGGCCAGAGGCTGAGAGGGTTCTCTGTTATATCAGCGAATCACGAGAAAAGAATAGAAGAAGGAAGTGTTAGAGAGAAAAGATTGGAAAACAGCAGAAATACAGAGAGAGGTTCACATATTCTACATGTATTGTATAGATTAAAATGTTGTTAGGGAAGGGGAGATTTTTTTTCAAGTGTTAGACATTATACTAACCATATTCTCCAAAATCATACTCAATAAATTATGTGTATATGTGTCTGTATAAATATATATGCACATGTGCATATGTATATTGTCTATTTCATGTGTATGTCTATTTTGTGTACATATGTGAAATAGACAATAAAACCCACAAAACTCTGTTTAAAAGGAAGGAAAAGAAAAGAGAGAGAATATTAAGATATATGAAATAAATATGATCAAAGTATTTTATGTACATTGTAAATATGACAGAAAAATCCCTTTGTAAAATTAATTTATGCCAATAAATTTATTTTAAAAGCAAATGTTCTTACAATATAAGGAAGAAAATATCCACAAATAAGTGAGAAAAAAATAACAGGAATACTATTATAATTTAGGAATATAGTCTACACTCAAGAAGTAGAAAACCCAACTCTTCCAATAGCCATTATATAAGTAAAATCAGTTGGCCAAAGTATAACTTCAAAGTATAACCAGATGACAAAATATTTAATGTAGATTTTTGTCAAATTTTTAAGAAACAAAAACTCCCAAGCTTTAATATTAAAAAATGAAAGTATAAAATTCAACTCTTCTTTTAGACAAATAAAATTGATACCAAATCAGTGCAAGAAAAGCATAAGATTTATTGGGCAACCTAAATAACTTCCTATTATAAAAATCAGCAACTCAAGCCTAGCAATGTACATTTTAATATCCTGAGCAAGTAGAGCTTGGTGGATTTATTCTGAGAATTAGATACAGCTTTAGAGATGCAGGCAGGTTTAGGTATAAAAATTATCAGGTGATGGTGACTTATGCCCGTTATTCTAGCTACTCAGGAGGCTGAAATCTAAGGATTATGGTTCAAAGCTAGTCCAAGCATTAAAGTCCCTGAGACTCTTATCTCTAAAAAAGCCAAAAGTGGAGTATGGCTCAAGTGGTAGACTAACAGCTATCCTTAAACAAAAGAAATGCAAGGACTAGAGGACAGTACCCAGGCCCTGAAGCATATTTAAGTATATTAAGCTGGGCACCAATGGCTCATGATTTGAAATCACCCCCAGTAGGAAAGCTCATGAGACTCATATCTCCAGTTAACCACCAAAAAGCCAGAAGCAGAGCTGTGGCTCAAGTGGTAGAGTGCTAGCTTTGAGCTAAAAATCTCAGGGACAATGTGCAGGCTCTGAGTTCAAATCCCAGAATTGGAAAACAACAACAGCAACACACACACAAAGATTTAAAGTACCTTATACTGGTTGAAATATGGGGTGCATGATGGGTTTTATCTAGGTATTTGAATGACTAAACGAAAAAACCTGTACTCTCCCTTGACTCTCTTGCTCAGCTTCTAAGTCAGTCAAACATACAGCAGACTGATTATTGTACAGCCCTGAAACAGTGCAACAGGGAGAAGAACAGAACTTCCTCCATCATCCCTGGTGAGTTACATTGAATTCCAAAACCCAAACTGTCTCACCATAAGAAGCCTTGTATATCATCTGAGAATACTTATATTCCTTGGACCAAATGCTCTATGCTCTCATCATTATATTTTATATCGATTTTATACTGTTCTAATTATACCCAATATGTGACTGTTAACATCGATTGATCAACTTTTTGGGTTGATTGATCATCTGAGCTGCACAACATGCTTTAGCTGAACGGTTGAAGACTGAATTTCAGAAATGCAGCTCTTTGTCGTATTTGGGGGTTCGGAGTGGTAAGGTGCTATGATCGTGATTGTTCATACTGATGTTCTGTGTTCCAGTGGAAAGATCGAGGGTGGGCATTTCATCCCTGAGTGGAGAGGGCACTGACTACATCAATGCCTCCTATATCATGGTAAGTCAGACACACCCAGGTGGGGGTGGGGGGGCTGCCTGCCAAATTACGCTCCCAGAATCCACACAAGATTGGACAGCAGAAATAACGGTGTCATCGTCAGTACCACTGATGGTGTCATAATTGCAAGCCACAGCAGTGGAATGCCAGTATTCTTCAATGATTTTATGTGTGCTGGACACACACACGCACACACACACACACACACACACACACACACACACACACACACGACAAATGAGATGCAGAACTCCAAACTCCCTATTCAGAGTTAATGAGGAGATACAAAATTTGTCCACCTAAGAGACTTCATTTTACTCATTAAAGCAGGGTTCTTGCCTGGGCAGGCCCTGTTCCAGAAAAGTCCAACATCACCAACATCCATGCACTGGGTCCATTTGGGGGCCTGGATTTCTAAGGGTACAATACACCCCTTTTGCATTTATGTCTTCTATTCAAGAGATGAATGCTTCCTTGGCTGATTTTTACTCTTTAGTGCAATCTCAGGACAGGTCAGTCGCATGCCTTGTTTTCAAATAAAGGGTCCTAATTCCCACTCCCAAACCTCTATTTATCCAGTAGAAAATGACCTCAGGCTATTCATGCAGACAACCAGAAAACGTGTTGTGGTGACATCATAATGCCTGCCACATTTCCATGTGCATGGGATATGCATGGGATCTAAAAGACCCCAGATCAGGAACTAGCAGAGCCAGGGTTTTAATAAAGAAAAGTTTGGAAATTATAACATAAGCTTCCAGGCATCTGTTGCAAAATCTGCAGGTAACTTCCAAATTCTTATCCCGTGGAGATAACGAAAGCATCCTGTTGTAAATACTTGTGAAATTTAGTATTCTGACATTGGGGCTTGCAGAAAGTGAGAATTATAAACCCTGATGTAGATTTTTCTCTCTAAGTCTAATCTTATAGATGACAGGTAAACATGAGTACAACATTTCTTAAGGTAAACAGCCAGAACACTTATACCTCAGTTAATCCGTTCCCATTTCAAAGTCCCACTGAGAGGAAGATTGCTTAAGAAACAGAAAGGTCTGTTCTTAGCATGTAGGAAGTGCCCAGCAAATACCAGATGTAATCATCATATTATCATGTATATATAGATTCTACCATTCAGTGGCTCACACCTGTAATCCTACCTACTCAGGATTGTGGTTCAAAGCCTGCTCAGGCAGGAAATCCATGAGACTCTTATCTCCAATTAACTACCAGAAAACCAGAAGAGATGCTGTGGCTTAACTGAGCTGAAGAGCTCAGGGACAGTGCCAGGCCCAGAGTTCAAGATCAAATTAAAAGTCTACTTTGTCTCAGTTTTTTTGTTGTAAAGGAGAGGTTACAGTTACATAATAAGAAAATGAGTACAATTCTTGTCGAATATTGTTATCCCCTTCCTTTTTTCCTGCTGTCCTTCCCCTGCAACTCCTTCTTCCCCAGGCTGTAAAGTTCATTTCCAGTATCATCTTTGAGTATCACTGTTGCATTAGTTCATCCTTTGTCTTGGGTGTGAATTCTTAACATTACATCAGAACCCTTTTCTTTGGTTTTGTAGGGTTATTACCAGAGCAATGAATTCATCATCACCCAGCATCCACTTCTTCACACCATCAAGGATTTCTGGAGAATGATATGGGACCATAATGCTCAGCTGGTAGTGATGATTCCTGATGGTCAAAACATGGTAAGAATATTAGCTCACTCTCAGTCCTTTCTGGACAGGGAAATTATCTAATCAGAAAAGTTAGAAGTCCAGTGTACAGATAAGCAAAGTGAATTTCATTTTGAACTAATTGATCAAGGTTGTTGGAGTCAGACCTTTTCTAATGTTGGGCTTGGGTTAGTTATATAATCTCTTTGATTTACCATTAAAAATAACAGACATATGAAAGTTGATTAACATCTCCTTAATTGTGTGTAGTTTTCAGGCTGCTCAGAAAAATTAGGGTTTTACCTACAAGTGATATCAGCCTGCCTGTTTCACTTTATATTTGAAAAATAAGGACTGGGTGTGGTGGCTCACACCTAAAATCACAACTTAATTCCGGAGGTAGAGATCAGAAGGACAGCAGTCCAGGCCATCCTAAGCAAAACATTAGTGAATCCAATCTCAGCTATAAAGCTAGGCTTGGTGGTACATGCTTGTCACCCCAGCCATGGAGAAGGCATGTGTAGGAGGATTGCTGTCCAGGCCCAAGAATAACTAAGGCAATTTTTTTTAATGTTGGGGGTTGAGAAGGTGGCTCAGTGGTAGAGTGCTTGCCTCACATGCATGAGGCCCTAGGTTTGATTCCTCAGCACCACATAAACAGAAAAAGCCAGAAGTGGTGCTGTGGTTCAAGTGGTAGAGCGTTAGCCTTGAGCTGAATTGCTGAGGGACAGCGCCCAGGCCCAGAGTTCAGGCCCCATGACTGACCAAAAAAAAAAACAAAAAACTTCAATCTGGGCACTTGTGTCTCATGCTACTCAGGAGGCTGAGATCTAAGGATCTAAGACTTGGCATAGAAAAGTCTTATCTTCAACAAGCTCTGAGAAATAGGAAATGGTGATGTAGTTTAAAGTGGTAGAGCACTAGCCTTAAGCAAAGAGCACAGGGACAGCACTCAGGCCCAAGTTCAAGCCCCATGACCAACAACAACAACCACCAAAAAAAAAAAAAAAACAAAGTAAACTGATTGAAAACTTTGTGCCAATCCATTAACTTTATTTCACAATCTGATTTATGAAATATCTCATGGAAATTTGAATCATTATTTTTTTCTTCTCCAGGCAGAAGATGAATTTGTTTACTGGCCAAATAAAGATGAACCTATCAACTGTGACAGCTTTAAGGTTACTCTTATGGCTGAAGAACACAAATGTCTATCTAATGAAGAAAAGCTTATAATTCAAGATTTTATCTTAGAAGCTACACAGGTATGGGCATAGTAAGTTCAATAACAAGCATTTCATCTTACCCACATGAGAACTTAATGCTGACTTAAGGATTGTTCTTAGAAATGAAGAGAGAGTATTCTGCTTTCTTAGAAATTAAGAGAGTCACTATTCACACTGATTTGCACAATCTTACAGAAGCATTAAAAAATAAGCCACTGTTAACTTAAACTGTTCTAGCTCTGATACTTTATGCCTGTAATCCTAGCTACTTGGAATGCTGAAATAGGAAGAATCATGGTTTAAAACCAGCCTGAACAGAAAAGTTTACAAGAGCTGGTGCTGGCATACACGCTTGATATCTTAGCAATAATGGGTCCATGTGCATGCCTGAACAAGGAGCAAGAACCTGTTTTGAAAATAATCAGTGCAGAATGGACTGGAGGCATGGTTCAGCAATAGAGCACCTGCTGAACAAGCATAGACCATAAGTTTAAACACAGTCCTGCCAAAACTGAGAGAGAGAGAGAGAGAGAGACAGAGACAGAGACAGAGACAGACAGACAGAGAGAAACCAAAGCGAAGCAAAGCAGAAATCCATCACTTAGTAATCAGCCCACTCATCTTGGGCTGATTACTGAAGGCCCTTGGTTCATCCAAGGCCAGCTCTCCCTTTCTTATCTAAAATTGTAAGATACCCTTACCTACTACATCATTTTCTAAGTATTTTATAGTTCTACCTGAAATTGATTCTTTCTGTTATATTATATGGGAAATAAGTCCAGTTTCATAATTTCCTTGTGATAGTAATTGTTGCAACATCATTTATGGGCCAACAATACAAGCATTGTTAGAAATCTAGTTTCCTGGGTGGTTTTTTTTTGCTTTTTGTGCATTTTTATTGCTGTTGTAAAGGTGATATACAGAGGTGTTACAGTTATCTAAGTCAGGTAAAGAATACATTTCCTCCAGAAATCTAGTTTCTATAGATGCATAGACTTGTTTCTCACACTATTTTTTCATTTAGCTGGGTTCTCTGTCCATTTCTCTGCCAAACTCGCAGTGTATTGATTATTACAGATTATAATAATTCTAGTTATCGAATGAGCCAATTCTGTCCTTGTTTTCTTCTTCACAAGTATCTGGGCTGTTTTGGTCCTTTGTACTTAGCATGTAAAATTTAGGGTATGGTACTTGTTTTTAAATGTAGCATTTTATTAAGTACACTTTTGGGGACAGAGGTTTCAGGGTTGTAATCAAGTCACATAGCCTAGTTAGTCACTTAAACAAGAAATAGAACTAGGACTGATGTTAAACCAGGGTCTCCACCTCCTCACCAGCATTTTTCCCACCTTAGTGTTCAATCTCATTTTTCTTCCCCAGGTGTAAGTTTACTTGCTGCTGGTGTTTGAAGATCTCTGTGCTATTCTCCAAGCAAAGTTTCACACTGGCGATTTCCTTTTGTAACTTCAAACTTAGAAAACAGGCACATCTTTGTACATATTTTCATGGTGTGTGAGCATTTCACACCATACACCCACAGATTATGTTTATATTTAGAATTTAAGAAGAGATGTCATTTTGTTATCTGCCTGAGTAAATCTATGCATGGCAAAAGTAGCAGTACAGCTCTGTCTTCCTTCTATGATGGAAATTTGTCATAAATAATACATTCATGAGGTTAATTACCTGAATTGAACTTGTGATTCCCTCGGTCACTCCACTCATGATAAAGTGCTCCTAAATATTAATTGGTTCATTCTTCCCATAGGATGATTATGTACTTGAAGTGAGGCATTTTCAGTGTCCCAAGTGGCCGAATCCAGATAGTCCCATTAGTAAAACTTTTGAACTGATCAGCATTGTCAAAGAAGAAGCTGCCAGCAGGGATGGGCCCATGATTGTTCATGATGAGTAAGTTTCACACTTAAAATCATCATCTTGTCTTGAGACTCACCTCATTCCTTAAGCCACAGGTGACGGCTTAGCTGGGGTAAATTGGTTACCTATCTAACAATGAGTATAATATTGAACATTTCTTCCTTCCTCTGAAGGCAAAGAATGCATAATCAAACACAGGAATCTGCTCTTGCTTTTCATGATGAGAATATTTCGTATGGAGAGGCAGTGTTGCAGTAATGGGTCTTCATCGTAATCTGAGCTAATCAGAGATACGTTTCCAGACATTTATTTCTTGAGAATAGATCAAAACCTGTATATAATTTTCTAATAACTATAACTTTCTATTATTTAATAGATCTTTCCAAATTTCCATTATAAAAATGTTGTTTATATTACAAACATAGCACATAAGATATGTATTTTGTATATTATAGCTTCCGTTTTTATTTTATTATCTTTAAATGGGTGAACAGAGAAGTTTGAATTCAACATGTCAGTTTGTGTATACGATGAACTTGATCAGTGTCACTCTATATCATTCTCTCCCCACTTCTAGTCCAACCCTACCCAGCCCATCAAATTTCCTACTTGCTTTCACATAGATTCATTATGACTGCATTTGCTCAGCCCTCCTCTCTCCTCCTCTCTGAATGTCCATTCATTTTTAAATTCTTGCCATCCTCTTTTTGTAAGCTAAAAGTAACAAATACACAAATATTAAACCCCTATACCATGAACAACAGCATGAACACATGACAGTGTTTCCAATTAAATCATAAGACAAAATGTAACTAAAGTATCTAGTGTTTTATTGTCTGCCTATTCTGCGAGTTCCGACTGAGAATGCCCTGAGCATCTGATAGAACCTTTGTCCCTTTCCTTTATTACAAGGCATGGAGGAGTGACTGCAGGGACTTTCTGTGCTCTGACGACCCTTATGCACCAACTAGAAAAAGAAAATTCCATGGATGTTTACCAGGTAGCCAAGATGATCAATTTGATGAGGCCGGGAGTCTTCTCTGACATTGTAAGTAGTAAAGCAGTGAAACAAACTTGTTATTCTCAGAGAATTATTTGCTTTCTTGAAACTGCTGAAATCTCTCAGTTATGCATATAAAGGGTCATATGGAAAATGTTCTGTGTGTTGCTGAGAAAAATGTGTATCCTGATGCTGCTAGGTTTAAACAGGGATACAGATTGACCCATTGCCCCAGTGAGATGTACAAGACACTATGTCAAAAAACGAACTTTACAATTTAGGCAGGGGATTGGGGGTAGATGAGGTGGGAGGAACGGGATGGTAGGGGAAAAACGAAGGAGGAGGCAACAGCGTTGGATAAGAAATGTACTCATTACCTTGCACATGTAACTGTAACCCCTCTGCACAGTATTTTCACAATAAAAAAAACTTATTTAAAAAAAAGAATCTAGACAAAGGGGAAAAAAAAGAAAGGGTCATATGGACAAATAGGTAACAACCCATATAGTTGTCAAGCTGATTCACAAGTCTGCATTTCTAGATGACTGATAGATTGAAAAAAATTAACTGTCTTGTATTATAAGATTTATTCTAATTTTCAAAAATGTGTGAAGTACCAACAAATTGATCTACCTAGAAAAAAAATAGTTAATTTCTGGGGTTCAAGCTCTGCCTAGCCTTAGAGAACAACCAGTGGATCTACCTCAAGTAGTTAAATGTTGGTTCTCAGGCCAAATTCAACTTCTAAAGTTAACAAATGACTAATCTTTCAGTATTTTTAGGAAAAGAAAAACATGTACAGTCAGTGAAGTGACATGGCTCATCTGATAACCACTCTCAATTTCAAAAGTAATCTACAAGGGGTGTGTGTGTGTGTGTGTGTGTGTGTGTGTATGTCTGTCTGTCTGTCTGTCTGAAAACAATATCTGGGAAGATAATGGGTGCACCCATTATGCCTGGTGCACCCTCTTGCAGAAGGAGGGCTCGAAGACATAGGCTCACCATCATGTTTGTAGCTGATCTCTTACATGGAGATTACAGCAGAGCACATACCCACACCCACACACACACACACAAGCACACACACACATACACACACCTTCAAGTAGAGCAGAGAACTAGTCAGGCTGGTGAAAATAATATTTCTAAGCAATGGATCTGGTGAATGGACTACATTCTACATGGGTCACTTAGCTGATAGTAAAACCATGGTTGAGGTCTCTCCATAAATAGAACAATTAGATTCCATAGCAACTGGAGACAGGAGAAGAAAATAGTTATTTCTGGAAGAATGCCTAGCACCAATGCATTTCCCTGTTGTTAAAACTCTATCCTATCACCTTCTAATTTCAGGAAGCAAACGAATAAGAACAGTGTGCTTCTCACTGAACAGATGAAAATGAGCTAATTTTCTAGGTCAAGGAACATTTGCTAATTGCAAAGCTAATTTAATCAGAAAGAAACATGAATACAGATTGTACACCTCTGCCGAGTAGAACAAAGCCCACAACACCGTGGCTTTCCATGATGGGTGCCAAACTGTGACTAACAGTATTCCATTTTTACAACTAGATGTCTTCACCAAGCTTCCTGCTTAGATCCTCTTTTTGTCTGTTTTCTAGGAGCACTACCAGTTTCTCTACAAAGTGGTCCTGAGCCTTGTCAGCACAAGGCAGGAGGAAAATCCATCCACCTCTCTGGACAGTAATGGTGCAGCATTGCCTGATGGAAATATAGCTGAGAGCTTGGAGTCTTTAGTTTAATGCAGAAAGCGTGGGAGAGTCTACATCTCAGCACTGTTCTTCTCTTTCTCAGATGAAAGGACTGAGTCACTTCTGTTATCCGTTCACCTTCCACACCTGACAGTAACTTCCATGACATAGGAATCTGCTGCCAATTTTACATCATTAACAACGTGTGCCTTTCCGAAAGACTACTTGTAATTCACTTATTATGTTTGAACTAAAATGATTAAATTTTACAGTATTTCTAAGAATGGAATTGTGGTATTTTTTTCCATATTGATTTTAACAGAAATGACCAATTTGTAGATTTTAGGAATTCCCAGCTACAGAAAATGTTTGGAGTTTGTGTGTGTGTGTGTATGTGTGTGTGTGTGTGTGTGTGTGTGTGTGTGTGTCCAATTTTTTAGGTGTATTTGTAGCAGTCATTAGGTTGCAAGAAATATAACTTAATTAGTAGACCATAAAATCTACTTTGTTGCCTATATTCAACATTTTAAAACCACAGTATTGACCTAAAGTAGGCATAATCTGATACTTACTGTACATACTGCTTTAGTGTGTCCATGGACCAAATTTATATTTATAATTGTAGATTTTTATATTTTACTACTGAGTCCATTTTCTAGTTCTGTGTACTTGTTTGGTTTAATCATTTGGTTCCTTATGTTTTTATTCTCCAAGTCCGCTGACATTGTATTGTGTTATCTAAGCAATTAACTATTTCAGTGTGTAATTTTAACTTTTGTGTCCAATAAATATACACTTGTTTTGAAAGACCTTTTAATGAGAATAATTCCTTACCAAACATTGTTTAAGTGTTTTTATTCAAGGAATTGCAAAAATAAATATAAATACTGCCATTCGTGTGTGTATACTTATGAAATCTTGTGTTGAGGTGTATGTGGCCAGAAAGTGGGGGTATAGGTCCCAGCAGAATGATGGGAGTAAAAAAAGGATGGATGAAGGGAAGGAAATACAGAGTAATGGTTCTCAAATGGTGTTTCTTGTGAAAAAAACCTTAAATACCTTTAGGACAACACAGCATCATACACTGGCACTCTATAGTTTCCTAGTGTTAGTTAATTGTTTTAGTCCTGTTTAATAACCAGAACCATTGTGTATTCTTTTGGCTTCTGAAGGAGTCATGGTCTGGATGTATATGTCTCCCAGAATTTATATGCTTGAATCCTTATCCTTAAGGCTATGGTTATTGGAACAAAAGGTCCTTCGGTGATTAGAGCCCTCTTGAATGGGATTAGTGCCCTCCCCATTCCTTAATCTTGTTTTATTTTTCTTTAGGACTCAAGATGTTTTCTGAACCTTTATTTTACATTTGTTTGTTGTTGTCTGTTTCCTTGCTTAGTATTTAAATCTCATGGGAAGAGGAATTTTTCTCCTTTGTTAGTCCTGTATACCTAACAAGTAGTACAGTATATGTACATTAAAGGTACGAGATAATATTTTAAATAAATGAATGCATGAATAGGTTTTTGTCTAAAACAAAAGTATTTGAGTGGTCTTTGGAATCCAGACACTGTAGGTCACAATAAATTTACTGTTTTTGACCAGATATAACTCTTCTTAGTTTTTCTTTATGCAATCCTTACAAATGAGTGTATCGGAAAAAGATTTCTAAACAGACTACATCTCCAATTTTAAATCATGGAGAGCAGTTTTAAGAATGTTGTTCATTACCATAATCATTGTTAAGCCATACCCATTGGAACTATAAATTCCGTCATAGTTCTACATCATACTTCTAATGTGATTTTATAGCAGTAGATTTTCTTGTAAAAATCAATGCTAAACTCCAAACAGAGGTTATACCATGAAAATCTTACTGAGTTATATTTCTTATTGGAAAATCCTTAATTTGTTAGCATATATTATCACTTAATCTGAAACATGGAAAAAAATTCTTTAAGAGGAGCTGGGTTGTATAATTTGATATTTAATTTTAATTCTATTTACAAAAAGAACACCAGGAATATCAAGCTTTCATTGAATTTTTTTTTTTTTTTTTTTTTTTTTTGCCTGTTGTGGGGCTTGAACTCTGGGCCTGGGAGCTGTCCCTCAGCTCTTCAGCCCAAGGCTAGCACTCTACCACTTGAACCACCGTGCCACTTCCAGTTTTCTGGTGGTTTCTTATCTCCAGATAAGAGTTTCATGAACTTTGCCGGCTTTGAACCACAATCCTCAGATCTCAGCCTCCTGAGTAGCTAGGATTACAGGCATGAGCCACCAGCGCCCGGAGAATTTAACTTTTTTAAGGAAAGAAAAAAATCTGCACGTTTGTAAAAAATGAAACCTTCTTTTATTAACTCATTGTTTATCATCCACCAATTTGCTAATGGTAGGATACTTTAGCACATTACAAAGCTCTTCTTCATTAGTACAATGTTGAAGTATTAGTGTGGATGGTTTTAAATAAAACATACACATCAGTTTTAAGACTCTACATGTCAGTGGCATGAAATTGTAGCTAATATTGTTCTTAAGATTATAATTATTAAAAGAAAAAAAACACATGAATTGAGATTTGTTGTTACCTAAATAATAGGACTTCTAATTAGTTTCTCAGCTATGACACACTCTAAACAGGCCACAAGAAACAGCTCTTCAACTAGGAACTTTTGTACAAGTGTTTATGGTGATGTCTCCTTTGTTCTTGGTTATTTATCTTAACTGCTTAAGAGTTCTAACATCTTTATGTTCTCACCAGCCTTTGTTATTACCTTGGATTATAGCCACTTTACTAAGTGGCATTTCATTATAGCCATTTTACAAAGTGGCATTTCATTGTTGATTTGATCTGAGTTCCTAATCATAATTGATGGTGAGAATATTTCATGAGCCTCATAGTCTTTTGTATATCTTCTTTGGAGAGCTGGTCAGTTTGAATCTTCTTATAGCTTTAAAAATATTTTTCTTTTTATTATTAAAGTATAACAGTTCTTTGTTCTAGATTTATACTCCTACTGGTTTATTATTTACAGAAATTTTCTCTCATTCTGTGGCTTTTGTGCTGTTGCTTGTTTTTCATTGTTCCGCTGTTCCTGTAGGTCTATGAAATCACTAAGTCCTTAATTTTCACCCTGTTCAGTTTTCTTTTTTCCTTGTGTTTTGGATATTATTTAAAATACTATTGCCTAATTCAAGTTTATGAAGACTTATGCCCATGGTTTCTTTTGAAATTCTAACCGTGTTAGCTCTTATATTTAGGTCATAAGTCCCTTTTTAGTTCAGTTTCACATGTGGCTTGCTGCAAAGGCCTAACTTCATTATTGGTATGTAAATGTCTCTATTTCTAATCACCAGTTGATGAAAAATTATTTTCCCTCTTTGAATTAGCTTAGCACTTGTCTCAGAAACCAAGTGAGCAGCACTTCTGGACTCTCGATTCTATTTCTAAGTCTTTGCTTACTCATTGACACTTTAAGGACATAATCCATTTCTTTAGGTTGACTCTTGTATTTACAGCTTTGCCAAATGAAATATTCTAATGCTTTGTTATATTTTAAGTACATTTATTTGTATTTTCTTTGGTTGTCCTTTAGAATTCTATGTCTAAGATCAGGGCATATACAGAGAGTTTAGTACTTCCTTCCTAATCAAGATGCCTTTTATTTTCTTCCTTACTTGCTCTGGCTCAATGCTCTAGTACAGGTTGAATTGTAGTGGCAAAAGCAATTATCTTTTTTTCATTTCTGATGTCATGGGAAATCATTCAGTGTTTTGTATTAAATACAAGTTGTGGATTTTTCATAGATTTTAAAACCAGATTGAGAAAGTTCACTTTTTGTTTGTTGAATGGTTTTACATGAAAGGGCTTTGCACTTGCTTCAATACTTTGTGTTCTTAATGAATGACCATATGGATTGTGAATTAATCTCACTAGTTTCCTTTTCCAGACACTCAAGAGAAAATAATGAAAGTGATAAATTTACTAAATAAATCATCACTTTACAAAAAGCATAACATAGTATTTTGTATAGATTTATACATAAGTATTCTAAAGGTATTTAACAGAATCAATTTGAAAAATACAAAAATAAAATTATATAGCAATCTTCTAAAACAATGAAACTACATTTGTTGATTATAGGAAAATATATTTTATAAGAAAATAAGTTAACAATAATAAGTTAACAAACATGTTAACTTATTTACTTTGTTAACAATAAGTTAACAAAGTATGATCATTATCATTTTATACATATATGGTAATACATAGTAAAATTACTAAAGTTCTCCCATAATGACTGGCCTCTCATATTCTGAACATTTTCAAATTAAAATTGAGATTTTTTATTCAAAACCACCATTTTATTGACACAATCAAAATAGGTCATGCTTCACGCTATAAAAACAACAGCATATTAGTAAGCATGTTTATCATGCAGATGTTGAGAGCCATTTTGCCTGTGATGATACAAACAAAATTATAGCTTGAGTGTGCTCTGTGTAGTGTATATAATGCCTTCTGCTTTAATCCGCTCTAATATTGGCCCATAGATCTCCTTTGTAAAAGGCCCCATTAGGCCTTTTGCTTCAATTTCACCTGGAAGAAAATGAGTGATTATCATTTTTGGTGGTTAATTTTACAGATGATCTCTACAGAAAAGATATCAATCCGGCAGCTTTCACAGCCAATGTGAACTGTAGGCCCAGACACAGTTGCCTAAATGTACATTACTCAGTGATTACTTAGTCAATACTGTAAAGGAAATGAGTTACTTTAGGAAGGGAGGTATGGATGGATGTGGTTATGTTTGAGAATCTATGCATGTATTTGCAATAATTCCTACCCCAATGAAGCGAAACCAACCTGAGCATTTGGGCAGCTCTTAAAATGGTGGAAAACTAAAAGTTTCAACTTTACCAGTGTATAAAAGCAATATGCATTCAATATAGACGCTACTTACAATTCAGAATTGTGATCTTCTCTCAGACTAATGATGCTAGTATATGATACTAGAGTATCACACACTGTCAGATGCTATCTCAAGATGCTGGACAGAAACAAGTACAGCTGCCAGGCAGTGGTGAAGTTAAACATGACAGTAAACAACCAGCACTCTATCTGTACTGTGTTTCTTAGCTATAATATTCATTAGGTCAGCTGTGTTCAGTGATTTTTCAACTTAACACATTCTCATCTTAGAATGAGGTGATTCAAACAGAACCCAACTGTAAATCAAGGAGCAGGTATCTGAAAATATTCACAAAGTATAGATGATACTTTAAGATATAAAATAGAGTCCATATTCTTGAGCTTCTATAACCGAATACTCTCTGCTGTTCACTCCCAAAGTAGAAAAACAAACAAGGAAAGGAAGGGAGGGGTTTAACATCTACTGTGGGGCCCTCTGATGGCAAGTTTCTATGCTGTTTTGTTCAAGTGTCACAATAAGCCTCTTCTGAGATGAGGAAACTTTTACTGAGACATGCTGTGCAACTTGTACCCCATCACTCAGCCATCTGGACACTGAGCTGCGTAGAAATCAGGTCTAACTCCACAGTCTGTGTGCTTTACTCCCCTCAGGTGACCTCTTCACAGTAATTGTCATCATTTAACGAAATATAACATTACATAACAAAAACAATGCCCGAGCTCAAGAGCAATTCTTTGATGCCCAGAAGCTGATTAGCTTAGGAGTGGTACGGGGACAGAGCAGCCCTGAAAGGAGCAGTACTTACCATCAAGCAACATTTTGGCTGCCATGGCTGTGGGGAAACCCACTGTTTTAGCCATCGCTGAAAATCCGTTGAAATCTCCATAAACCACAAGATCAATAGTTTTGCTCTCTAAATGTCCAGAAGGATGTCTGATCCCAAAACTGTCTCTCATCACAATCATATCTTTTTCTTCAGGGCCTTAAAATAAAGATAATTTGAAAATGCCACTATCCTTATAACTCAAATATGATATTTCACCTCCTACCCCTGGCTTTATGTCACATGATTTTCTTGTGATTATATACAGACAGTAGGTAATTATTTATCATAATACTATTTTCAGTCCATAGACTTAAATCAACAACTGAAGGAAATTAAAATGCTAATTATATCCCTTTTCCCAAGTAGGTATCAATCTAATCTGCTTAACATCTAAAAGACACTGTTGTAGTTGCTACACATTTGCTCCTTTAAAAAAAAAAAAGGCCCATTTTACACTTCTGTGGTAGAAGTAAAACTTTTTCTTTCCTTTCCCATAGTACTCCAGTTCATTTTTACCTAAGAATTTTCATATTCTTCCCCTGGAAACATAGCCCAAGGACCCTTTCCCTCACATCACATCACATCTCTCCTGCATGGCCTCCCACCCTCCAATCAGACTATCTAGCTACACTAACTCTCTTCTGACTCCTTCAGAGATGTTGAGCCAAGACTCATAGGAGAGCCTACCATAGGAGAGCTTCAAGGCCAAGTGTTTGGAGAGTGCATCCACAATGGACTCTGCCTGAGGGACTTGATCTTCCCCAAGTAAGCCCAACCTGTAAAACACAAGAGCTAACTGCAGTAGTTCAGTGCCTTCATTGTGTTCTGCTTTGGAAAGCAGAAAGAAGACTCCTTGAATGTTTATCTTAAAAGGGCAGATCACAAGACCATTTTCCAAGTTCAAGGACTCTCTTAAATTGTAAAATAATAACAATGACAATATTTTAGACTTCAGGGTCATTGCCAGATTCCCCCAGACATTGTTCCATGAATTTGAATGAAGATGATCCATTGGAAATTCGTGTTACGTACTTCCTAAGAGGTTCATTTAGATTTGCTGTCCCACACTAACCATACTTGATAAAGCATGGCAGTCATACAGTAAATAAAAATTTCCACTTTATGCAAGAAATTACTGGGACAACACTTCATAGTAAGTATTTTTCCAAATGGTAATGATGATGATTTCAGTGGTACCAAAGTTTAAATGTTTGCTAAGCAAGTACTCTACCAGTTAAGCCAAGTCTCCAACCTCTTTTACTTTAGTTATTTTTTAGATATTGTCTTGTTTTTGGCTGGCACTGACCTTAGACTACAATCCTCATACTCTCCATCTCCCACAAGTTGGGATTTACAAGTGTGCAGCACCAGGCCAGGTTGGTTTTGTTCTTGTTCTTGCTTTATTTTGTTTAACACTTCTGGGGTTTGTACCTAGGACTTCTCACTTGCCAGGTAAGCACTCTACATATTGAGGCATGCCCTCAGCCACTTTTTCACTGGTTACTTTGGAGACAGGTTCTTGTTTTCTGCTCAGGAAGGCCTGGGCCGAGATCTTTATACCTATACCTCCTTATATTACCACAGATGACAAGTGTGTACCATCATTTACAGCCATTGGTTGAGGAGTCATATAAACTTGTATGCCTGGACTGGCCCTCAAAACTGTTGTTCCCAATCTTTGCCTCTCAGGTAGCTAGAGATAGAAGCTTGAGCCACCATGATGAACTCCAGCTTATACATATATATGTACATATACATATATATGTATATGTACATATACATATATGTGTATAAGCTGGAGTTCATCATGGTGGCTCAAGCTTCTAATATATATATATATATATATATATATATATATATATATATATATATATATATATATATATATATATTCATGCTGCCTCCTGATAGCTGAAATTCAACTGTGTGCCACCATGGCTGGCCCAGTATTTTCCAAACTGAAATTGTCAGTGAGTTTATCTGGTCATGTATTTTTTACACCTACATAGCACATTATAACCTTTCTAGCATGGGCCAACTAAGGAGCACAAATTAGCTAACAAACAGAGATTAGTCAAAGATGCATATAAAATGTTTGATTGTATCTCAAATCTTTCCTTAACTGAAAAGGACAAAATAATCATGAATTCAATTTTTTTGGCCCTAAATTGAATGGTGGATGCCTACCATTCTACCGCCTCCAGCTGGGTATGGTCCCCTCCCAGTTTTGTAAGGACAGCATGTTTAAGCACATCACACGAAGAAGAGCGTGAAATCCCAACTAGGTCACAGAGGAGTTGTTTCTGGTTGTAAAAATAAAGAAAAAATATAATACCTAATATAATCAAAACACATTGCAGCTGAAACTTTATCTTGTTAAGACATTGGACTTCAAGCATGCCTCAAATACTTTCATTAGCAATCATTAAAACAGCATATTGTAGCACAACACACACCCACACATCTGCACACCTACACGTCTAGAATGATATTTCAACCAGAAAAACTCAAGAAACAGAGAAGATGCTGGCATATTATTTTGTGTCTCCTTGCATGGTCTCCATCGTTGTTTACAACCATCCTCCTCACCTGTTCACAATTGATTTTGGTCAAGATAAAGTGAAAGATTGCTGTTCTGTTTCCCATTAACAACCACAGTTCTTGTAGGTTTAAGAGTAAGAAAGCCTTGGCATGTAATATTTCAAAAGAACACTTGAACGGTGGACACAGCTTTCTAAACAAGACTTCTTGCAGAGCCCCAATGGGAAAACTATGCTCCAGATCACAGGTCACACATGGCTAGCTCATAACCTGTGTTTTTGTCTTTTGTTTGTTTTTGTTGGTCCATGGGGCTTGAACTCAGAGACTGGTTACTCAAGGCTAGAGCTCTACCACTTTGAGCCCAAAGTCTACTTCCAGTGTTCTGGTGGTTAATTGTACCTAAGAGTCTCATAGCCTTTCCTTCCCAGCTTGGCTTCAAACCATGATCTAAAGATCTCAGTCTCTTGAGTAGTGAGGATGACAGGCTTGAGCTACCAGTGCCTGGCCTTGCTTGTTTTCTTTTTAATAGAAATTTTATTGGAACACAGTCACAATCATTAATTTATCTATTTTCTATAGCCGTTCTGAATCATTCTAAAGAGATTGTATGGACTATAAAGCTTAGGATATTTGTAATCACACAAAAAAGTTTTTGTTCTAGGCTAAAACTATTAACATTCTGGAATGACCCTCAAAATTGCTGCACCAACTTTTTCAGCCCAGCCACCTCCACTCCAAATTCTACAGATACTTTCTCCTGTCTAAAAGGTAAAACCCAGATTGGAAAGACTCATAACTATACAAAAAAAAAACTTAAAATATTGGACCATTTTCCATTGTGATAAATTTCTGACATGTCTGTCACAAGATGGGCACAAAAAGTGTAATTTCAATGTAACTCCTGGCTGTTAATGGCATTTCTACTTTACATTCAGCTCCAAAGTCTTTTTGCAATACTGATACCTTAGGAATTGGATATCATCAGAATACAAACTGTGTTTATGTAATTGAAACAAATTATTTATGGTTATGAGTGGCCAGGTTTGGAGTTTCAGAGTCCAGTTCAGTGATACACCAGAATCTTGCCTGGACCATCATATTTATGCCTCTTAACAGTTAGTCAACTGTAAGAACCCAGAGAAGAATAAGAGGTTGGAACTCTTCACTGGGCTTAAGGAATACCCCAACAACCCAAGGAAGCAGGCCTAGAACATCAGTTCCTTGCCTTCTCCTGTACTGATAAAGCGGAGGAAGACAGTTAAGACTTAACTTCCTCCATCAGTTACAGAAGGGTTCTTTTGTTTACTCAAGGCTCACACCAGGCCATTTCCAAAAGCACTCTGGAATTCTGGAGTTACTCACCCAAGTGAGAGGGTTGGCCTCAGGTCGTAGGGCAGGGTATAGTTCTCTGTTTATCAGGCCCAACTTTATGAATCCATTCAAAGCTTTGGAATACCCCTACAAGAAAAATCAATAAGCACTACGTGAAAGTTTTCTCACAAAAACAAATGTTAAGCTTGTCCTTGAAAAGATAGATCTAGCTCACGCCTGTAATCCTAGCTACTCAGGAGGCTGAGATCTGAGGATCATGGTTAAAAGCCAGCCTGGGCAGGAAACTCCTTGAGACTCTTATCTCCAATAAACCACTAGTGGTGCTGTGGGTCAAGTGGTAGAGCACAAAGCACCCAGGCCCAGAGTTCAAGCCCCACGAGCAACAAAAAGGGAAGGAAGGAAGGAAAGAAGGAAGGAAGGAAGGAAGGGAGGGAAGGAAGGAGGGAGGGAGGGAGGGGAAAGAAAGAAAGAAAGAGAGAGAGAGAGAGAAAGAAAGAAAGAAAGAAAGAAAGAAAGAAAGAAAGAAAGAAAGAAAGAAAGAAAGAAAGAAAGAAAAGAAAGAAAAAAGAAAAGATAGATCTATGTTTTTTATCACTAGCTTAGAAAACAATACTTCACATTTTTGGTAAGGGTACAACTAACTCTACCCTCAGATGAAGATCCACGTTTGGATATTTCTACTGGCTTGCATAAGAGACCTGGAAAAATCTGGGTGATGCATTGTATTTTCAGGCAGATTAAAGACCAGTCTCTTCAAGTGTTACATGCTATCAGCTCAAAAGAGTATTGTTTAATAAGAGTCAGTTTTGCTCTTTAATCATTTTACTTTTTGTGGTACTGGGGATCCAGCCCAGAGCCTCAAGTATGATTTTAAAAAAACGTGTTCTGCAAACATTTTATATGTAATAAGAGGAATTTATAAGAATAATATCCCCCTCAAAGCAAATAATACATTCTACTAATTAACAGTTACTACCATAAAACACATGGAAAAGGGAAAAAATAATTGTTATGCTAAGAAATTATGACATTGCTCATCTTAATTTGATCACATGTATAGCTAGTCTTTTATGTTGAATAAATGTATAGTGAACGTTAGTTTTGTGTTCCTAGAATGGAATCCCCTATTTTGTAGTTGCGATTTGCTTTGGAGAAGCCTATGTCACCCCATCACTCTTCCAAGTCAATTTTGGCCAAGAAAAGCAGAAGGGGTAAGCCCATCTTGAGTCCCAGCTCATGCTGACTCCATCTGTAGCTCTAGGGACAGACAACATAGGCCAAAGCTGACTGACAAATTTGTTCCACTGAACTCAGGATGAATCTCAGCCAATGAGACAAAAAGCTATAATTTTAGCTATTTAAGAAAGCTAGAGTCTGTTCTTCCAAATGGAGTTGGACTTGGTAGGCCCTAAGAAGCCCAAATATCACTAATATCACTCCAAAACATCACTACAGCTGATGACGACCTCCTGTCTGCCCCAATCTCAAATGAGTCAATAAATCCTCTTTTGCTATGTTGATTTGGCTCACCTGATATTTTCAATCAAAGGGTTCCTGACAAAATACATTTCTACTTGGTTTATTGTCTTAATTATTTTTATTACTGCAGAAAAATTAAGCATTATAATACTTACATTCAAATTGATAATATAGTTAGTCTAACACTTACCTTATATCTCAGTGTACCCCTCAGTAAAGTGTGGGCAGATGGGATCCCATAGATCTCTGAGTATCGAGTACTGTCTCTGTTAGGATAACCCTCCAAATTCAGGCCAGGAAAATAATCCATGGAAGTGACGGCATCAAGAAAGGAGACTCCCCCTGCCACGTTCACAACCTGAGATTATGGAAAAGGGAAATGTGGGGCTGCAACTAGCTGTTTCCCTGTGCTTTATCCACATTACTTACATTAAAAAAAAAAAAACCTCATAAAGGTTTGAAACTAGTGAAACTACCATAGGCAGTATCCCATTGCCCAGCTGCAATATCCCATTGCCCAGCTGTTGCATCATTATCATAATTTACAATGCTTTCTCTCAGGCTTGCAAAATTTACACAAAGCATTTAGCTTTCCTAAACGTAAGACTTTATTGCAATTTTTTTCTTGGTCCTAGATAAAATGGCATTGTTTCAGTAGGAAAGAAAGAAAGAGAGAGAGAGAAAGGGAGAGAGAAAGAGAGAGAGAAAGGGAGAGAGAGAAAGGGAGGGAAGGAAGGAGGGAGGGAGGGAGGAAAGGAAGGAAGGAAGGGAGAGAGAGAGAGAGAGAGAAAGAAAGAAAGAAAGAAAGAAAGAAAGAAAGAAAGAAAGAAAGAAAGAAAGAAAGAAAGAAAGAAAGAAAGAAAGAAAAGGAAGGAAGGAAGGAAGGAAGGAAGGAAGGAAGAAGAAAGAGAGAGAAAAGGAAGGAAGGGAGAGAGGAAGGGAAGGAAAGGAGGGAGGGAGAGAAGAAAGAGAGAGAGATGAAGGGAAGGAGAAGGAAAGGAAAGAAATGAGAAAGATAAAAGAAAGAGAAAAATAAAAACCTAAGCTGAAAAGTCACAGGCACTCATTAAATGGCTTAAATGATAACAATATTTTCTCCTTTTCTTTCCTGGAAGCCACATCAAGCATTAGTCTCCACACCTCATTCACATAACAAGCACCTACTACTGGTGCAGGGATCACACAGCTGCGGAGGGACTAAGGAGCAGGGTGAACAACATGGAATTCCTTTATTCACTCAGCAGACTTTCACCACTGGCTACCCAGTGCCAGAAGTGTGAATAGCTCACAGACGGTTAGTACCTAAAACTTAGGGGTGTGCTGGGGATGGTGAAAGGCATCAGAGGAGAGAGCTTGCTTCTCAACAAAGACAGTCCCATGAACATACCATGAAGCTTATATAAGTACTATCCCCTCTGTTACTGCTGGGGAGAAACTAAACCATCTCCGCTTGCTCTTTCCATATCTTTCCCTGTCTCCGTGTTTCTGTTACTCATAGTCTACTTCCCTAAACATGCACTCAAAATGCAGTGAAGCACAAGAGTTGTTATTGTCTTTTAAGTAAAGATCTAAAGATTCTTTTAGTGTATGAGGCTTGTGATTATCCTTAAAACAGTAGAAAGCATTGTGCAGTTATAGTCAAGGCTGAGAATTTTGCTGAAGAGCTGGATGTTGTGCTTTTTGCCCTGCTGGAAATACTCTACCTCCATCTCTACAGCCACAAAGCAACACGGCTCAAGGGAGTTGTGATGGAACCATAGATGGAAGCAAAGAGTTTTTCCTAAAGGACATTCTGGTGAAATGGAATGACTCTCATAGCTTTATGTGTAGATTTTATTTTTTGTAGGCCTTCATATGAGGGAGAAAATGAACATCACTTATATATGGCTGAAGTGCCTGAAGGAAAGGGTTAAGCTTAATGGGGTGTCAGATAGGTTATATCTTTTGTTGTAAGCTACAGGCTTACAACAAAAACCAAAGTACTGTCTCTAGCCCTCACCATGAGAATCTGAAGAATGTGAAGAATGTTTTGGCTTAATTTTCTTATAACCCATCCTGGGCTAAACCAAGAATATTTCCCTAGAGACAGTTTCTGCACTTTTTTTCTTTAAACCAAATTTCTTCTTATAAGATTTTAAGTGGTTGGGGATTGTTTTTCCTTTCAATCTACTTTAAAAGGCAAAGGCTGATATTTAAAGTTTCCATAGACATTTTGCTTCTATAACTTTTGGCAAACTTCAAACTCCTGTTAGTTTGAACTAACAGGAACTTTTTAAAGAAAAACTTCAATGTTATTCCAGGACTTTATCAATTGGAAATAAATCAGCTAGCCCATAGGTCTATCATAAAATTCCTGTAAAGAAAACCAGAAAAAAAAAATTGTCTGGGTACCTGTGGCTCAGGTGTGTAATCCTAGCTACTCAGGAGGTTGAGAGCTGAAGTTCCTGGTTTGAAGCCAGACAAGACAGACAAATTCATGAGACTTTTATCTCCAATTTTACAAGCAAAAAGCCCGAAGTGGAAATGCATCTCAATTAGTAGAGTGCCTGCCAGTCTTAAGCAGAAAAGCCAAGTAAAAGTTCAAGGACCTGTGTTTGAGCCTCAATACTGACGAACACACACACACACACACACACACACACACACACACACATACACACACACAATCAGAAAATTTTAAATTGAATGGTGTGATTAGAGATTCTGATGAAAAATTGCAAGATGAGTAGTCATTATCATTTGATATCAATGTGGGATTGTACTTCTAATGACATACATGGTTTGAATAAAAGCCACACCCTATTTAATATTTTATTGATGGTGTAGGTAGATGTATTTATTTACCTCACAGAAAATGTGTTTCTTGTGTGTGTGTGTGTGTGTGTGTGTGTGTGTGTGTGTGTGTGTTGGTTGTGGCACTTAAACTGAGTTACTGAGTTATTTCACTCAAGGCTAGCACTCTACCATTTTGAGCCACAGCTTCACTTCCAGTTTTCTCATAGTAAATTAGAGATAATAATCTCATAGACTTTCCTGCCTGGGCTGGCATTGAATCATGAGCTCAGATATCAATCTCCTAAGTAGCTAGGATTATAGGCATGAGCCACTAGTATTTGTGAGAAGATGTATTTCCAACCCACTCCCTGCAGAAACAGTGGCTCACTACAGTCATAGACTAAGTCCAACTCCTCTACACACACACACACACACACACACACACACACACATCTCCCAGTCAAGGATAGTTGCTGCCACATGTTTTGGAACACATATTCAAATGCTCTCAATAAACTTAATCCTAATCTAAATAAGATTTAACACAGGAACCATACCTACAATCACATACACACACACACACACACACACACACACACACACACACACACACATACATACACACTGTCTGCTAGTTATTATATGTATCTGACTTTTAAACCATGCAATAAAACATTTATCAGAGGTGACCAACCATCAGAGGCAACTCCAATGATCATGCTCTTTCTACATAGTCCTTCAATCATACTTATTTTGAGATCTGTATTTTGAAAGCAGAATGGGCATTGTAGAGAATCCTGGAGAACACCAAAGAAGTATCTGATGACTATGCTAAAAATGGTTAAAGACACTGGAAAAGCAGAGCTAGCTTCTGTTTTCCTAGAAAGAAGGGTTTAGCTGCTGCAGTTTGGGTGGTAGCAGGCAAAGGAAAACAGGCTAGAAAAGTTATCTCCATGTGTGGTTGCAGAACAAGCACTATTTTCTAGACAAGAGATTAAAGCAGGCCAGGCAACCGGTGGCTAATGCCTCTAATCCTAGCTACTTGGGAGGCTGAGATCTGAGGATTGAGGCTCAAAGCAAGCCAAGGCAAGGAAAAGTCCATGAGACTCTTATCTTGAATTAACCACTCAAAAAACCAGAAGTGGCACTGTGGCTCAAGTGGTAGAGTGCTCATCTTGAGCTGAAGAGCTGAGGGACAGTGCCTCGGCCCAGAGTTCAATCCCCACTACTGACAGAGAGAGAGAGAGAGAGAGAGAGAGAGAGCCTAAAGCAGATGATAAGCTCTGCCACATAGAGTTCACCTACTTTTCACCTCAAGAAAGCACACTGTCACCTATAAAGAAAATGAGGCAAGAGATGAATCCTTGCCTCGAGATAGATGGAAGGCAACTAGATTTGAGAGAAAGCAGAAGTTAGAAATAGTACCTGTGAATGGAACTTACTGCAAGAGTGTAGGACAAAGAGATAGGGCCTAATTCACAGGGCACTTTCTAATTGATGAGAAAGTTTAAGGCTTCCACTTTAAGCAAAAGCCAGAGTGGTCATGTAGCTCTCCTCTTATGATCCAGTGAATTACTTGAAGCTGGCTCTGTGGTGGGGCAGAGTGGTGGGGGCAGAGGAAAGAGAATACAAGAGATGTGGTGGGTTTTTTTTTTAAGTCTAACAATGTGCCTTGGGAGACAGGCTGATACACTTAAATCACTGAATAACACAGCCTCCAGAAAATTCTTAGACCCAGACAATGCTAGTATCTGACACTTTGATTGAGTTTCCACTAAAGAATAGAGACGGGAGGGTGGAGTGGTCAGGAAAAGCTCCATCCACAAGAGGAAATCTTGAGCGGGACCTTGAAAACAGTATCTTTTTAGCAAAGAAAAGAGAAACATCATGTTTTCTTTTCAGATCTTCCAGAGTGTGGGAAATGCAAAACAGCACTCTTTTTTTCAAAAGGAGTTCAGAAGAAAAGGGGTAAACTTCAAGTTCAATAGATAGGATTTCTGCTGCTTCAAAACAACTGCTTATTTTTTCCTGAAGTCTTACAACCTGTACATTCTTTATATAGTTAATATTTGCTAAAGACTTATGGCATACCCATCAATCTCCTATGAAAAAATGACAATCTGTTTGACTTCATTAAGTCATACTGAAAGCCCTCTGCAAATCTGCTATTACTACTAAATGCCAGTAGCTCACACCTATCATCCTAGCTATTTAGGAAGCTCAGATCTGGAGGATCTGGGTTTGAAGCCAGCCTAAAAAAGAAGTTTGTGTCTTCTGTCTTCAAAGTAACCAGCAAAAGCTGGGCTGTAGGTATGGCTTGAGTGGTAGAATGCCAAAAGAGCAGGCAGACTTAAACCTGGTACCAAAAAGGGCATTATTGTGTTATTATGGGTTTTTTTTTTTCAGCTGAAGTTCATCCACACAACAGAACCAAGTCCAGCCAAGATAGCATTCAGTGGCTTTTTCCACGGGGCCTCTTTCATTCTTATCTCCTTTGCCATTTATAGGGCCATCTAAAAATAAGCATTTTGCCCAACTGAAGTAATAATTTTTCTATGCATCACATCTTAGTTTATATCAAACAGAAACCAGTCTTTTCCCCCCAAGATTACAAAACATAGAAATGCAATAAGAAGTAGGCTATGTATTGTGTGAAGGATATGGGTTTGGTAGAACTCAAACTGCAATTCTGGCACAAACCTGGATCAGAGCTGCAGAACTGGATGGAATGTCAGTGTTCACATTATACTTAAAGACTGCTGGCGCACAGTGGACTTCACAATTGTCTGGCCTTTGGTGATGCTGTGAAGAATGCCAGTACTTGGACCAGAACTTAGGCATCTTCTTTCTTATCCTGAGACATGCCACACATTTTCTCAGCATCAGCCTTATGTGCTCTGCTTGGTTACTAGTGTTTTACATAGTGCTCTAGGAATCTTTATACAAAATTGTTCCTTTCAAAATTCAAATGCACATGACACTCACTTGGGGAAGATTGAAAGAAATCGCAAAATTCTGGCAAATCAGAACGGTTGGAAATGAGGCATGCTCTGATTGAGCACATCCTCTTCTCTATTACTTTTCCTTCTCCTCCCACCCCCAACCTGTTCATCTAAACTAAACCAATTGTCTTCTTGTATACATTTTTGTGGCACATCAGCATGCTCCAAAAAAAAATTCTTTCGTTTGAATTATAGTCAGTTATTCTAGCATTCACCTTTCCTGACATGAAATCTAGGAAAAGCAGAAAAGAGTGTCAGCTGATGACCTTGACATTTTCTCTGAGCCACTGTTTCTTTATTGTAATAAAGAGAGTTCTTATGTTCTGTTACACAGCAGTTGGGCAAAAAAAAATCTCTGTTTTGGACAGCCAATTCTCAGCCAGCTGTGAATTCTCTGGGGGGGCAAAAACTTCATTCAGCATGACAACCATTGGTGTCCAAAGTCTAACAGGTTTTTAGTCTGTACATCATACCCAAACCGGTCAAAAGATGACTGACCAGTATTTACATAAATCCAGATGAGAAGGGTATTTTTCAGAACAACTGGCATGAAGGAAAGAAGGGATGAATGCACACTAGCTTTGCTTGAGAGACTGAGGGGCCACACAAAATGAGACAGAAAATATACACTGGGAAGGAGGAGAAAGTGAGGGACATGCAGCAGAGCGTTGGTTGGAGGATTTCTTATTAGGGAGAAAGGTTAGGGTTAGGCAGTTATCAAAGGGTTATAGTTCTAAGGTGTCAGAGGCATTCCCCTACCTTTCCATTCAGTAGGTAAGAAGCAGGCTGCATTACGTTCATCAAAACGCCCATAGGACTCCAGCTGAATTTATACCTCAAAGGATTGTCAGAATGTTCGGGGGCAGGAAGCCCCCCACAGTAGGAAATATAAGATTCAATCTATAAATTAAGAATCAAGAATTTAGAAGTAGCAAACAATGAATGATTTAAAAATGGTGTATTAAGTCATTGAGGACAATGCCATAGTGGAATAAACTTGCTAATATTGTGCCATTTTTAAGTTATTAAAGCTTTCTAATATAAAGCCTCACAATCAGACACTTAATTTAATTCAGGGGTGTATTTTAGGTATGTGATAAAGAAAATAACCTACTAGTTCAGTTTTGCTTTGTCAGTTCCTACTGATTTGTACCCAAATTTATATGTGTGTATATGTATTTATATATATTCACACATGTAACTGTATTTTGTCATGTGTAAATACTACCCAAACAGACTGATGATATTTCAGATTGTTTTTGCTCACAGACAAAAGTCAAACTTGCTTATATCCCATCTAAGAATCTTTTTTCAGTGAACATGTTAGAGTAGCATCAATTACTATCCAACACCCAGATGTCACTTTACTTCACAGACACATCTGCACTTATGAAATTCTATTTGAAATGAAAAAATGAGCTATAATATAACCGCATCTTTAACCAGAATCACAGAAAGATTATTTCTGTAATAAAAGCTAGGCCTGTCATGCCCTCTCATAAACAGTGCTCACCGTGGCTCCCATTTCTTTGGCCTTATCGATGGTATCCATTGCAAGCATATGATCAAGCCCAGGATCCAAGCCCAACTCGCCAATGAGTGTGATGCCCGCATCTTCCACACTGACACAGGTGGGAAGAGGAAAAAGGAAATGTCAGGAAATATGCTCCTTAGGGCATTTACTTACATGGTAATGACTGAAACTGACCTCTTTTCCAGCTCTTTCAGTGCTGGTGTGATGTAGCTTGCAGTGATCATGTTAACTTTGTTTGTGATGCAAGCCTTGGCCACAACGGGATGTAACACATATGGCAACAAGCTAAGAGAGAGAGAAATTCCTGTGAGCTACAGAACAAATTCTTCCCCACTTTGAAAATTTAAGAAACTAATAATACTTAAATTTTTTATTATTTATGATTTTTATTATTTATGATTGGACTTATTGGATATTACATCTTTAACAAAAACAAATTAGAGTATTTCACTCATTTTGATTGTGACATTAAGAAAAGGATATAATTCTTGTATATGTCGACCAGCCAAAACCCAGAAACAGTTGAACTATCCATGAATAGTCAAATAATCATGACATATTCATACAGTAGAATACTACACAGCAATGAGAATGAACAAACTACAAATAATAACAGAAGATGCTCAGAATCACCAATGTTAAATAAAAATGAAGGTAGGCACAAATGAGAACACACACACTGAGTGATTACAAATTTACGAACTATGAAATAGAAACAACTAATCTATATATCAGAAAAGAAAACAGCACTTGCTTTGAGGATAGAGTTGGTGAATGGAAGGGGCATGAGCAGGGCTCTTGAGGACAATTTCTTGCTTTATTTTTGTGTGTGAGAGGAAGCAGTACTGAGGCTGAAACTCATATTTTCACTTGGCTTTTTGGCTCAAGGCTTGGGACTCTACCACTTGAGCTCCACCTCTACTTTTGGCTTTTAGCTGGTTAATTATGGATAAGAGTCTGCTGTTCCTGGGCTTGCTTAGACCTGTGATCCTCAGAATTCAGCCTCCTGAGTAGCTAGAATTACAGGAATGAGTCACCAACAACCAGCAGTATCTTATTTCTTGGTGTCAGTGGTGGTTACAGAATGTGTTTACTTGGTGGAAATTCATTGAGCTACATGTTCGTATTTTGTTTATGTTTTAGACAGTCTCCTATGTAGCCTATTTGACCTCAAACTTATGATCCTCCTATGTCAGCTTTCCCAGTGCTAGATTTATAGGCATCTATCACCAAGCTTGGACACATTTATATTTTGTACATTTTGTGACTTCATGCTTAAATTTAAAGCTTTATGAAAACAAGAGGGAGGAGAGAGCAAGAAGAGAGAAGAAAAGTGGATGAGAAAGAGAGGAGGAGGAGGAGAAATGACAACAATAGACATAGCTGTCCTGGAAGCTTTAGTGAAGCCTTGTTTGTGTTCTGTTGGCTAACCGCCCAGAAGTAGGATTGCTGGGTCATCGGGGAGCGCTATGTTTAGTCGTTTGCAGAACTTCAAAACTGCTTTCCAGATTAGTTGAACAAGTTTGCATTCCCACCAACAGTGTAATCGAGGTCCCTTTTGTTCATATCCAGGACAGTATTTGTTACTGTTGGTTTTCTTGATATTGGTCATTCTAAGTGGAGTGAGGTTTTGATTTGCATATCCATTATGGCCAGAGATGTTGAACATTTCTTCATGTATCTATTCCTATTTCTTCTTCTGAGATATCTCTCTCTAAGTCATTAGCACATGTATTAATTGGGCTGTTATTTCTTTGAGGGTTTATTTTAGGGGGATTTAGTTTTTTTGAGCTGTAAGTATATTTTGGATATTAAGTCCTTGTCTGATATAAAATCATGTTCAGTGCAGCATTATTCACCATAGACAAGATATGGAATCAGCCCAGAGTCCCCTTGGTGTATGAATGGATCAAGAAAATGTGGTATTCACAATGGAATTCCTTCAGAAAGAATGATATTGTACCATTCGTGAGGAAATGGAAAGACATATAAAAATTTATATTTAACAAAGTAAGTCAGACCCAGAGAAACATAGGTTACATGCTTTCCTCATTTGTGGTAGTTAGAATATGCCTATAAACCTACAAGTAAACACTCTGGGTGGTAAGCAAGTGGTCACAAATGAATTAACTAAAGTAGAATAGAATCCATGGAGAGTGCAAATAGTGTGATTCTTTAAATAAAAAAGAAAAACTAAGTCAAAGCACCCAAAAAATAAGTACCAGGAAACGGGTAGTCACAAGAGGCTAGGGGTAGGGCCAAGGGGAGAGGGGTAGAAGAATGAAGCAGGGAAAGGGGAAGAATGCAGGCCAGAACTCACTGTATATACCACAGAGTTGAGAAATATAAGGGAAGGGGTGGGCTGGAGGGGGAAGAAGATTTTGAAGTGATGACATAAACTCTTTGTTAAAGAGTTTATGTTAAAGAGTTTGTTAAAGAGATACATAAACTCTTTGTTAAAGGGCAACAGAACTAAATACATAACCTAAAATTAAGATAATTAAGGAAAATGGTATACTGGGAAGTGTGGGTGAGAATGCTGAATGAGGTGACACTGATCAAGGTGCACTGCATTCATAAACTGCTTTGGTGAATGGCAACTCCTTTGTACAACCACTTATTGTAAAAATACTGTACATAGGGGTTATAGTTACATGAATACATTTCCTATTGAGCACTGTTACCTCCTCTGTTTTTCCCCTACCATCCCCTCCCACCCCATCTCCCCAACTCCTTCCCCCCACAAGTTGTAAAGTTCATTTTCAACATAGTGTTTTGTACATCACATTGTTACAATGGGTCAACCTGCATCAAGCATTTTGTTATTTCTCTTCCCCTCCCCAAATTAGAAAAATGTATATACAAGATACAGGGCACCGGAATCAAATACAGTGACAACAGGGGTTATACCATGGGGGAAAAACATACAAAAAAAATCACAAAGTACAACCACTTAAAGATAATAAAAATATTCAAAAATAGAAAGACAAATATTTCTTTTGCTTGCTCAATTAAAATAGAGAGAGAGAAAGAGAGAGAGAGAGAGAAGTAACAACAAAAAGTGTATGTAACTTGTTCTTGCCAAATACCTAATGACAAGATCCTGAGATGCCACCAAGGAGTTCAACCTTTCTTCTTGTTTACCGATGTTCATGTTAACAAGATTAATATTGTATTTCTTGCTTAACTTTTTCATTTGATTTTCCATGTCAGAGCCTATTTTAGGGATAAAACAGTCCAATTTTTATATTTCCTTTCCATGGCACAAAGAGTAACACACTTTTGAATGTCTCTAAAATCACAAGTACTCCACATACAGAAACTAAAGGGCCATCTAAATTTTATAAGATTGGGAGGGGAAGTTGTAAAGAAAAATGTGGGAAGGGGAATATAATTACCTACTGTTATTTCTATATTGCTGTCTCTTGACAGGTATTCCAATACAGGTCCAGATACATAGCCAGATCCAAGAACCAACACCTTTTTCTTGGTATTCATTGAAAATGATTGAAAATTTTCTCTGTTTAAAAAAGAAAAGGAGGGAGATTTAATTTCTTTCTAAACAACCAAATCTAATCGTCCCCATAGCAATCTAAAACTGAAACTGTGAAATAACTTTTTTTCTAAATGACTTACAATAAGAACCAAAAGAAATTTCTACACTGATATTTTTCATTACTTATTTCATATTTTTATAATAAAGCAACAAACCCTGAGAAACTGAGAAACCTGAGGTATATAGACCTCCATAAATTCACAGTAGTAATGAAGGTGCTGGATTATTTATTTGCTTATGCCCTAAGGAGAAATTTTGTTCACACTTTCTCCTAGAGGACAAGATTCAAAATCACATTAGAGGGCTATCCAATGGAAAGTTTACTTGCCTCTCACAACAATCCAAAGAGACAATAATTTGAGCAGGAGAGCATTTTTATACATATTAGAAATTGTTTCGTCATATAATTTTAGGGTCACGTGAGAACTAAAGCTATAAATTGGGTTAAATATAGAAACCAAGACAAGTATGAGGAAGGATTTCAATTCTTGAGTTTATTTTGTGATAACTTATATTTTCTGGAAAGATGGCTTTATTTCCTGCAAACTGTAAGTTTAAGGAAGTGACAAGTCTTGTCCAACTTTATAAACCCATTAATATTCCTTATATTTTCTTTTGAATATGGAAGTTATTCATGCCATGTCTTTCAAATCACATATTATTAACCTATAGAAATGTCCTTCTGTCACTGACTTAGGCTGCTGGCTGTTCTTGGAATTTTTAGGTCAGGATGTTTCTCAAAGTTTAATCCACAAATCTTTACATTCATAATGGATGGATATAAAATAAATATAAAATATTACTGCTTTTTTAATCTTCAACATATGTAAAGATAACCCATTAAAGTACTTCTTTTCCCAAAAAACTATGATTTTGTACTAATATATTCTAATTATACTTTCTATAATTTCTGGGATTAAAACAGTATTTTTATGAGCACATAGAAAATGTTTTAAATACACTATTTTTAAGAATTCACTTGTAGACTCTAATTTTGTCTACATCATCAGCACCCCTAAACTACAAACTTTGAATTAATATTCACTGTTTCAAGTGAAGAAAGAATATTAGAGTAAGCTGGGACTCAAAATAAGGCAAATTTCCCTTCAAGATGCAAGCTTCACTATCAGTTTCTCTGCACAAGAATCCATTAGAGAAATAAGACAGGAAGTCTTAGCAATAGCAGCCAAGTAGACCTGGTGTCACATGAAATATAATAAATAATAATACATAATAAGGTATTACTATGTTGGTATTTCATACACACTATTGGTGTTAGAAGTTAAAAAAAAGCATTGGGTAATAATACTCCAAAGATAGAGCTATAAAAAATGCACACATGTGAAGTTTTCCTAGTACAAACTCTCCCGTGCCATTAAAGAGCTAGCTTCTCTTTTCAAAGAATGAAATGTTCTTGGTGTTCTAAGTCAGAGTGTTTCGTTGCTACATTCAGTCAAGTAGCTATAGCAAATTAACATATGGGAAAGTCATTTCTATGAAATACTTGAGTTGATCTCTTCCTTTACTTCTTATAGGAAGAGCCACTGGGAGGTAAAAGAGACACTGTTTTGCTTACTTTAGTTTTCCCATTCCTAAGTCTCTTGAATAATAGTAACATAGTCATAGTTCATTAATAGTTCAGGAGTTTTATTGTTACTTTGTTAAATGTAATGGGACGGGGAGTAGACACAAATGAAGTGCAAACGCCAGGAAGAAAGCAGAATATTCCAAAGTAATGTCAGTGTTTTCAGAATCCCAGCAGTATTATCAGTTCAGGAACTAAGTACTTTAACTAAGCACCTTTCTAAGAGAACTATTCTCTCAACTATTTTATCAACTTTTTGAGGTATCTGCCTCCTCATAAGAATTCCCAGGGGATGTTATCTCTCATCATTTTCTGTCTTCATTGTTTCCTTTCGTTTCTGCCCAATGACCCACTTTCTTAAGCATAATAAGAAACAAAAGTCGAAACCTCTATCTAAAACCTAAACTAGAAGTACCACAGAAAAGATTAACATGCTCATATTTTCTTTGAATAAATAACTGAGAAATCACCATGTACAAAACGATAAAGAACAAATAAGTGTCTGCTCGAATGACAATGATTTTACACTTTAGCTTGCTCACACACAAGTTTAGATGGGATTGTAGGCAACTGAACAATGCTATTTTATTCTTCAAGGAAAAAGGTGTCGCATTTTATACATTTATAGACATGCCCTATCAATTACCCTGGCTGTGCATATTCTATATAATTAAAATTAAGAACTCCTATTGATGCTTTAAACCGTCAAATCCAAGATGAGACAAAATATATAAAATAAAAGGATACAAACACTACTTACCTGTCCTCTCGGAGTTTCTGGATATATTTATATTTATCCGTTAATAAACCGTTGGATGTAATCACAGCCTAAATGTGTATGACACAAGACATTTCTTTAGGTACCAAAATTTTAGTCTTACACATGTGGGCTCATTACTGACAGAGGATGACTGAGTGACAGAGAGACACTCTGGACTAGGAATAGAGCCACCCTCTATTCCTAGAGAGTAAGAAGGGGAGATTAGGCGGCTAAGGGAGAAAAGACAATTAAGATAGTAGAGAGAAGAATACATCTGTGGGAAGAAATTTTCAAAACTTACATCTCGCACCACAGGAGAAAAGTTCTGACTTTCCAGGGGCTGTGACGCATCTGATAATAACTGAAAGGAAAAGGAGATTGGAAAGATATAAATATGATTGTAAGGTTGGTTTATTAAAACATTACTAGAGAAAAGGATGATTTAGGGAAATTTTCTGAAGATCACTAAGAGAAATCAGATCTATTCCCAAAATTCAATTTTAAAAAATAAATTTTGATCTTTGTTTGCTAAGAACACAACCAACCAGTTTTAGCCTATTGAGTGAGCTATAAATGCACAAACTCTGCCCTCTGTGACCCTGTATCCCATTCCAAGGTTCAAGCAGTTCCCTGGGAAGTAGAGAATGGAATTTTCCTCTCTATTAATGCTGCCTGAGGGGTCTCCCTTAAATAAATATTACTTCTATGGGTAAGCACAATAACATTTCAAAACAGGTAGGGGAAGGCAAGCTCCAACAGGCAAATAAATCAATCTGATTAAAGTACTGTATGGGCATGTGTGAAATCCCATGGCGAAAAACCTCTCTGAGGAATTAACATGCACGTTTATAAAATGAATGATAGGAAAATGAAGCATGTCCTGTCTACACCTGGGGGCGAGGGCGGACTGAGTAGAAAGGATGAAGGAAGGTAAATATAGCCAAAATACCTCCTATATACCTGTGAAAATGGAAAACGATGCTTTTTAAGCTTGGTTTGTGAAGGGGGAAGGAGAAGATGAGGGAAGGTGATGCGGAGGAGAGTCTGATACCTTGTCCTTTGAATTTCAGTTCAAAAGCTATGGGCACGCCAAAATGAAACCTCCCAGTGCAGCTCATGAATGACAAGAAAAATAATAGGGGGGAGTGATCTGACCATGTAGATCTCAAGTCATCCAATGCCTCCTCGTTATCACACAAGATTGAGACAGATTGACAACACAAGATACAATCCTCATTAATATCTTCCTATCTTTACACTACAATGCCTAGTCTTGAACCTACTACCAAGCAGCACAAGGCCTGTTAGGTCAGTTTGTTACCTCTAATGGGCAGAGAAGTGCCAATGGGGCTATGTTCCCTTTTTAACTTAACTTAATGTCTAGATCATCCACCATATTAAGAAAGAGTACAAGACACCTAGCACAGGCTGGCTGCAGAGAATTCATTTACTGCATTTTTTAAAAAAAGATTGAATATGTTCATGGATGTAAAAAACAACAGATATAAACTTTCCATTACTGCATATAGACAAGTTTTGAAAAAGAATATCAGGTATGCTGGAAACGGATCATTCAAAACAGGATATGAAATACTATATTCCGAAGCAAATGGAAAATTGCAAAAATATTAGCACTCCAAAGACTAAAGCCAGCTTTAAGTTAGTTCTCTCTCTAAATCAACTGAGGTGATTTTCTTCTATTCTATTTCCTGCTGTCTCCATGTCTTCTCTGGAAGAAAATCACATTGCATCTAGAGCCTCAAACTATCTCTAACATTGTATACATGTCATGTCAGGCATTCAATAAAATGTAGATGAGTATACTAAATGACTGATTGCAGCTCCACCATGGGGATCACTGACAAATCCAAGAAGTATATTAGGAGTATATTTCAACTGTAATTAATACTTTAAAATAACAAAGATTTGAGATACATTCAAAAGAAAACAGAATACCTTGCCCATGTAATTGTAACCCCTCTGTACCGCATTTTTGTTTCCTTTGTATGTTCTTCCCCCTATGGTATGTCTCCTGTGGTCACTGTACTTGATTTTGGTACCCCGCATTTTGTATATACATTTGTCTTATCTTGGGAGAGGAAGGGGAATAACAAAACGCTGATACAAGGACACAGGATGACCCTTTGCAACAATGATACCCACAGGACAGTGTATTGTAAATGAACTTTACAACTCCAGGGCGGGGCGGGGGGGGGGGGGGAGGCGTGGAGGGGTGGAGGAGGTGGGAGAGGAAAGGGATAGTGGACAACAGGGAAGAGATAACAATGATGACAAATAATGTATTCATTGCCTGACTCATGTAACTGTAACCCCTCTGTACAGCATCTTTACAATAAAATAATTTTTTTAAAAAAAGAAAATAGAAAACTTTATAAATGGTCAAATAAAAAGGTACTGGTGGCTCACCCCTGTAATCCTAGCTACTCAGGAGGCTGAGATCTGAGGATCATGATTCAAAGCCACCCAGAGCAGCAAACTCCGTGAGACTCTTATGTCCAATAAACCACTAGAAAACCAGAAGTGGTGCTGTGGCTCAAGCAGTAGAGTGCCTTGAGCTGAAGAGCACAGGGGCAGCACCCAAGTCCAGAGTTCAAGCCCTACAACCAACCCAAAAAAAAGCTCATGGGAATCTGTCCCAACTAATAAAATGTTGGGTACCGTGATGTGCTCCTGTCATCTCAGCTTGGCAGGAAGCATAAATGGGAGGATTGTGGTCCAGGAATGAATGTGAGATATGATGTAAAAAATAATAATAGCAAAAAGGGCTGAAGGCATGGCTCAAGTAGTACCGTACCTGCTTAGCTTAACATATATGCAACGTGTATATGTATAAGTATAGGTATGCACATACTTATGGAGATTGGAATAGCAATTTAAAAACATGACTAAACTGACATATATAGGTCATATAAAATATACATTTTTCTCAGTTATACATGGAAAGTTCTTCCAAAGCTGACCACAGTAAACCTCAACAAAATTCAAAAGGTTACAGTCATCTAGAATATTGTATATAAATATATACAAAACAATTAGGATGCTAATCACTAATAAGTTATATTGGCACATGCCTGTAATTTCAGCTACGTAGGAGTCAGAGATCAGGAGGATGGCAATTCCTTGTTAGTGGGACCCTATCTCAACCCATAAGCCAAGCATTGTGGTACATACTTATAATTGGACCACTGTCCAAGGTCAGTTCTAGACAAAATGTGAGACTCTATCTGAAATATAAATAAAAGCCCAAAGGGAAGAGTGTGTAACTCAAATAACAGAGTGTCAGAATAGAAAGCCCTGAGTTCAAGCCGAAAAAAAAAAAAAACCCAGTCAGTAATAAAGACAATCAGAAAAGTCTCAAATGTTAAAGCTTGAAAATACCAAAAAATAACTTATCAAAAACTAATGGGAGAAACTAAAGCTGAAATCAGACTAAAATTTGTAGCTTTACATTTCGTATGTTATTAAGATGAGTGGAAATTAAGCATACAAGAAGCTAAGAGAAGGTTGTATTAAATCCACCAAAAAGTAAAACAAGGATCTAATAAAGATATAAGGGCCAACCATGATGATGCATGCCTGAATTCCAATTACTAGGAGACAAAAATTGGGAAGATTCAGTTCAAGGCCAGTGTGTACAAAATGTTAGTGAGACCTGCCATCTCAACCAATAAGTTAACTATTGTAGCTTTCCTCTGTCATCTGAGCTACAAGGGAGGAGTAAAGAGGAGGATACTTGTTCAAAGAAAAGTTCAAGGCTATCTAAAAAGTAACTAAAGCAAAAACAGGCCATAGACATGGTTCAGGTGCTAGACCACTGGACTAGCATACACAGCCCTTCAAGTTCAAATCCAGGACCCACCAAAGAGATGAATAAAAATAAATGAGTGAATAAAATACTTTTCAGAGAAGTTCTTTCAACACCCTGCTAGAACTAAGTTGATAGAGCTCACTCATTAGTATAAGATCATTCCATTTTAGCGTTAGAAAACTTAAGTTTTTGCAAATCATTCCTCCTACAGGTAATAGCTAACACTCCCAGTATTGTAACAATAACAAATAACATGTGGGCGTTAGAGAATGAAGAATTGAAGTTAGAAAGGAAATACCCCTCAACATCTCTGGCTATAAAGGAAATGCATATCAAAACAACACTGAGAGTTCACCACACCCCAATTGGAATGACCAACGTCAAGAATACTAACAGTAACAAATGCTGGTGTGAATGTGGCCAAAAGAGTACTCTATCACACTGTTGGTGGGAATGGAAGCTTGTTCAATCACTGTGGAAAGCAGTGTGGAGGTTCCTCAAAAAAAAAAAAAAAAACTAAACATAGAACTACCCTATGAACGAGCAATTCCACTCCTGGGTACCTATCCAGTAGAATACAAACAAGGTCACAGTAAAGCCATCAGGACTACTTTGTCCATTGCAGCATTGTTTGCCATAACAAAGATATGGAATCAAACCAGGTGCCCCTCAGTGGATGAATGGATCAAGAAAATGTGGTATATATTCACAATGGAATTCTACTCATGTGTTAGAAAAAATGATATGGTACTATTTGTAAAGAATTGCAATATCTAGTATATGTATGAGTCAAGCGGAAAAGGTCAGATAATGTGATGTTAGGAAAATGAACCCTTAGATATGTATTTTAATGTTTTTTTCTTTCATGTATTTGTTTCTAACGCATTTATAAGATTATTTCTTTGTTGCTTTGTATGTCCCTCCCCCGCAGCATAACCCCTGCTTTCACTATATTTGATGTCAGTATAACTTGTGGAGGAGATGGGGAAAAACAAGTCGTTTAAGGATACAGGTGGACCTGTTGCAACAATAAGTACAAGTTGTCATGTCGAAAACGCAACAATGAGAAGTACAAGTTGTCATGTCAAAAACGAGCTTTACAACGTTGGTGGGGGGGGGAGGATTGGGTGGGGGGGTGGGGGGGGAGGCTGGGAAGGGATGTGAAGGGTAAACAAAGGAGGAGGCTGCAATGCTTGATAAGAAATGTACTCATTATCTTGCCCATGTAATTGTAACCCCTCTGTACAGTATGTTCACAAAAAATAAATAAATAAAATAAAATGAAAAAAAAAGAAATGGAAAGACATGGAAAAACTTACATTAAGTGAAGTAAGCCAGACCCAGAGAAACAATGATTACATGGTTTCCCTCATTTCTGATACCTAGAATGTACCTATAAATCTGTAAGTTAAAAACACTAGGTGAAATGTAAGTGGTTACAAATGAATTAACTGAAGCATAATAGACTCTATGGAAAGTTCAACTAATATAATCTTTTAGAAAGATCAGGGTCAAAGCCCAACAAAATCAACACTAGCAAAGGGGTCTATCCAAGAGCGGGGTGGAGCCACAGGGAGAGGTGTAGGCAAATGATGCTGGTAGGGAAGTCGAATGCAGTTTAAAAAATTCATTGTATAATGGGTCAACTTGTACACTTAGTTAAGCATTACCTTACTCATGTAACTATAACCCCTCTGTACGGCATTTTTACAATAAAAATATATTAAAAATTCATTGTATATACTATAAAATTAAGAAAAGTAAGGGAAGGGGTGGGTCAAAGTGGGGTGAGAAAGTTGAAGGGAGAAACACTGATTGAGATGTATTTATTCATTAACTGCTTTGTTAACTGGTACCTCTTGTTAAAACTACTTAAAGATTATATGAATTTTTCTTAAAAGGAATACCAAAGCATGGAGCAAGCAATTAGAGCAGTAGCTGTGTTTTATAATATTATTACTATTATTAATTATTACTTTATTATTACTATTTCTGTGATGAGGATTGAACCCATGACCTTGTGTGTGGTAGGTAAATGCTCTACTACTGAGCCATATACAGAGCTCCAAGTGGCGTACCATTTTGGCATTGCTTTGAGCACATGCTGTGTAAAATGAAGAGCTTAAAAACATGTACACATGTGCATTTACTCTTTGCCTTAAAGAAACATTATGCAGCCCAGAACAATCATAGCCTTTAGTGTAAAAAGAAAAGTCCAAGAGGGCAGATTCAAAACAAGGGAGGCCAACTTCTATGTAAACTCTGCTCCAAGTTTCTGAATGACCCCCAAGCTGAGTGTGTACCTGCTAGACTACAAGCATCATGATAATGTCAGAGGTGAACTTTTCTTTGAGCTTCTCCTCGGTTGAGAGGGAATTTCAGACTAATCAAGTTGACCACCTGTTTAAATTTTTTCAGAGAAATCTAATAACTCAGAATTGTCACAATAAAACCTTCACATCTGGCAGGTACCTGTGGCTCATGCCTGTAATCCTAGCTATTCAGGAGGCTGAAATCTGAGGATCATAATTCAAAACCAGCCAAGGCAGTAAAGTCCATGACATTCTTATCTCCAGTTAACCACCAGAAGACCACAAATGGCACTCTAGCTCAAAGTGTTGGAGTGCTAACCTTAAGCAATAAAATATCAGGGATAGCATCCAGGCCCTGAGTTCAAGTAACAACTGAACAAAAGAGAAGAAGGAAGAAGGAAAGAGGAGGAGGAGGAGGAGGAGGTGGAGGATGAAGAAGAGGAGGAGGGGGAGGAGGAGGGGGAGGAGGAGGAGGTGGAGGAGGAGGAGGGGGAGGGGGAGGAGGAAGAAGGGGAGGAGGAGGAGGAAGCAGAAGGTGCCAAAACAAAAACTTTCACATCATCATTGATAGAATCCAATTATAACACAACAATTGAGTAATAGAAACTGAATAATACAACTACTCAGTGATAACTAAGAAACTATGAGTCATTCTCAAAGGTAGAAACAATCATTCAATGCCAAATGTATCCATATATTACAAAGGTAACATATAATGGCACACGCTGATCCACAAATTTATTTTCCCTGGTTTCAGTTAAACACATCCAACAACCCTGTGAAAATATTAAAAGGAAAATGCCTGAAATAAGCCATTCGTCTCCTCCTTCATCGTGCTTTTGTCCAGTGTATCCACAGCATATGTGCTCGCCACTCTACGACCAAGGAACATCTTGTAATGGAGCAACCGTCATACGGTGGCTTAGTGCTCCTTCACCACATCACCAAGCCTACATCATTCACCTCCCTTCGTCTCATCACATGATCATTGTATCATCTCATATCACCACAAGAGCAAGGAGGCAGTGCAACAAACAATACGATATTCTTGGAAAAGACAGGCCACCGTGACATACTTATTGAAGTATATAATGTTATGGTTGTTATGTTTCATAACAAGTTATTGTTGAGTATCTTACTTGCCTGACCTAGACCCAGAGAAAGTCAGACATTATCGTAAGTATGCTTGTATAGGTAAACAAATGCATTGTGTGCACACGCGCGCGCGCACGCACACACACACACATACATACACACGTGGTTCAATAGTACCCACGGTTACAAGCATTTACTGAGAGTATTACGATATACCTCACAAGATAAGGGGACTTAGCACAAAGTTTGAAAGGCTAGAAATTCTCAGCAGATAAAGAGAACCCTACAAAAACAAAAAGAAGGAGACAAAAGATAAGAAAAATATCAGTTCTGGGATGGAAAATACAATATCTGGAATCAATATAACAGAATAGAGAATTTGGAGATATTTTCAGATTAAAAGAATCTCTAACCAGTGGCTCTGCACTACAAGCAGTGCTTGAGGAAGAAAGGGCGAAGATATTGGAAATGATAAGCCTTCTTTTCTCTAAGTACGTACCTCTTCACACACTAGCACACTTACTTCTGCAGGATGTTAGAATTAGGTACTATGACCATTATTTGTTACATACATCCCATTTTACAGATGAAATATTTGAGACTCAGATAGGAATTGAGTTTCCCATTCAAAGAATATGCCTGCAGTGAAGCCCATTATTTTATTGTATCCTCCTTTTTTTTAATTTATTGATCCAAGAGCCTGAACTCAGGGGCTGAGCACCAGACTCCTGAGTAGGCTCGGATTACAGACATGAGCCACCAGCACCCAGCTTGTACTCTCCTTAGACTACCTTAATCCCCAACTTCAGGTGTGTTTCGTATCCAAAGCTGTGCTGACACCTTCTCAGCCTTAAATTTTTCTATGTTCAAGCTTCTAAATCTGCAAAATGAGAGGCTTCTCCTAAGTATTTAAAATGAAGAAGTATGGAATGCTTTACACAACATCAGGAACCCCACCATGAGGATGCCAGCTGTCAGCATGGTCCTCTTCCTTCTTCCACGTTCCCAGAGAAAATGAAAGAGTCTAGATAGAATACTATTTGAGAGAAAATGGTACTGCGTAGTCTGTGCTCTACACACTTATATAAAGTGGTGTTTTCATTTGTTCCTTCCGTCAGAAATAGTGTATGTTTTCTGTGACTTCTTCCTAATTGGCATTTTATTTAAAGAAAATAATCGCAGGCTGGTCACTGCTCTACTGACTATGGTCCTGTTTCAGTATGATGGTGCCTGAGTGAAAAACCCGAGAGGAAGAACAAAGCCACAATTCATAACTTCAGAATCTCTGCTGGTGGAAGACAGCCATTAGCAATAAAAATAAAGCATGACTGTTATGTGCCTAAGAGAAACACTGAGATAAGAATGGTTTCCGTTGATTAGGAGAATAGAATTTTGATGACAGAGTACCTCAGTTGTCAATCACTGATCACAAAAAACAAAAAATATATTATCTCAAAGTACACTGTCTCTTAAAGCATGAGTACCAAATATACAGTAACACTTTCTATATTTCTCAATCTGTGAATCATCTGTTAATTTATGAATTTATCCAGACAAGCAAGAAAATTGACAATAAAGCAATACATATCTCACATATCATGATTTTCCTAGTTAAACACATACAATGTGTTTAACAATTGTTAATTAAACAATTGTTTAATTAACAAATTGTTAATTGTTAATTAAACAAATGTAATTAAACATAATCCCAGTGATATATTCCCACAAGACAAGCAAGTAGAATAGGTACAATAATAATTCATCAGGAGCACTTCAAGGACTTTGGGGGAAGGGCTGGCATTTCATTTTACAACAGATTTCTTAGGTACAAAAGACCAGAACATTCATAAGCTCATTCCATAACTCTACCAAGGGCTCAGAATTGTTGTGGTATCTACAAATCTCCTTACCATTTCTTCCACGTAAGGGTAAAGCATGTCTCCAAAGTATTCTGTAGCTTCAATTGGAAGCTGTGCTGGCAAATTGTCAATGGAACACATCAAAATCCCAGAGCCTTCAACACTAGGAAAAGCACACACTTTATTCTGATGCTCAGCCGGTCATTGGTAAGCTCCAATTTTTCCCAGATGTCAACTGCATTCTACTTGTTTCACTAACCACTTACGGTCTTAATGCAGGGGTACGTAAAACTATAAGCAAGATTTTTCTTATGAACCTTTTTCCCCTCTTCAAGCAACCCATCTCCCATTTAGCAATAGTACACATATATTTAAATGTTTACATTTCTATGTGGTTTGTCTAACAAATTTTTAAAAATATGTTTGAGTAGTTACTCCTAGGTTTTTATAGTTTCATAAAGAAGTAAAGTATCAAGTACTTGATCTTTAAGTCATTGCAGCTTTAACAGACTCACCTGTCATGAATGATATGCTGGTCTGCATCATACATGCAAAAAGGATGCTCTATTGTTGTGCACTCAGTCATAAAATCTATAGATCCACCTGTGTCCGCTGATATGTCACATATTGCTACAAGTCTAAAAATGACATTGGTATTTAAATGAGACCTCTGAAGCTTTCAACAGGGTTACCATTGACAAAACATGAAAGAGAGTTGAAATAATTTTCAGTGTTGAATACCAAGTATTTCCCAAGCTTCTGAACACTTTTTCCTGTAGTTCAGTCTTCAAGAGTTGTTCTGGGGTACAGAGAATCTTTCCAGTATGAGTTTTAGTCTCCATAGAAAAAGAAAGGAAAAGAAAGAAGAGGAGAAGAAGAGAGAGCTAGAAGGAGAAAAGAAAGAATTAGAAACAAAGGGGAAAATCTTTTTCCTAAACAAATAATCCACAACAACATGGGTTAAGTTAACCTAGTTAACCATCTGTAAATAGCTCACAGAGGTCCAACTACTCTACTTTGTGCTTAGTACAGTCATCCCTCAATATTGTGGATTACACATCTGGAGATTCAATTGAGACTCAAAACCATTTGTGGGAAAAAAAATGTATCTGCATAAATATGTACTAATTTCTTGTCTTTGTCATTATTCCCTAAACAAGAAAGCCAGCATCAGAACTATTTAGTTTGTTTTCATTTCATTAAATACAGTAGGTAGTCCAGAGAGACTTAAAGTCATATAGGAGAGGTACCTGAGTTCTATGCAAATACTACATTATTTTGTATAAGGGATTGAGTACAGTTATTGGCATCCACAGGGGTCCCAGGTACAATCTCCCATGGACATGAAGGACAGATGGCTGTGCTGCATGATTTTATAGTTCATGACATGCAAATGTCTAGAATCAGAAAAAAAAAAAGTCTCAGTCTAGCATTCAAAAGCTTTCAGAGGTTGGCTGTGATTTTTCTGTCCAATCTGCAAATACCAAAAGCCTAAACAATGGTATGCTAGGCCTAGATTGTCCTTTTCCGTAAGTCACATGGTAGATGGGCAGGTCCACGTTTATCAAGCATACATTGTACCACTTGAAGCTTTTGTTCTCCTTGTACTCCCTTCTAAGAGTTTTCTCAGTGTCAGCTGCTAGGCCAGTACTTCGGGAGACAATCATCTATGGTCCTGAAATGATTATTAATGTGCCTTCAAGGTTGTAGCTTTTTGTTTGATTGTTTGTTTCAGATAAGACTGTCTAAGGAAACAAAATGAATCCACCAGAATCCCCAAGTCATAATGACCCACATTTTAGGTTTTCCTAAAGTAAACTTTACTCATAACAATATCAAATTTTCCACCCAAAGGCATTCCCATTTCACCATTTTTTGGACATGCAATGAATGAAGGAGCATGACTTTCAAGAGCATTTTCAGGAAGGGGCCACCTCACCATATCATGATGAGACTTTCCTTAATGAATATATATACGCTTCCTCAATAAAAGCTCCCTGCTTTCTTTTCTTAGACAGTTACTACTATGAAAGTACCACCTACTTAATATAATATATAATACATAATTATATAATATATAATCCTTGTAGTAACAGATATTTTATTCACTCTTTTACTTCTCTGGTTGTGCTTGTTGGCTTTGCACTCACCAGATTAACTCACTGTGTTCAAGGAAAAGTGTTCCCACTTTCTTTAAAGCTCCTGTGTTTCTGTTCTTCCTATTTTCCTCTTGGCATTGGCCTGGTGCCAGCTACACGCCTGAGAGAGCTAACATCCATTAGCTTAGTAGAATACCAGGCACACAAGATATTCCACAAATTTTACTCATTCATTCCTTTACTCATTCAACATGTAATAATTATTTGAATGTCTATTCTATATCAAGCAACATATCCAGAACTTGTGGCTAAGATAAATATGATCTCAATGTTTAAAGAGTTTAAACTCTAGTAGTAGAGAGAAAAAGCAGGAACACAGGAAAACAAGGGATCATGAGTTGAGAAAAGGCAACCGAGTAATACGTGAGATAAAAAAAAATGGGAAGGGGGAAGCAAGAGAGGAGTTCTCTGAGGAGTTAGCTTTGGAGCTCTATGTGGTGTCACAGAAGTCAGAAGAGACTTTCAACCAGAGAGGGTTAACTGCCAGAGGTCCAGCTAGTCACTATCAGTCAAGTTCTCAGATATATGGAATTACATTCTTGGATTGCCCAGCAATATTACTGGTAAAAACTGCCATTCGTGTGCAGCAAACCCTTACCTGTGTGGTAATGTGGGGCAACCTTCAACAGTAACAATAGAAGACTTGACAGGAGCCAGTAGACTTTGAGCATCATGCCGGGTTAGTAAGCGAGGGGTATTTTGTTCCCAATAAATACCATTGATTAAACAAGTTGTATAGGGTGCAATCTGGAAACCAAGATCAACATCCAACAAAAAAAAAAAAGAGAGAATGTTTTAAAAGAGAATTTGTTCAGGTTATCACCTCAGCTTCTCGGAGCTCTGCTTTTCTTACCTGTTTGATAGAAATAATGTATACCCTAATCCTCAAAAGAATGTTGTGAAGACTAATGAAAACATTTGTAAGCTCCATGGAGAAGTGTGCAATATTAGAAATTTTAGAGTACTTCCAATCAATAGTCCTTCCAAAAACAAGCATGAAAGAAGGAATAAAAATTTACTAGATTCAAAATTTTTCATAATCATCTCAGCCATGGCCAAGATGAAGACAAGAGTTCTTCTCCATAACATGCTATATGTACCAAAAGAGCTGAACTTCACAGCAAAAGCTAAAGGTGCTATGTTGTTAAAACATACTTAAAAATTACTCAAAGCATTCCTTTTCAAAATGAACACATGCATTTTGGTTGTGTTTTAATTTTCAGCTTGTTGGCTTATTTTAAGAAAGGGTACTACATGACTACTAACTATAAAACATACAAATAAATTGATTTTTTCCCAAGATAAGGCCAATGTGTCTCCATGAGAAAGACTTGATTTGAAATGTCTTTTCCATACAATGGGCATAGCTCTGTGTTAATAAATATAGCCACACTATTTTTTTTTTTTGATCCGGTAGTGGGGCCTCAACTCTGGGCCTGGGCGCTGTCCCTCAGCTCTTCAGCTGAAGGCTAGCACTCTACCACTTGAGCCACAGCGCCACTTCTGGCTTTTTTTTTTTTTCTGCTTATGTGGTGCTGAGGAATCCAACCCAGGGCCTCATGCATGCAAGGCAAGCGCTCTACCACTTCTAGCCACCTTCCCAGCCCTAGCCACACTATTTTAACCTTGATCTTTAGTCAATCACATGGATTTCAAGATAGGTATCTACTTTATTTGGATATTGACTATGCCTCATAGTTGCATGTGTTAGAGGCGTGGTTTCCAGCATATGGCATTATTTGGAGGTGGTGGGACCTTTAAGAGGCAGAGCCTAGTGAGAAGACTTTAAGTAACTGGAGATCCATATTTCTTATACCTCTCTCTGCTCCAAATTAAGATGTTAGTGCTTATGGTCCTCACTGATTACCACCACCACCCCTGCTCCGCCCAAAAAATTAAGCTGTCCCATCTTTGACTTCAGCCTCCAAAAACTGAGTTAAATAAATCTTTTCTCTTTGAAATGTAACTTCCCTCAGGTTATTTTGTTGTTGTAATACAAAGCTAATGCATTGCTGGAAGTGGAGATTGTTACTATTTAAACCTGAGCAAACCAGGCACTGGTGGTTCACGCCTATAATCCTAGCTACTCAGGAGGCTGAAATCTGAGGATCACAGTTCAAAGCCAGCCCAGGCAGGAAAGGCTGTGAGATTCTTATCTCCAATAAAACACTAGAAAATCAGAAGTGGTGCTGTGGCTCAAGCATTAGAGTGCTCCCCTTGAGCTGAAGAGCACAGGGACAGCACCCGTGCCAAGAGTTCAAGCCCCACAACCAACAAAAAACAAACAAAAAAAAAAAACCTGAGCATTTTTGGAATATATTGATGGATCAAGACTGGAGAGTTTGGAGAATGGGCTAGAGAATGCTAAGAGCAAACGTTATAGATATTACTCTATGCCAACAGTGCTAACTAGTCTAGGACAATACAAAAAGCAATCCACAGGTTCATTCAGATCTGAAGTAGAAACAGAAAAAGTGACAAAATAGCATACCCACAGAAGTCATCAAAACCACCACGCAAGTTTGGCATCAATGACTCATACCTACAATCCTAGCTAATCAAGAGGCTGAGATCTAAGAACAGCAATTTGATATTGTCCCAGGCAAGAAAGTCTGTGAGACTCTAATTAATTAATTACTCTCTAATTCACAAGCAAAAAGTTGGGAGTGGAGGTGTAGTTAAACTGGCATAGAGTCAGTCTTGAGAAAAAAATCTAAGGGACAGTGCCCAGATCCTGAGTTCAGGCCCCTATATGAGCTAAAAAATTTTTAATTAAAAAAAAACTCACTAAGCAAAGGCCTCTCCAACTATCAGTAAAAGTAACATCAAGAAACTCCAAGGACTTTCAACAAACTGACCTGAAGAACTGACAATAGTATACATAGCCATAATTTCTCTCCTTGAAGATAGCCTTGCTGCAGTGCAATTTAAGCAACCAAGCAAAAAGCTAAATAGGATACTCACATCAGTATTAAAACGACTTATGTAGCGCTCTGGATGTTTGTCATACTCCACAGGATCAAACACACCATCTGTTTTTCTGACAAGATGATGATGTCGGCTTAACACAGTCCCATATACTTTTCTGAGGTCTTGCAGAGAAAGAAATTATTACAGTACATGACAAATGAGAACAATTTATGGTGATAAAATATTATAACAAGAGACTAAGATTAGTAAGAAGTATGGTTTTTTTCCCACCCTTTACCTCCAGTTTGGGAAACTTCTTTTAATTCATGGGGCTCCACGTATTCACAGGGTAGCTCATTGAAGATTTCTTGGGCTCCCTGTAAACAATGCAGGAGTGAAACACTAAAAGTCAATGGGAAAAGAGACAACATGGCTTTCAGCACAGATTTCAATTTTTACCCTGACCTATAAGTAGGTCTATATTGCAGAAGCACAGATAATCTTCTTACTCATAGCCTGCAAGCAAGCTTTGGTTCCAGTTCCAAAAGCATGCACTGGAAGCATATTTTTATTTTTTACTTAAGCTACTAAGAACAGAAACAAGAGTGTTTAGAAATATGAGTACAAGACAAGTCCTGTTTATTTCTTGGCCCATTCCAGAAATTTCAAATGAGAAATCTCTATTTCCTACAGAAGAAAAATGCCTATGTCAAAATATAATACTGAAATGTTTCATGTGCACAATATTTTCATTAAATATCTATTTTAATTATAACTTTCTCTGGACGATTACAAAAGCACCTTTGAAGCCACTCAAAAAGGAAGTATTAATTCCAGTCTTAATCTTTTTAGTGACTTTTTGGTAAAATTCCAAGAAGTCTTGAAAATATATATTCTGGAGTCACTTTCAAACTTCGTGAATATCTCCATGATGAAGGAAGACCAGATTAGCCTATAAATAAGGCATTTCACCTTAAACAATGAGTTGCTTCAAGTAAGGAAAGAAGGGAAGAAAGGAAGGAAGGAGGGAAGAAAGGAAGTAAGGAGGATGGATAAACATTCCATGATTCTGATAGCTTGGAAAACAGCTAAAAGCAATTAAAATATTTGGACCATTACTGCTCTTTTGAAAAGAAATAATACATAGGTAATTAAGGTACCAAAATTAAAATGCCCATTCATTCTATTTGAAATATCTACACAATGCCCACACCTCCAGAATTTCAGATTGCTTTACAGAAAGAAAGAGATGAAACTTGCCTTTGATACATTACCAGTCCCTGTGAACACAAATGTTAAGGGCCCGATTGACTTTGGCATTAGACCCAGAGATATTTCATAACCAGCATCTCGGACAGCTTGAACGGCCTGACTGCTATTCCTGTAGTTATGAGCCATACCAAGATGCTGAAAGAGGTACATATAATTCAAGTTAGTCTACTGGCAGAGATAGTTTTCTATTCTAAAAGTGTGGTATGGATTTTCAAATAAGTAGATAGTAGAAACATCTCTCACCATGAAAGGTGTATGATGTCCCAAAGCAAGAAGCCTTAAACCCATTCCATGCAAAATATTGATCATCCCTATTGTAGAATCAAACAAAAAAAGAGCATTAATTAAGTAAAATAGAATATCAATATACTTTTGACCCTGATACAAGGGTATGATGTCTTTTGTTAATCTCTCCGCCTTGCAATAATTTGCACCAATATAAAGTATATAATTTGTTTATTACATGTATGTATATAAGTATTATATATACACATACACACATATATATGGCATTACTGGAGATCAAACTTGGGCAATCCCTCCAGTTCTTTTGCTTTCAGTTTGTTTTTCAGATAGTCTTTAGACTATGATCCTCCTATGTCTTGTCTTGTAAGATTGCAGGTATGGGCCACCATGCCCAGTTTTAAAGTGCATTGCTTAATAACTATTACCAAATACTAACGCTTATGTTACCACAAACATAATTTCTTATCACAGACAACCACTGAGATTTCTGTCTGAATAGGTTTTTCTACTATTGCATATAAATGAATATATGTATATATTCTTTTGTTGTGTGTCTTTTTTTTATTATTGTGGAAATACCATACAGAGGGGTTACAATCACATGGGCAAGATAGTAAGTACATTTCTTATCAAGCATTGTTGCCTCCTCCTTTGTTTGTGCGTCTTCTTTCATCCTGCATAATGTTTTTGAGATTTACATCAATGCTTTATTTCTTTTCATTGTTGAAGAGTTTTTATTTTATTGCTATACCATAGTTTATTTACTTCTCTCTAGACAGACGTTTTTGTTGTTCCCATAATATTATGAATGAAACTGTTATAAAGATTGAATAAAATTATAAAATACTGCATTTCTTTGGTAAACACATAGGAGTAGAATTTGTTTTGCATACTGAAGCAAATTTGTTATTTATTCTTACAGTTGTTTTGGTCATCTGTATCTTTCAAAATTTGTCTAGTTCATCAAGGTTATCAAACATAATGGCCAACTTTGAATATTTTTGCCTTTTTAATATTCATAGGATTTATAACATCCCTTCATGTATTCCTTTTCTGCAAATAGTGTCTTCCTTATTTCTTTTATTAATCTACCTACATGTTTGATCAACTGAACTTTGCACACTTCTAATTTCTCTTTCTCTTTTGCTTGCTTAAATAGTTTTTAATCAGTCATCAAATCCCTGCTTCTGAGTAACTATTTTAAGGAGGTATTTCCAGCATCCAAGTCGAGTTCAATACTCTTTCTACAGTAATGAGTACTGACATTGTATTTGTGTGTTTCCTTGCCTGAATACTTCTTTAAGAACAACATCCTATTCACTGGTGTGATGCTAATACTGAATGTGGTGACTTTTGAGTTAATCATTTCATTGTAATATATTTATATTTTCCAGATAAACCAAACACTTGTCTGAGTGAATCCCAAAGGGCACAGGTAGGACCCATAGTGGGCTATTCTCCCTACCATGTCTTCCTTGCTGAGAAACTTATCTTTCTATTAATTTAATAGAATGGATTTGTGTGTTGGGCGAGAAAAGATACAAACTGGAGATCAAAATAAGAAAAAAAAATTGGCTTTAAGTAGAAAGGATTTAGTAAGTTTGAAATAGGGCATGATAATAGGTTAGCATTTGTAGGATTTTCAGAAATTATTCATTTCTAAAAATATAAAATATGTTGAACTTTTTCCAAAATTTTTAGTAAGAATATTTTGCAACAGGGAAGGTTGTTAGTAAATAGTGTCCTAAGATTCCAAATAATCTAAATAAATGTACAATGGGTTGTATTTCTTGAGAGCAACAATGAGTCTAATCTTATGGGTAGAGGCAGACTGGACAAGACGACACAACAGTGCCACAGTCACAGTGAGGAAGCTTCCATTTACATAACAAGGCCAAACAAACAACGTTCAACTCATGAACTTTCTTAGACCTTCAAGTTATCTACGCTGAAGCTAAGCCATCACATGTTCTGGCATTTCCAAAGAAGGTTCAAACTACGAGCTGGGACATAAGCAGAAATTTTTCTCCAGCTTGCAGATCTTGTCCTTTCTAAAAGGTTCTCTAGTTAGTTCCTGCCCCTGTACTTCTCCAAAGGGAAAGAAGATGACAAAACTGATCTGTCCCTGTAGCTTTAAAAGAGAATCATCTGCAAAGCCAGAGCCTGCTCATCAATGTTATCCTTCTCTCTGCTTTTTCTTTTCCATGTTTATAGCCACGTATTTAACCATTTTTCTTCTTCCTCTATTCTTCTTATATTACCCAGCCTTCAGCACACTCTTTCATTTTACAAGCACAGAAAACAGAAAACATAGTTATTCCACAAGAAAGCTTAGAAAGTAATGTACAATCCCTGTCATTCTTACCTGCCACACCTGCCCACTGTCCAAAGGCCACTACCCGGATTCCTCTGTGATCTACCATTTTCTCATAATCAATAAGTCGGATATTCTGAGGGGGAGGGTAAAAAATTAATAATGGCTCAGCCAGACTCACTGAGCTCAATTTTGATGAATAAAGCACAAATACAGACAAGTAAGTGATATATCATGACTTGCTAACAAGTTCTCCTCAGGTGTAACATGAACTATATATTCACCAACCAGTTGTAGATTTGTAATGAGAGCTGATAGAATGGTGCTAGAATGTGCTAATACCCATTGATGGCAAATCGTGAGATAGTCATAGCAGAATTTCCTTTCTTTTCAGTTTCAATAAAACCTGCTCAGCATCATCTGCAAGTATTTCTATGGTCCCACCCATCCTCACCATCTTCTGTCTGGTCCCAAAGCAAACAGATCACACCTGATATTAATCACTGGGGGCAAACTTCAACAATTTTCTATATCCTCCGTACCACTCTTCTGGAACTATTAACTCTTTCCTGCACCATCCCTGTTTATACGGATCTTCAGTCATTCTAATACTCCCATGTCTCTTCTCCCTGAAAATGGTAACACCTCTCAAGGTCAGACATCTTTCTCATTTCCACCCCTTTCTAAGCTTCCACTTTCTCCATCTTTTTATAGGTAAGCTTCATTCAACTAATTTAATTAAACTGTTCACGCTGCATACATTCCTCTTCCTCACCTTTGCTGAAATCACATTCTTTTTCCTCTTGGAGAAACCTTAAACATGTATGCTTAAATGCTATTGATACATTGAAATTATAGAATGTCTTCTACACTCACTTTATTTCTTCAAAGATCCTACTATTTGAGGTTGGGACACAGAACACATAAGTCATATGTTCAAGACCCCCAGGTCTGATCCCTATCACTAAAAAACAAAATCTTGGGGATTTTTTTTCATGCTTATGAACTTAATAACAATTCTAACTCAGAGTAATTGGTTACAAATTGCTGCCAAAAAGCAGCCCTGCTGGGTCTGTTTTCATTAATTTTCTTGTAATGAGCAAAATTCATATAGCAAGAAGATCTCTAAAGTACTATTTAACAAGTTGATTGGCCTAAGGTGGAGTATTCTCCTGGTAATATGATTTTCATTAATTGCTTCTGAATCTCTTCTTCAGAAACATTGCAAATTGATGACTGCTTGGGTCTAGTGGATTTAGAATTAATAAGACAGTATTCTATTCTCCCATAGAAAATACATTTTATCCATTGTTTATGAACTCCCCTATGCTCTTCCTGATTCTCAGACACTGTTCTGCTTCATGTGATCACATCCCTACTCCAGGATGTGGACTATAGATGAATTTCCTTGTTCGGTAATCCCCTACACTCACCCAGTCTCATGACTGTCAAACTATCTACTCTCTTATAGAGACCACAAGGATTTGACAGGAGCTGCCTTCTTGTGCTTCAAACTCATATCAGCAGCTCACTGGGCTTCTCCCCTCCCTTCCTACGGGCTCATTAAACCTCAAACTACTCTTCTTACGGGAGCAGCATCTCAGTCTATGGCAGCCCTTCTAATCGCTCAGGCTCCAAGCCTTAGTCATTGTTCACTCTTCTCAAATTCCACTTTCAGGTCAGCAGTGACTGTTGTATGATTCTCCTCCAGACATCCAGGATTCTCTGTGTGTCCCAGGCTCCACATCCACCACCCATATGTATGACCCCTGATTTGTGGCCTCGAGTCTGGAATGTTGGTTGTCTTCTGATTCATTTCGGTCCCTCCCCCACTTCCACCTGCCAACTATACCTATCCACATGGTTGCTTTTGTATTCAATTGGTTCTAACTGCCCATTCACAAAGCCCCTCGGGCCTTTGCATCGTCATTCTCTCTGCTTGGAAGACTCTTGGTAGACAGATGTGTCTCAACTGCCTTCAGAATTTTTGTTCAAATTCTACCTTGCCATGAAGCCTCCCTGACTTACCCCATCTTATCTATTCTAGAAGTTTTACCTCCCCGAGTGGCTCACATTATTTTCACCATTTCCCAGACTTCCGGGTGACATATGAAATGTCTTTTCTGCTAGGGTGAAAACTCTCTGAAAACAGGGACAGTTCCAATCTGCTTTTTTTTTTTTTTTTTATTGTAGGTTCTCAGTAGATATTTGCTGAAAGAACATTCTGTATTTTAAGTTGCTGTTAGTGACCTCATAGTATCTCTATCTCACAAAAATACATTGTGACTAATAAATATCATTTTAATAGCTTCTTTAAGTCAATTCTGGCACCACAGACCTGTGTAACCTCAGTCATCTAGATTCATCTGAAAGATATGGTATTAGATCACAAATCCCTGTGATCACAGATTGCTTATTACAGATAACAGTTCTTCTCAGCTCTAAAATTCCACTTGGTAGTATCTATCCAATCATCCTGGTAGATGGGTAAGTGTTGGAGGAAAAAGCAATCCCAGAACACAAAAGGATGAAATAGAAACTAGGCACTGGTGGCTCATACTTGTAATCCTAGTAACTCAGGAGGCTGAGATATAAAGATCGCAGTTAGAAGCCAGCCCAGCCAGAATGTCTATGAAACTCTTATCTCCAATTAACCACCACACCAAAAAGCCAGAAATGGAGCTGTGGCTCAACTGGTAGAGCACTAACTTTGCGCTTAAAAGCTCAAGGCTCAAGGAGAGTGACCAGGTCAGGAGTTCAAGTCCCAGGACTGGCACACACACACACACACACACACACACACACACACACACACACACACACGGATGAAACCTGATTTTATTACAAACTCCAAACCTGCAGAGGAAGAACAGAGCCATTTAGGTTCTTCCTCTGATGTCCTCTCTCCTAAGAAGTGAGCAATATATCATGTTTTCCAGATAATGAATAAGAGCTAAACTCTAATATAAACATATTTTTCTATATTAATAGTTATTAATACTGGCTGTCAATTACCTGTTTTAGAACCTCATCCAACAAGCTCATATTGGCCTCCTGTGCTTTTATTGTGTGAGAGAAGAATGCATATGTTTTCTTGGACATCAATTTTTCCTCTGGAGGCCTTTTAACTCCTAAAATCAGACAGGCTTCAGATATATCCTCTTGAAGAATGCCTCCAGCTTTGACATATTCCTGGGAATGCAATTTTGGTTAGAATTATTTCCCTGACTTATGGTATGCATGATTTTTCTAATAAAAATGTAGTAAATAACACCACAAATCTTTTGAAAGAATTAAATGTGTAGATTAGAACAAATAATTGAAAAGCTACTTTCAATATTTATACCCCTTGGCTAAAGGTAAATCTATTATATTTGACTTGTGTAGCAAAAATTTACAAAATTTAGTACCTATCCCTATTTAAGAACAAATTATAGGGCTGGGACGGTGGCTCAGTGGTAGAGCGCTTGCCTTGCATGCCTGAGGCCCTGGGTTCCATTCCTCAGCACCACATAAGCACAAAGAAAAAAGCTGGAAGTGGTGCTGTGGTTCAAGTGGTAGAGCGCTAGCCTTGAGCTGAAGAGCTGAGGGACAGCGCCCAGGCCCAGAGTTCAGGCCCCACGACTGGACCCAAAAAAAAAGAACAAATTATAGTTTGACCACAAACCTCGTGGTTTTCATATATTTAGAGAATGTGTATTTCATATAAACAGGACACTAAAACATTAAATTTCAGATAATTTTTTTTGTTGGTCATGGGATTTGAACTCAGACTTGATCAGATAATATTTTTAATAGACAGGATATAACTCCAAGTCTATTTTTACTTTATTTTGGAGGTTTCTCAATTAGCACATATTACTGTTATAATCTATGCAGTGGAGTATGCTAGGAATCAGATGATAAGACTCAAAGAAAGACAGACAAGATCTTAAGGAGCTCATATAGAAAGATATCACAGCACAACAAATAAAGCCAAGTTCAAAAGTGTATTATGATCAGGAGAATCTGAGTGATATATTAGTCTAATATATATTGAGATACTTATCAGGTAGAACAGGAAAGGAAGTAGAGAAATTGATTTCTAAAGGTGAGATGGGATGTGGAGAGATAAGAGATGGAAAGTGTAAGGTGGTAATTTCAGCAGGAAGCATGGCTGGCATGTGGAAGAAGGAAAGGAGGGAGATGTTTAAAGCATATGGATAAATCAAATTAGAAAAGCAGACTGAAGCTGGGCGCCGGTGGCTCACACCTGTAATCCTAGCTACTCCGGAGACTGAAATCTGAGGGTCATGGTTCAAAACCAGCCTGAAAAGTCCATGAGACTCTTATCTCCAATAAACCACTAGAAAATCGGCATGGCACTGTGGCTTAAGCAGTAGAGTGCTTGCCTTGAGCTGAAGAGTGCAGGGAGAATGCTCAGGCCCAGGGAGAATGCTCAGGCCTACAACAACAAAAAAGAAAGAAAGAAAGAAAAGAAAAGAAAAGTAGCCTGAATAGCATTGTGGCTAATATGGTTCTGTTTGCAAGTGAATTGCAATAATAATAGTTGATACTTGATCACAAATTTCTGTGTTTTAAAATAAGCTCTTTGCATAAATTATCTCATTTAATTCTTGCAAAACACCTATGAGGTAGGTATAATTTTGTTAACAGGGAATCTGAAGCTCGTGTGTTTAACCAAGAGAGCATAGTAAGTACATGAAAGAAAGATATAGTCATATAAGATTTTAAATCAAAGAGTTGCATAGCCCTGGGAGAATTTTTTTTAAAAACCACTTATAGTACCAATTAAATGAAATAAATCTAGTTCAAAATTTACTTCCAAGGAAAGCATAGATGAATAGACGTGATTAACACATAATTTCTATCTGGTTTCTTTGAAAAAAGTCTATTTGCTCATTTATAGTAGATTGGTTAAATAATCATGGTAAACATATACAATGCATTGTTTATCATCTAGTCACTAAACAGAATGAAACAAATCTGTATGAACTGAAATGGAACAATTTCCAGGATATGTGGTTGGCTGACCAAAGTTAGGAACTGACATATATATAGATATATGTGTACACACAAGTTTTATATATACATACATATATATGTGCATGTAGTTATATAAGAATGTACATATACACTCAGATTAGAATATCTATATTTATATCTATATAAACATAGAGTATCTATGTTTATATATACATATATACTTTTTGCTCAATAAATATACAAAGTACGAAAGCATATATATATATACATACCTTTATGTAGAAGAATAGGGAAAGTAAGAACATACATACAAATACTTACATGGGTATTTCTTTGCAAAAGAAATAGTAAGTTACAGTCAAAAACTCAAGAAACCTTTCAGTCAGAAATGAAGATATAAGAGATTGGGTAAAGACAAGATAAATCTCTAAAATTTGAAAGTGCTATACTTACTTGAAAAATCAAATCATATCAAAAGAGATTAATAGCAAACATATTTGAACCTGTGTGTATATAATTTCTCAAACTGGCTGTCAAGAAACAACTTCAGGATAAATTCTACCCAAGAAAACATCCCTGGGTGCAAAAAATGTTGTTGTAATTGACCTTTGTCTTCCTAGGCCCAGAAGTAGGGTGCAAATAGAGAAAAGGACTGAAAGACAGCAATTTCTCAAAGCAGTCCTTTAACCCTTACCTCGAGGCAAAAAAAAAAAAAAAATAGAATGGATTGAAAATAACTTTCAAGGAAAGAAATCATATCAAAGCCACACCAGCTCATTTCATTTTCACTCCACAACTCCTTCCTTGTCATAAACAAGTTCATTTTCCTCACACTTATTGTAAAAGTTGGAAACTGTCACCTTGTCGTGAATGGCCCGCCGGTTGGAGGGCTGAATCAAGACCTTGTATCCCAGGTTGGTGATACCCTTGATGTGCTTGGGAGCCAGCGGTGCCCTCCTTTCCCAGGCGTTCACGTCCTCACGCCGCAGCGCCATCACAGCTTTGTGGTGGAGGCCTCTGGAGAGGCTGGCCCTCAGCCTGATCAGGTTGGTTCTGTGGACTTGCCACATCTTGCAATCTGGTCACTGTGAAGGCAATATGTGACAGTCGGACAACAAGGGGTGGAAGGGCTCACACAACAGTTCTGGTCTCCTTAGAAATCTGCTGTAAAATACAACCAACCCCATGACCATAGATATGAGATGCACAGGAGGACAGGAAAATCTTCATATGACATGCACCTTTACCCAAACAAACCCAAGTTGCCAAAAATGAGATCACTCAGTTCCAAAACATAGAGCAAGTCTGGTGACATCCAACAGTAATTACAAGATTCGCACAGCTTATTAGAGATGTTTTACCAAACATGTACTCAGCACAAAAATGTGAGACAGTCAAAGTACTTATGAAGGCCAGATTGACAACAGAAAGAAGCCTTTACAGACTTAAGTTTCAGTTTTGAAGGCATGAATCTTGAAAGTCTTCACAAGGTGTACATGAGTCTTCATTACTTAGTGCCCATGGGCCTTCAGGTTCATCTCTGACCAGTTCTTAAACACGAGCTACTCAGAGTGTTCTGCCAACTGGTGTTCGTCATCAGTGAACTGTTTATTTACTGTTCAGCAATAAGATGGGAGCAGGGACAGAAGAGAGACATGTGTAAACCCCCATCTCACACACACGTTTCTCTAGTATTTCACTGTCTGAATTTTACAAAACTGCTACTTCTCAACAGAGTACAAATTTAAGAAAACTTATCAACCAACTATAGCTCTTCTTTCAACCCAGCTGTTAGAAGGTAAGAAAGGAAGGCCCTGGGCTGGGAAGGTGGCTCAGTGGTAGAGTGCTTGCCTCGCATGCATGAGGCCCTGAGTTCAATTCCTCAGCACCACATAAGCAGAAAAAGCTGGAAGTGGCGCTGTGGCTCAAGTGGTAGAGTGCTAGCCTTGAGCTGAAGAGCTGAGGAACAGCACCCAGGCCCAGAGTTCAGACCCCACGACCAACAAAAAAAAAAAAGAAAGAAAAAAAAAAAGAAAGGAAGGCCCTAAACTACCTATCTTCCATCTACGACCCTCTCACTGTGGTCCTTCCTTTCCTTGCTCTACAGGTACTTACCACCCCCCTCCCGGGCTCCATATCCATTCCTGATCCACTGCCTGACTTCACCAGATCTCCAACTGTGATTCTAGTATAATTCCACTCATTCAGTCAGTGCAAACGTATTTACAAATAGCTTACTCTGTGTCTTATACGGAGTACATTTCATATAAATGTTAAGTATAAGTAAGTCTAACTATGTTTATTCCATCCTATCACTCTTCAAATGGTTCCATATATTTTATAGCCAAACGCCACTGCAGATGACAATCTGCAGCGTTCTTTGGGTGTGCGAACTTAGTTTCCTTTGTGAAAATGGAATCAACATACAGGGACTGTGTATCCTCTAGAAATTCTCTACCTCAGTATTTCACTCCTTCTAGAAATTTCTCGCCCATTACCACTAGTGTATTGCAAATTTTATAAAATACATCTACTACATCAGATTTTAATCTCTAAAGAGCATTATTAGCATTCAGATGGCAAGGTTTAACCAAATATTTATGCTCACAAATCTATTTCCTGGAAGCCAACTACTTCTTGTTTCCTATATATGTTAAATTTATAAGATATACCACAATCAAATCAGAGAACAAAGCAAACAGCAAAATATCCAGCTAAGAAAACGTTTGTAAGAAATCCAAGAAGAGACAAAGTGCACCCAGCATCCAGGAGCCTAGTGACTTAAGAGACTGGGAGCTGGAAGATCAAAGTTCAAAGCCAGTTTGAGCAGAAAGGTCAATGAAACAAGATCTACAAAAATAATCACTAAAAAGCCTGACTGGAGGCATGGCTCAATTAGTAGACTACCACCAGACCGATCTTCAGACCTTGAGTGCAAACTCCAACACTGCCAAAAAGAAAAAACTAAGTGCTTATAGGAAAACGTTGCTATTCTATACTTAAATTTTTGCTTTATTCATGTTATTTGGTACATTGAAGACAATATTAAACCTAAGCCCAAGACCATAACATTTTGTTTCACCACAGTTAAAGAATAACTAGTAATGTTCTATGGAACTTTAATCTCTTGGCTCTTAAATAACCAATTCAAACTATACACACCCAGAGCCATTATTTCTTCAGGACACTACATCTTCTATTCCAAGTAGCACTTTAGAGCTCTAAAGAAGTCATGTGTTTGGATAAATTAGCCCCTCCTTTGCCAGCTCAAGATGAATGTATAGCCATAGCCACCCCTCACTCAGTTACAGTCCTTTCTCCTCACCCCCTGGTGTGGATGGGGATGGAGACAGCAGGACACACATACACATACTCACACACACACACACACACACACACACACACACACACACACACACAAATATGCCTATTTGAAAAGATAGCTTGAGAAAGACAGCTTTGAATAGACAGGGACTGAACTTGTCGGATTCACTTGAGAAACTACTTTTATTTCCATTTTTTGCAAGGAATTCTAAAATCATAAATCCATGTAAATTTCATTTTTTAAACAAATGTTAACAACAGTTACCACTATGTCGAGCCCTTTATAGATCCTGTCTCATGTCCTTCTTCCAGAGAGAGAGACAGAGACAGAAACAGAGAGACCAAGCAATCTAAAATAAGTAGTTACTTTGAATAGTGCCATTTTACAAATGAACTGAGTTAGTCTTAGCGAATAGGTTACTTTTAAGCAAAGCAGGATTCCTAGGTTAATACTTAACACCTGGGATTTTCTCTACTTTGCCAAAGCTCACACAGATCTGTATCATGTAGCCTGACACAAACTTTTCATCCAGCCAGCTGCTTGTTTCAAAAAAAAAAAAAAAAAAAAAGACCTCAGATCCATATGACATCAACAATCATCATAAATTATCAGCATCAATTCTCTGCTCTGCATGCCATGCCTCTCTTTGACCTCTTTTTCTGGGTTACACTGAAAAGAATCTTCCTTGAGTCCTTGCCAAAGAAAATTTGAAATTTCTTGGAGTTAAAAAAAAAGAGAAGTGATTGTAACAGACTTTACTTTTAATATTCTTGTGAACCTTGAAACTTGGTCTCAGCATAAAACTTTTGGAACTATGTAATCCAGTTCAGTGTTAGAATGCTTCCCCAGCATGGGAGGAAAAGAAATAAAGAAATAAATAAGAGAAGTAATTGAATGTTGAGACCCAGATGCACGGAGCTGTTTGTTTGGTTAGAAAGTATTGAAAAGCGCCGTGGAGGTCAAAGACCATTCATTCCTCTGCATAAATTTCACATTCCAAATCACAGCTACACCTTCCTTATTCCCAAAATACTTTTTTAACTTCATCCATGTTCGATTACTGAACTTCGTTCTCTCTTCTCTATCTTCTCCCTCTTCATCTCCCTACTTTTGTCCCCCCCCCCCCCCAACATTCTATCCCTTCTTCTGAAAATCCCTGTCAGGACTGGTCAGAACTGGTGGGCCCCGTTCAATCAAGCTGATTGAGTACCAACGTGCATGACCCGTCCCGGAGTGCGTGCCCACAGCATCCCCACATAGATGATCTAAGGGTCCTTCCGATTTCAAGAGATCTGATATCCAACGTTCCCAACTCTCACGCACGGCACTTGCCAGCTGGGTTTGGCTCAGAATAACCAGGCCTAGCTGTCCCTCCGCGTGGAAAGTTTCTCGGCAGAGTTCTACTAAGTGACTAGGCGTGGGGGAGGGGGTCAGAAACTTGTCCTGCCAAACTGTCAACCACCGTCTGTAGACAGTTAACCCACAGAAGCACGCCACGCAAGAACTGATCGGGTGTTTGTTCTGCAACTTCCACAAGAATCCTTCCTCCCCCCCCCCCCCCATCCCACAACAGAAAGACAGAAAAGAAAGAAACTTTCATCACCACCCCTCTTCCTTCCCATCAGAAATGCAGGGGGTCGCGGACTGCTCCCCCTCCTTGTTCCCAAGTTAGGTGCTGGCCGCAGCCCCCCCTCGCTCCCCCACCCTCTCCCCGCCCCCCCGTTCCCCACCCCCCACCGCGATCGCCCGGCAGGGCCGGCGCCCCGAGGCTCCTCCTGGCCACCAGCTGGTGACCCACTTCGACCTCCCAGAGCATCTTCCAGTCTGAGACACCCCACCTCCTCTCACCTTCGTCGGCTCCTTCCTCCCCCCCCTACACGCCCTTGCTCACCGAGTCGGAGCTGGACGCTCACTAGTTCCCTCCGTCCTGAGCTCCGGAGTCAGGACCCGGCCGACTTCAAATTCCCTGCTGAAATTGGGCTGGGGGAGGGGGAGGAAAGGAGGAGGAGGTGTTTGCTCAGCTTCCGAGGAGGGCACGCCTCTTCGCCCCGCAGCCAATCAGTGGCAGCCTGAAGGGAACAACCTCCTCCTCCGCCAATCAGCGGCGCTTCCAGGTACTAGGTCAAGCCCTGCCCCTGCCCCTCCCCTAAAGCCCAGCAGCCTTTCAGATCTCTGACCCGTGCGTTCAGCTCCGGGCCCGCGTCCCACCGGGATGGTTTTTATTAACCAGGTTTGTAACTGCCTGTGACAAGAGGCAGGCGGGGACCGAGAAGGAGAAAAAGAGCCGACTCAAGAGTTGTGCACATTTCGTGAGGAAAAAAAGACAGTTAGGAGAGCATGTGTCTTCTGTGATACGTCGTTTTCAGAGCAATTTCACGTAACTTTATATTCTTTACACAAACATCGGTTTTTATACCACCTGTAATCCACCCACAATAATTAGTGGTTCTTCTTCTTCTAAACAGAACTTTCTTATAGACAGAAAGCAACATTTCAAATATACGAAACAAGTAGTTTAGGAAAGACAAGATTTTACATAGCTATTAACTACTGTCGCCTAACTCCCAGGTTATTCTGGAAATGAGGCATACCTTCTCTATCTTCAAAGCATGTAAAATTCATTCAGGTGATACCAGAAGAGGAACCACCCACAGACAGGTCTCAATTGGAATTCCTAGAGTGGATTGTGGATGGAGATAGTGAAATCCCAGAATTATTGTTCCACCACCACCATAACCATCAGAGGAAGCAGACAACATCAGTTCTGTTCTTAAGTTTGAAACTCTTCCTGGGGGGGAAGGGGGGAGCGGGGAATGCAAAAAAATTCCAAACCTGATGTTTCTAGGCTTACTTTTTTTTTTTTTTAATGTTTCAAAAACTCTTCTGGAATCCCTTAAGAGTTACACATACAGGCTAATTACACAGATTTGTCCCTCAAAACTACTGCCTTAGTAACTAGTCTTACACATCCTCCAAGTCTTTAGTATTTTAGTGATACTGGAGTTTGAATTCAACGTCTTGAGCTTGTTAACACTCTACCGCTTGAGCCAGGACCCCAGTCCCTTAACATTTTGGTTTGTTTTAAGAAAAAAAAAAATCTTGCACTTTAGCCCTGGCTGACTTCAAACCATAATCCATTTTACCTCTAGCTTTCTAATAGCTATGATTGCAAAGATGTACCACCAACACACTGCCCAGCTTGGTTTTGGTTTTGTTTGATTTTTTTTGTTTCTTGGTGGTTCAGCTACTAAGTATTGAACTTAGATCCTTGGACTTCCTAGAGAGTAATGCTACCACTTGAGCCATGTCCCTAGATCTACTAGGACTTACAAATTTTCAGCCACATAGCATTGATTCATTATGTATGAGGCATATGAGAATTAAACACTACAATAATGTGAGGAAATTTGAGTAGCTCATAGATGTACTGGATCTAATATATTCAAATCAATGAAGAGAACCCAGAGTTCCACCCTCTAGCATTTCCTCAAACAAGTTTCAAAGTAGAAAATGCCTGAAAGGACTGGGGAAAAACGAGAAGAAACAATCAAAGCAGCACAAAACAAGCATGATCTTTCTGGCAGCCTATAAGATATTTAGGTGATAAAAAGAGTGAAGATCTCCCTTTAATCTGAATCTGGATCAGCCGATGACTATTGCCCAATAGTCATCTCACTATTGAGACAATACCTTTTTATTGTTATAAGCTACTCAGCTTGGGGCTGGGAAGGTGGCTCAGTGGTAGTGCTTGCCTTGCGTGCATGAGGGTCTGGGTTCGATTCCTCAGCACCACATAAGTAGAAAAAGCTGGAAGTGGCTCTGTGGCTCAAGTGGCAGGGCACTAGTCTTCAGCTGAAGAGCTGAGGGACAGCGCCCAGGCCCAGAGTTCAGACCCCACAACCGGAAAAAAAAAAAAACAAAAACAAACTACTCAGCTTGTGAAGCTCTTAGAAAATAACACAGTTTGGAAATGCCCTGGATCAATGTAGTCCACTAATACTGGGGTCACAGTTTATATATTACTAACCTCACTAATCCACCTAAATTGCACAATAAACAGAAAAGGTACAAACCTACACAATTACTCACAGACAGAAATTTAAAGTCAAGATGACTTTGAATGATTGTCATAAGATGGTTTCCAATGTCCAGAGAAACCTAAGCTGAGCTAAAGCTTTGCGGTGAGCTCCAATATCAATTTGAAATACAGGTACACCATAGCTGTAAGATTCTACTTTTACACCTATGTTCTGTACTGTGGCTTCGAATACCTGTGCCTATGGGTTTTAGAGAAATGGCCTACCATTTCTATAGACATACCTATCTAGGAATTGTATCTCATACATACAAATATGTAAAAAGGAAGAGGTAGAAAAGTATTTGTCTTAAACTGATCTTTGGAAGTTCTGTAACTCACAGATGCTCTTTAGACAGGCTGATAAAATTTTCTGAATATTCACTGAGAAACACAACATTGTTATTGTTATATAGGCTGTGGTGGGTACAGTACCTCTTAGAATATGAGAAAAGTCAACAAAACACATGAAAATCAACAAAATGAAGGGATGCATGGCTAATTTTAATAACTGATGTTAAATGAATCATTGAAGATACTTAAGAATTTCACAAGTTCTCTTCTCAATTAGATATGAAATAGATTTAACAATGTAAAGAAATTTATCTAATGATTTGCTTTCTACCTATAGTAATAGCAATGATAATGGTAACAAAAGAATAGTAAGATGCATAGAATCTTTTAAAAAGCTTTTACAAAGGTAAGATGAAATGTCCTGCCCGTCCATACCCCAATATTGGAGATTCAGGAGCAGATTTCAATTATGGAGGCCTAAAGTGTCTCGGGGCATCCTACAAGCATTTGTTATATTATAAAATTAGGTACAAAACAATGACTGGTTAGCGAATTAAAAATCCACATCCCATTCTTGTGGCTGTTTTAGTTCATCTGTATTTGTAGAGAGGATAGCATGGCTCTAACAAATATTTGGTACAGGATAGAACACACAGAAAGCAATATATGCAAATTAACATTAAATTAGCACTTGGCCTCTGTATCTCTGTTTCTGTCTGTCTGTCTCTTTCTGAGTGTCTGTCTATCTCTCTTCTCCTCCTTTTGTTCAACCTACATAGTCAATCCCTACATTTTTATTGAGAATCACTGGTGGAACAGCCAGTTTCCTTGGCATCTCCAGTAAGGACTACCTGGCACCAATTCCACGCAAGAAATATTTGATTCTTCCATTCCCCATATTCACACACTCACAGAAATGCGCATACACACACATTCACAAAATAGAGTCCACTCCATTCTCTAAGTACCAACCATGACCTCAATTTAAGATGAAGATATAATACAGTAGTTTCCAGACTTTGTTGTAGATCAGAATCATTAATGAGAAAAATGATCTGATAAATATACATATATATATATATATTTAAACATAGATTTTTGAAAAGGATACCAGGTATGGTACTCACTTCTGTAATCCCAACCGCTGTAGAGGTGGATTAAGAGCATGATTCAAAGCCAGCCCAGGGAAAAAAGCTAGTGAGACACAGTCTCCACAAAGATGTCTGGTGTGTTGTGCACCTATGATCCCAGCTATGCAAAAGACTACAGGTAGGAAAATCTGGTTAGAACAGAGGCTGACTCCAAGAAAAAACAAGTCAACAGAAAAACTAACTAAAGGGAAAAATAGAAAAAGATAGAAGATAGAAAAAATATAGAAGCATGGCTCAAACTGTAGAGCACCTGCCTATCAAGTTCAATGGCTCTGGGTTCAAATTCCAGCAGCAACAAATCTAAGAAATTAATAAATAACAAATTGAAAAAGATGATGGGCTTCACTGGATCAAGGAATAAACCTATCCCTTTAGTTAAAAGGAGCCACATCATTTTCCCCTGAAGAAAGGTCTCAGCAGGACCTGGCATGCATTTGTGAAGATGATTAACCTCATTCATACATACTAAGTTTAAGCTATTTGATACCATGTACAGGATTCACAACCACATATACCTTTGCCTTCTTGTATATGAATCCCACAAAGTAAGAGAATGTACCTATTCACCTTTGCAGCCTTAGTGATCAGATAAGGTCCTGTATAAAATACAGCAGGGGTTCAGTAATATTTGATGAATAGATGAATGAACAACCAAAAGGACATTACCATGTCAACCAAAAGGATGGGGCATACATTACCATATCCGAGGTTTCCTCAGAAACTGAAGCTTTTCCCTGTACTTTGCAAATCCCAAACAGACATAGGAGACACCAGTTCTCCCATATTACCAGGAGCTCCCAAAGACTGCTTTCTCCTAAAGTCCCTTGCACCATCAGCTCCTACCACTCTTCCTTCTATTATTCTGTAAGGCTAATTGCTCATCTTGTCTGAGACAAGCAGAAATGGTCAGGTAAGTGGGTGTTAAGTGAAATGAACTCCAAGATAAGGACTCAAATGGTTTTTTTTTCTTTCTTGTTATTGTTTCTAACATATTTATAAGATATTTCTTTGTTGTTTTGTATGTCCTTCCCCCACGGTATAACCTCTGTTTTCACTGTATTTGATGTTGGTATAATTTGTGGAGGGGAAGGGAAAAAACAAATTGTTTAAATAGGAATACAGATGGACCCACTGCAACAATGAGATGTACAAGATGAACTTTACAACTTTGGGGGGGAAGGGGGAGGATGAGAAGGGATGGGAAGGGGAAACAAAGGAGGAGGCAACAATTCTTGATAAGAAACACACTCATTACCTTGCCCATGTAATTGTAACCCCTCTGTATGGTATTTTCACAATTAAAAAAAAGAATATCACCTGTTGTCTATGCTTTGTATTCTGAAAGCTCCGATCTACCTTCCTCCTTTTCCCCCACACTTCAACTACATCAATGCCAATGGCTGCCCTCAGCTGGTCCCTCCCTCGCTCTGCTGCATACCAGTCCATGAAGAAACA